GCATGCCGTTCGCTCGGCCAGTTTCAACGACTACTTAGTAAATTCCTCCTATCTAACGAATCTCATCAATTCGTTGACGGCCAAACCACAAACGGTAATACCATGTACAATGGTACTACTGGTACCTAGACTCGAGGGAGACTAACAGCAGCGACAAAAGTATCTAATGCCGAAAACTAAACGCCATAGTTGAGTTAACATCTAATTTGTTTAAAGAAATGACCAAGAGTGAACAAGGAGCGGAGTGCGACAAGATATACAACATTAAACTCAGTAGCTACTCTTATGTAACCTACCTTTCTTCATAACCCAACCGATCTCACCACTTAACACCTATTTCCCAAAATTGCTCCCTTAAAGTAATCTCTCTACTCCGAAAAGATAAAAGAACCGTCTGTCTGTGCATTTTCACAGCATGCAACTCTATTATTTGCCCTTTGTTATCAGTACTTACATGTAAGTACTCTACACCAACAGAGTTTCGGTAGCCCCGACGTGGTAATACTCAACAGGCAACACCATGATCACCCCCCCTCCGTGACCAGATAAAAGGTGGTTACCGTCTTAGAAAAAACCATGAATTTCACCTAAGTGTTTATAACTTCATCAAACGCTTGTACATAGGTATATAACAAGTGAATACCTGGTTCAAAATCCTCCAATCTCTCTATTTCGTAGTGATATCATCAGCTTCAGACTGATTTTCATTACTGTCGTGCGCACCTTCATCTTTTTCCACCTAAGCTTACCTCTAAGCAGCTGGTTCTGGATACTTCTTGAAGTAAGTTATACAGTCAGTACAAAGAACTCACCCAGATGTATCATGGTTGATCTACTACTGCATATTTTTGTGGTCCTGTTTCGAATTTCACCTGCTGCTAGCTTTTGTTACTCACTTTTCAGGTTTACCTAACCAGTCCTGCATTCAAATGGAATCCTACAAGTCGCATTTGTCAGTGGGAAATATTGCCATCAAAACGTTATGACGAACGCGCAATGTCCCTCCACTGTTCAGGAGCGATAAACGCTGTATCTTCAAAAACTTTGGATGCCGAAGTTTTTCAATCCCCTCGTCTGAATCCTGATGTTTTGCAGTCTTCCGTAAGCTAACCGCCCCAGGTAAAGTGGTGATGCAGACGCGAGACTGCGTCTGCGACAGGGCTATTCACACCAGAAATGTAACGGATGTCCTACGTGAATTGAGAAATACTGTCCAGATGACGTAATTCATGTGGTGAGTATCTGTTGGTGTGTAAGGCATAAGTCAAAGGTTTGTGGTCAGTAAGTGTAACGAAATCACGACCTACCACGAAGTGACGAAAATGCTGAAGTGAGGCGTATACTGTGAGCAATTCCCGGCTAAAAGTGCTGCACCGCGTTTCTCAAGGGGATAGCTTCCGGGAGAAGAGTGCAAGCGGGATCCAGGTGTGTTCCGAAAGTTGTCACAACACAGCTCCAATGGCCTTGTTAGACGCTTCGACTGCAATGCTAAGATGCAGGTTTACGTCGGGACGGACCAACATTTTGGCGACTGCTATTGCTGTTTTGACCTTGCGAAATGCGTCTAGTGCCTCAAGAGCCATGCTGAAGGTCTTACACTTACCTTCCAGCAGGTCTGTCAGCGCAGTCAGGATGTGAGCACACTGGAGGACGAGACGACGATGATAGCTCACCATCCCCAGAGACGTATGCACAGCTTTAAGTGACACTGGGACTGGAAAGTCTCCGATCGCCTGCACCTTTTCAGTTAGTGGGCGAATGCCTTGCTCGTCGATAACCTGTCCCAAAATTTTCGGTGAACGGACGCGAATCTGGCATTCGGCCAGGTTGACTGCCATCCAATCCACTGATAGTCTGGTGAAAACAGTTTTAAGTGGTTAAAATGGGTGTCTCCGTCTGGGCTGGCGATTACTATGTCATCTTAATGAGCATGGGCGAAGTCTAGTTCACTTAAAACATCGCGAATATAACCTTGGAGAGTTTGCGCTGCGTTGTGAAGACCAAAGTGCATGCGCAGAAACTCAAAATGACCAAACGGTGTAATGACGGCCGTCTTGGGAACATCATCAGGATGAACCAGGATCCGATGATACGCGCACGTCAAGTTTATTGAAGATAAATGAACCTTTTAAAGATGCAGTCAAATCATGTATGTGAGGGACTGGATAACGATCCGGAATCGTTTTAGCGTTGAGCCTTCGGTAGTCACTACAAAGCCTTCAGTTCATGCCATTGTTCTTGGGTACCACATGTAAAGCTGAAGACCGTAGGCTGTTGGATTGTCTGCTTATTCCCATTTCAAGCATGTGTTCAAACTCGGCCCTTACGGCACGCAGCCTCTCCTGGTGAAATCACCGTGGTTTAGCAAACGTCGGTGGACCAGTCGTTGTTATGTGATGAGAGACGTACACAGCACTTTGGCTTAAAGATATCCAGAAAGGACTAAATAATAGACGCGTATGGACTAGAAGCGTCCGTCATGGAGTACATGGGACTGAGGGGTGGCGTCTTTGTGACTATACCGGAAACAGGGAGTGTCGTGGTAGAATCTATCAACTTATGCTTGCCAGCATCTACCAGCAGCTGTTAGTGCTGCAAGAGATCCATACCAATAATACCGGTGGTCACATCCGCCACTATGAAAACCCAACGGAAGGGACGACGCAATCCAAGGTTAAGATCGAGGAATCTCCGACCACAGGTTATGATGGGCGAACCGTTGGCGGCACGAAGTTGCAGAGACATTGGCCGCAGACGCTCTTCCTTCGCAGGTGGGATGACGCTAGCTTCTGCCCCAGTGTCGACTAGGGGGCGTATCCCAGAATGTCGATCAGTGACGAAGAAGAGGCGACATGGAGGTGGCCCGCCAGCGACGTTAGTCGCCGTCACGTGCTGGCTCATACGTTTCCCGCCTGGTTAGCCTCGAAGGTGCAAGGTCGAGTGCACCTTCTGGCATTGGCACCATAACGTGTATGGTACCAGCACAACCTGGGTTGGGATTGTCGCGATTTGGAACGCCAGCTACCGGTACGGGAGCGAGACCTGTTGCGCGAACGAGACGTGCGACCTTTAGAAGAACTACCAGGCCACATTTCTTTCCTGATGCTGCACGACTCTTCATACAATTTCGAGATGTGAGCTTTAACATCGAAACTTGTTGGCTTACTTGCTAGGGAAGGGTATGAGTTTTTGGAGGAATCAGTGGTAGCAGACAGTGTGGCTGAGATACTGGTGTTGGGCTTCGTGGCATCCAGAGCCCTATCAGCCACTTCCGCCAGCTGTATTAAGGGGCACTTTTGAAAGAGTGCTAGGATCCCTTGCACCGACTGTGGTAACCTGTGTAACCACAGTTGCTTGTGAAACGCTTCCTCACTATTGAGGTCTGCGACCAACTGCTTCATCTGACGAAGCAGTTTCGTGGGCTTACAATCACCAAGATGCGCACCCTTGAATAGTCCTTGTACCCTTGGCTGGTCAGTTAATGCGACGCGTTTGATAAGGGCGGCTTTTAGGCGATAGTACAGGTTCGGTACATGGTCGCCTAGCACATCTGAGGCATCTTCGATCACATTTTCCGGTAAGCTGACGATAGGTAAGTTGAACTTAGTTTCTTGTGAGTGAATATGCCTCAAGGCAAACTGAGCTTCAACGTGGGAGAACCACGCGGATACCCTATGTGTCCAGAAGGTGGGAAGCTGAATGGGTATGGCCGTCTGCTCAGTAGAGTCGTTGTGGTCAGCCATTGATAATTGGTATCACGAGGCACAACATTGATAATAAGAAAATTACAACATAAAAATAACCAAAAAGAAATGCAATAAAAAGAGAAAAACCGTGCCAAAAATAAAAATCGAACAAATCAGTCAGTGCAGGATGAAAGAAGACACTAGGCAAGGTAAGGAATGATACTCGGGCTCATCAATTGTAGGGGGTGTGTTACCATTTCGTGACGTTTGACCAACCATACTTGATGTGCTCTAGCACCCGCTTAACCAGCCCCTTACCTAACGTGTAGGTACTGATAACGAAATACAAATCAAAAGGACTATTTCGGGAACATGCTCGAAGAAGTAACGTAGTTAATTAGTGTAAATGTAATAGTAATGAATGAGGGAAACGTTTACTCAGCTTATCTGGCTAGTATGGCTGAGCTAGGGACCCTGAGTACGTGCACTGTAACCAGCACTTTGGAAGAGCGAAATGGCGCAAGCCTTCTCGGACGCATCCTCGTTAAAACAAAACCTAAAGCATCCGGAGGCGAGCTAGGGGTTTATTTAGTTACCTTGATTTAATCTATTTATTTTAGCCCTAGTTGTATTTTGATGCCAGGTAGATGCACTACAACCTAATCATGCTATACTGGATATTAAGAAATCATTTCTGACGTTATCTATCTCCTTTCTTCGCCTATGCTGGGTCGGTACACTTCAGATGGCATAGCTGGAGGCTACGAAAGCAAAAGCGAAGACAATCTCCACAGAGTACTGGTTCTGGCGTCGAGTAATCAACTCCTGGAATCGACTCCCATAAGAAGTGGTGTCCACATCATCCACTGACTCGTTCAGAAAAGTATTGAACAAGCATAGAAATCTACTGCAAAAGGATCAATAAGTGCTCTCAACCGTTTATCCTTAAACAACAAATCTGTATCAGCGTGCGTCGAATGTTCATGGTAAAGTCCCCAACAGAATATCTACCCACAGCTTCCGTTTTGCCCATCGTTTACCCAGTGAGCAAATTAGGTTCTTTTCCATCGATTAAGTCCAGAACACTGACCTAAATCCTGCATTTATATTTCGTTTCGATGTTGGATCAAATTTGTGTTTTAAATAAGCAATCGCTGAATGTCACTATAGTTAGGAAAACGCACTTATATGAGACTATTTTAACGTGAACTAATTCATCTACTTCAAATCCTACGTTGCCTACCATAGTACTATCTAGATCAATTCCTAACAAAATTCTAGTCAAGAACTGAATAAGATAGCTTTTATTTCAAAATGGAGGATGTTAACCCTCCTATCAAGAGTAATCTCATGCCATTACCACCAGTGGAAAAGATTAAGCTGGAAATAGTCGAAAAAGAAAAAGACTCCAACCTCCAAAAGTTTCTTAACTACTCTTTAGAAAAAGAGCGAAGAAAGCATCTTAATAAGCTTAAGTAATTCCTTTTCAATTGTCATCTCTTTCAGTATCAAGAGAGCCCATGCAGCCTGCAGGAAAACACAGATGGAACTATCTTCCCTTCCTGTGCCAAGCTATCCCCCTTTCATACCAAATTTTGTAAGAATCGCTTTATCTGTAATTAGTCATGAATATTTCAGATGGTTAGCGAAGAATTGAAATTGGCCGTAAGTCCGTTATCTATTCGTAAGACATTTTGATGTAGAAAAACTTCAAAATTATGAAATCATACATCGAAAGTAGCACGATACCTCAAATTCAAGATAGCTGGCTCCGAAACATACTAGCGAAAGTTCCAAGAAGACTTAAAACCGGGAGGGAAGATGAGCTAAACGACGTTTTGCTTGAAGTTAGAGAAAACTTTGTGGAAAGTTTGAAGAAATCTTTAAGTAAACAGACTTTAAAGAGACCAAACCTTCCTCATCTTAAAGATGATGACTTATCACTGTCACCAAGAGCACCTAAGTCTGTCTAACTTTCATTTATAGCCATATTTCACAGAGTCATGAACTTTTCAAAGTCATTGCATTCAGGGTACGTACAACACAGGAAGGAACTAGCTTCTAAGCTAATGATATTACATACTCACATGCAGAAGATTCTGGGTCTCTGCTATCAAGATCTACATAATATTAAGTTGACCGACGTCCCAAAATACAGGTAAGTAGAAAAATGAAATTCTCTACACATCACTCTAGGGAGCTAGGCGCTATTGATTTTGGAGATCTACGGATCAGAGTAAAACAGGAAGTCGAATCTAAATGTGATTATGTACTACAAAAGTGGTATCTGAAAGTGGTTCAACTGTTTATGAACAAAATTTCAGCACCAAATCTGAAACCAAACGCCGTTGAATCCTTTAACAATTGTGTGTCTACTCTGATGTCCATTCAGGTATGAACTACTTAAATAACCAACATTACTCTTCTCAAGCTGAAGCAGTTTTTGCAGAGTAACTTACTACAGTGGGTTGATATTTTTGAAGAAGATCATAAAGAACTTCTACCAGTCTTAAAAATGTATCTTACCTATGAAGACCAGAAGGTTCTTTTCTATCCTAGCTTTGCAGATCTTGAAGAATTAATATTTTTTATCACTGGACAGATATGCAACTCCCTTCAGAACGTAAGTTGCCAGATAACATTGAAACTGCCTTTTGGCAAATTACTAAATTCCATGTGTAATTCCTACTAACTTCTGGAATTTTACCTAGTGATAGTTTTGTAATAGGATTGTGGCATCTTAAGGCTTTTTGTTGTTTTTCATCTCATGAATTCTGTATTCTTCCAGTGTTCAAGTCCATTCAGACTGACTGCACGAAAATACTAACTAAGTACTTCACTGATTATGTATATTTAGATAGTTTCAACTCTATTTCAGATAAAACTCCTACGAGACAAAGGAAAATGATGCAGCACTTGCGATTCCTATTACAGTGGAGGTCTAACCCTGTTTCGAATGAGTTAATGAAACTGAGGACACTGTGTACATCTGCAGATAATTTCCCTTGTTCATTAGACGGTACGAAAACCAAATTCGACACAAAGGCAATTCGAACTTAGTTTATCGAAGATGAACAGAGAGAGAATCAACGCAGAACCTGACACGCAAGTGCATCGGTACAAGATGTCACACTTCACAGTAGCACCTACACAAAAAGTGATTACAGAAAGACTGGTATCAAAGTAGAAAAAGGCTCAGAAGAGAAGAAATAATTTGAAGACACTGCCTAAACGATAATGTGTCGGAGCCTTATAACAGGACAGAAGGAACTGTATCACAGTGTATTCGTCCTTTAATGGGTAATTTGATATCTTTCCGGTACCACAGTTGATACAAGTTGACAAATCCCAAAGGGGGCTTTTGTATCCAAGCTGAGACTTCGTCAACTTCACAAGTTGACAATATGGTCGACACATTTCAACACTTCACTCTAAGTCATTTAACTAGGAGTGGTTGCTAATCAGGTTAGAGTAATACCTTACATGCGGACATCCTCTGATTTCTGATGAAAGCTTTCCGGAGACCTGGCATCTTGTCATCGTTTCCACATATCGAGATAGTATTTCTGCGTACTTTAAGTCAGCTAGATGCCATCTAGACAGTTGATCAATCCTTGTGAGTTCATAGTTTCCTAAAGTCATGTCCATCAGTGCCTACATAACGAAATTAAATACAGATACTGACAGCAGAGAGCCCTGACATTACTAACACTTTTTAACCCAGTTTTGAAGGTTGTCTTCAAATTTTTCAACATTCATGGTTACTTTGTTCCAACTCCAAAGTATGTTTGCAATTTAATCCACACTAATTCTGCATTCATACCAGAATGTTTGCAGATGAAGAGGATTCGCGAAACAATTATGAACGTTATTCGGTAGAAGTATCCTAAAACAGAAAGGAACTAATTTGGAAAATATCAGTGGGACTTGCAGCCACAGGAAAAACCTAATAACTAGATATAACTACTTCAAGTCAACTGATCTCGACATACATAGCAGAATAAGATAAGGCTAGCTTCTATTGTCAGAGCCTACAGTACTCCTAAGTGTCAGATATTGAGTGATTTATATGTGTGAAAATTGCGACAACGGTCTCACTAAATCAAAGTGCCCAAAAATAAAAAGGATATACATAAATAAGTTACTGATGTATTAGATTACCAAGATTGTTATTCCAAGACCTGGTTCAAGTTTCCACTTAACTACTATAAAGCCAGAGATTTTTAGTGACTGGTATACTATATCCACCTCACAAGCTATTGAAGGAAATCACTGTAGCGATAAAGGATTCAAATAAACACTTTCAATTAGACATGAGATGCTTAGGCACTTGTTATCTTGAGATAAGTAACTTTGTTACGTTCGGGTAAAATAGTAGTTTCAGCTGAGCAACCAAGCCTAGAAACAAAAGAAAATGGTGAGAAACAGGCGAGGTAATGATCTCAGAGAACCAGTGCGTCTTTTGAATCTGGTCAGTGTAGTTAGAAGACGTAGTCTATCCAAACAGTGTGATACATTTTGCAACAAACATTTCGAACAACATGATCACACATCTACTCATCAATTCAGTCTATATAAAACCAAAAGAATCAGAAGATAAACAGAACGGCTAAGATAATAGGTGACTAGAATTACGGAAGATGAAATAAGAAGAAGTGATATACTTGGTCCTAATCTTGTTAAAAAGATGAAACTTACCCAGTTGTGTATAACGTAAGGGGAAGCTACTTTTTTACACACAAAGATAGTTTTAATTCGTGTATGTCCATCACTTCCGCATATCTGACTTTGCTTCCGTGACTGTTTTCATATGAAATTATCAAAGCTGCTTGGACAGCGATTTTGTAAAACTTTTCTGTTATACGTTTAGTTATCGATGAAGAATGTTTTCTCACCTGTGCTTATCAAAGTTTTACGTTGCATGTGCTTTCGAAACCATTTTGACACATATTCTGCTAGTGTCAACTGCGTGACTCGATTATTCCTAACTGTTTGTGGGTCAATACACACGAAGACATACACACATGTAAACTGGTGAAAACAATGGGGTGTAATGTAATCACTTGTGCGATGTCTATTTTTGTGGTGAGACATACTTTTTGCATTTTCCGCACTAATAGGCTTAGCTGCATAATACTTTTTCCTAATGGCGGATCCTAGTCTATATTCCAAAACCATACCATTCAACTCCCCTTTGTATGGTAGACTGATATGAACATTTATCTCAGGAACCGTGTGAACAGTTGTCTTTGGTGACACTTGAATTCTACAACCTCCTATAAACTTCAGTAGTTATCCGTTTCCCATCAGTGATTTGGTCAGTAATTTGATATCTTTTTCGACCATAACTGATGTACAGATACGAAGGAACCTATTAAACTGGCATTGCACTATACTTGCATTGTATTTTGTTGAACAAATACAGGGAAAGTTCTGACATTGTCTTACCCATGTAAACTTTCTGTAGACTGATCATCTGAATGAACCATCCTTTCTTCGACTCAGGTATACATCCAAGAAAGGCAAGTGGTTGTTGTTCTCTTTCTCATAAATGGGGCTAATGTTTTTGTTCAGTGTTAAGTCCTTTTAGTGGAAAAATCATATCCTCATGCTTTTAACAAACCAGTATTATGTAGACAAAACTCTTGTTAAGAGGAACTTCAGTGACCAGATAACCAGCCAGATTTTCGATACATGACAAATATCAGCTAGTAATAGTTCTGAAGGACTTCCTATGACTACCCTGTGAACTTATTAAAAATGTTCACTCTCAGATATGAAGTGAACTTTGTTGATATATAATAATAATACCTACCTACCTTGGTAAACTTAGTCATCTTACCAAGATTAGGACCAAGTATATCATTTCTTCTTATTTCATCTTCAGTAATTCTAATGACCTATTATACTAATTGCTCTGTCTACGCTCTGATTCTTTGGTTTTATATAAACTGACTTGGTGAGTAGTTGTGTGATCATGTTGTTCGAAAGGTTTATTGCACAAATGCATCACATTGTTTGGGTAAACTCTATTCAGAAATAGTGATTCAGATGAAATATTTGTTACTCATTGACGGCATTTGATATTCTAAATAATGGAGAGTACAGGTAATCTGCTTTTATTAACTTCATCGTGACCTCTGACTAAAGTTTGCTTCTTTCTAACGTTATGGATATTTCACTTTTATTAGAAAAGAGATTTCGAAAACTCATTGACTAAATTCTCTCCGAACTCAAGGCTAGACAACATAAAATTCGTTACTCCCCAGTGACCAACCTATATATATAATCCAGCTCTGCAGAATATCAATCACGGCACGAACAGGAAAGTCTGCGACTGAAGCACTGGATGACTTAAGTTTGAATCTCAGAAGGTACATCAGTTGCCTCGAGGTCCCAAATACGCCTTGCTGACGAGTGCTAGCAAGCATAAAACGCGAATTCAGGCTTTCCTGTCTATCATGTAACTTAAAAGGTATGAGATACCTGTCTCAGACAATAATTTCTAAAGTAATTAAAACTCAATTCAGGTACATACATGTGATACTGCCAAAATGCTGAAGAGTTAAATGTGGTATGATCACGGTAAATGTTATCTACCGAGGATAAGTAATTTCGGCCTGAAGTTATGAATGGCAGTTTCAGAAAAGGTTAGAATAAGAACTATTGTGGCTTTGTAAGTAATCAAACACTTTAGATCCCTTCTGCTTTGGCTATTCGTGGAATTTTTATTGTGGAAAAGTATTTTATGAAACAAACCAAAGCTATCTCATATAGTGCTACAAATAACATAGTCAGATTTACAAATTTTTCAATACAACTTTCGTAAATGTTTGAGATAGGGAATGTGGATCCGCAGTTAAAGTTTTCTTGTTCCCACAATAGACAACTATTAGCGTAGCATGAAAATCTATAAAAACCAAGCCTCCAAATTTCATTTTTAAATGTTCCTCTTTGTCGACTTGTTATTATACACAAACTCTGTCGCTTTACAGCAAGTAACCTTAAAAATCCAGTTCCTTTTGTGCACCTGAACCGTTTAAAATTCCGCTATGACCTTAAAAGTAATAATGCTGTTTCAATTTTAAGAGCTTTAAGACACACGAAGGGTTGTAGCAGTAAACTGTCTAGTGTGAGATAATTTCCAACTTAACATGAAGTATCAGATAAGATGATTAAACCTTGATCATGAATTATCGGTGACATCAAAAGTAAATTATTGAAAAAATCAAAAATGTACGTTAGTATACTGTCAAACTATGACACGACTATGATAGGGGAAATGTACATTTTAGTCAATTGTAGTAACGCAGATCCATTCACTTGTCAGATTCTTGCCAGTGCCAGACGTTTTATTACTCTTACTTTTCTTCGTTTGAATCTGCTCTGATTTTATTTTCCTGCAAGTTACTGTCTTGTTTCTTTCCTAGTGGTAATTTAGTTTGAATTAAGACACTAACCTTGTGTCAAATTATCATGTTAAAATGTCACTACTGCTTCAATTCGTTCTCCAGTAAGAGATTTCCGTCATTAAAATCAACTAGAAAGCAATTTCACACACTACTATGACAACAGGTTGATCAAAAGATATTTCAGTTTCATGTCTTTATTTGACTTCTTTGCCTTGGGCTAGAAAAACAAAATACCTCTGACAAGAGTTGAAAATCCTGCTGATGCACCTTCTCAAGTCCCATAGTAGTTAGTTAGTCAATTAGCCCACCAAAGTTGTATTAGCTGTACTACAATAGTTTCAGTCACGAATCTCTGACTAGTAAACTAACCAGTATTATTATGCCTTCTAGCACAGTGTTGACTGAATGCCATCACTCCAATGCTTACAGAAGCAAGCCGGTGGATTAGTTCAGCAAATTCAATCTTGGATGATCAAATGTAACTGATGAGGTGCCCTGAATACTTGGGTTTCATGTTTGGAGTAAGGGCTTCATCCATAATCACATGATTTACGTAATCACATCAAACGTTTTGTTATTCATAATTTGTTATTGCTCCCCTATAGATTCAAACCATTCAAAGCTGGTTAAATTCATTACCAGTTCCTGTTTACATAGATGCTAAAATTCCATCGGATGCATATGATACATGTAAACGTAAACTTCAAGAAGCTGTGAAACGCTATTTTGAAACACCTTATCAATATTTCATCAAGGTGATTGGTAAGTCTTCTCAATATCTATTTTTTTCATCGATGAATTCTTTTTTATAGTTGAACCGTACTCATTTATATTTGACGGTGGGGAAGCAAAGAGGGTTGAGGAGTTCTTACAAAGAGATAAACAATTTGAACATTATTGTGAGGTGAGTTGCTCTTCATGATACATTTTCGTGAAACTGAAAAAAACAGTTTGCATATAAATTGTTCCAGCAAGTCATTTTTAACTGCGAGTTTACACTGTCTTGTGATTAAAACAAAACGTATAAATGCTGATCAATTAACTTTCACCTAGTAATTCAGTGGTAGCTTAATCTCTGTGATTTGCAAAGTTGCTAGATTGGACTGTGGAATGAAGGATATTGTTGAGAAGATCCAAAGCGAGAATTAGGGACATTTCGTTCTTTCTGTTTGCATTTTAACTTAGTTTGACTTAGTATAGGGTTCACTGAAATTCTGCAAAAATTAGTGGCAAACTACTTCCCATTTATCATGAACTTATTTTCCTTAATATATTGAAATCGAACAAAAACAAGTTTTAACAGACTAGCGTAGATGCACTTCACTTTCAGGTTTCTCATAAACTGCCTACAGCTTAAAACAATTTTAATATAAAGTTACATAGGATGTTTGTAGAGATAAGTTGTCAGAAACGGTTAGTGAAAACACTTTTCAACTGCATTAGATCTCTTTGTGGGTAGGAGACTGTTCAAGAGGAATTACCAATCATTGAAATTTGCCTTCATGGTTACGGATATCCATAAAAATTCTTCGATAAGTATATAAAAATACCAACTAAAAGCACTCAGTCTAAGGTAGTCAAGAAGAAGCCTATTTTCTTAAATCTTGCCTTCAAATGTGATATGATTATGAGCAATAATTTATGCTCAAAAAGTTGTCAGGTAAATAATGCTATATCACTGTGTGTTGTAAATCAAATAAATAAATCTAACATGGAATTACTTTCAGGAAGACCTATCCACTTCGTTGATTAGTCGCACTTTATCAGGTGAATCGCTCACTGAGGCAATCTAAAGTTGGTAGGCCCCATTTTTATGTTACCTCCAAATGCGAATACCAACTCATATGTATGTCCCAACGTATATGCATTGGGAGAACAGGGCTAAGGGTCTGTAACCGGTATATTTGAGGATATTCTAAGTAGTTTGAGACTGAGAAGTTGAAAAGTCTTCAACAGTGTTGCTGCTGATCAACCTATTGATAGTGGACACGAAACTGATATCCGGAATACAGTAATAATAATAATATTGATAGCTTTATTCTGAAAGATATTTTGGGAATACTGTGCATAATTTTCAGCATCTCATATAGCATCAGTTGGACAGAAACAGAGTATATGTATACATCATAAAATGAAATAAGTAGAAATAAGTAGAAAGATAACATTTACACTGTCTACAACTTTCTTGAAAATCCAGACTTAACTTAGGTGGACACTTGGCACATTATTAGCAATTAGTTTCATAATATGTGAATAATAACTGGCTCTGTGCAATTAAACTAATTTGCTTTCAAAATCAAACTTTGAGTAGTTAGTTCATTTCCAACATGTTCTTTCTTGCACAGTATGCTAATTATGTACGTTATTGTAGAATTCTATGTTTAGTAGTACTGTAGTGGGCGTTGCTGATAACAACGGATATAAGTAGTATATATGGAGATGGTGGCAAGAATCATAGGGAATTATCGGCAATGGGTAAGGTTTCTGCCAAGAGCAACGCAGGGAACAACACAGACGTATCACAGGGGATGCTGCTGATAAGAGTGTATGAACAGCCGGTCAAGAGCAAATCAAGACAGGAACGGAGAGGAAACGAAGATATTTGCAAATGGCTGCGTTAGTACAAGGAGTATCATATGTAACCACTACCATTCCAATTGTTCGTAGTGACCATTCGTCGAGTTGTCTCCTGGTTCTTCAGTACGTGTATAAAATCTTACATACTTCCTCCTCGTCTTCCCAGAGGCCGAGACGCTGAGAGGTTTGCGTGAAGAGGATGTTGACCATCTGTCGAAATGACTGCTGCCAGACGTTTACATGAGTTAAGATGTCTGTTCACATCAACTTCAATCAGAAGGTTTAGACGTACATCACTAGTTTTGCTGACAGTCTTGAAAGTTCAGTGCAATATAGGACAGTCTTTTTTCAGTGATCCAAGAGAAAACAAAGCGAAAAAGTAGAGAACGGGAAAGATACTTTAGATTAGAAAATACATGAGAACAAAGTGAGTTATATTGCGTTCTCTCAGCTTCCTAATATAGAAAGATTCTTTTGGAAATTAGCAAGGAATGGGAGGACCAGGAAAGATCTCAAGGAAAAGACGCGCTTGAGATAAATCACATTTGTAACATTCTCTAATCCGCAGTTATCAAGAGAACAGGAATCATTCGATATAAGCCGTTTGCACAAGATATATTGACGTCTGAAACTAAAGTTTTTAGTCTGACATTTTGAAGAATTAAGTATAAGACCATTTATGGAGTACTGTACTCCAACATATTCCAATGTTGGAAAAGGGTTAGTGATGTCAATCTATGAAGTATGTGTGCGATGTAGAAAAATATAAACTTCTTAGTCTGAGCCCACATAATAACAGAAAGCTGCGGTTTAATTCTCTGGTTTGCATAGCTAAGATCCTATCGCAGTGGTGTTCCTTTGTGTTTTACCCCTCTTCCTCTCTTCTTAGAACCTTTTACGACTTTCGAATACTTTTCTCCCTATTTTTCTTCGTGCCTTCTGTCTCTAAGTCATGTGAAGTGTGATGACTTGTGCCATTTCAGAGTGTTATCAAGTCCTATTTACCCACTGAATTATGTTATCTATTGCCGTATTTTTGCATTTTTCGCAGTACATAGCTAAGCTGCATGACCTAGCGAATGAAATTATGACCTTGCCGAATGCAGAATATTTTGATTTAATTCGACTTGACTGCGAAGATGTTAAAGTTGGCTTGTCGAAAGAATGTCATCGTTTAGCGAATCTGTTGTTGGATCGAGTAGTTTATGATTTCAGGCAAAATAATGATGAGTAAGTTTTTTAATTCAGCCTAATGTAAACATACATTTCAACTAGCTAACTAGTGATATTTAATGAATACTTTTTGTGACGTTTGACGAAATCCTTCAAAAGGTTAAATGACTTGCATAAAATAGCCATTAAAACCAGTTGGAAGTGTCAGCTACCAATGGTTGCTGTAAAGAAAAATATCATATGATAACGGTGAGCAAACTAGTAAATGGATGTGCATTCAGAACTGAGTACTTAACTGGTCTACGACATTTTTGGATTCATCTGTAAAAGTCATATTAGTGTTCACAATAAATGACCATTGATGTTTATACAGTTGTTAGGTCTGTGGGAAATAGATAGATATAAATATTGGACTGTGTGGGGAAGTTCGAATTTGACATTAGCCTAGGCTTTGCGCTCATAGGTAACCTTGAATAAGTCAATAATCTCTTGTATATAAGAGTAATTTCACTACCAAAATGTGTCTGCTTACATGAAAGTTCATGACGACTTCACTCAATCAGTAGCTCTTTAGTATTAAATTGAACATTACACTGAAGAATATCTATGTCTGATTACTCTTCTGTCAGCACAGTTTTCAATCGCACCAATAAAAGTATCCAGTCAACTTAGTTCTAGACGTTAAGGGGATGTTTCGAAATATAACGTGAATTCCCTTCACAAATTAGAAAAGCCAGTTGAATATAATGCAGATAAATCTGTCTGTTGACGTTTTTACTAACCAGTTCAATGTTCAGTCTGTTCTTTATCCTGCTGACGATATCATCGCCTTTAAAATGACAATAACGAAATCATGGATTCACGTCAACTGGAATTTAATATGACTTTTATGTTCAGTTTTTGTGTAACCATTTTCTTTCAGACTTAAAGTCAACAGTTTCTTCTGGTAGTTCACTAGTCATCATCATCATTATCAACATAGGACCAGGCATTACTGCGTAACGGTCCGAGTTGCCACACCTCATATCAGCACATCAAGTAAAAAGGTAGAGAGGTGAAGGATGAAGATAAGTGGATGCAGTCAAAAGAAATATAAAGTACGAGAAGAAAGGAAAGAGGAGTGACAAAATAGTGAGATTCGGTATAGCGTTGTTAAGATGAGGATAATGTGTGTATACATCTGCACCACTGACTTCGGTTCTGAGCCATATCACCTAGGGTCTCCAACCATTGGTTCCTCTTGTCCCGTGGACCCCAACCACCTAGTCTGCATCGTTCACTAGTGAGGAGATGTGGAGGCTGTTGCATTCATTTGAATAAGAGGAATTCCGAAATTGGGTATCTCTTGCATAAGCTTATTCACTAGATTCATGTATGCACTATGATCTGCTAGTTAGGACTGTTGGCTTGAACAAAAACGTTTTGTTAGTTTCCACTTATTGTCCAGTATCAAAAGGATAATTAAAGCTGAAGCCGAAATTAGGGAACAGTCAGTTGATTACCCGTTACCCTATTTGGTAAACCTTAGCACCTTACTGACCAGTAAAACTTAGTTACACTTTCAAAGGATGCTAGTCACAGTTTGGTCACGATATCAGTTTTCTTCAGCAACAACAACAACAAAATTTCCAGTCTTCCTCCACCTTTATTTTCCCCTCCAATATTACAGAATTTGTGCTGCTTTCGAAGAAATGCGCGATCGTTGTCGTACAGTGCCACAGAATAGTGAAGAATTAATTGATATGATTCAATATATGGAAGAAGCAAGATGTCAGGGGATGATTCGCATGACAGAAAAGATTTCTGTAAGTAACCTATGCAATTCACCAAGCTTATGACTGAATATTTCGCCAAATAAACACTGATATCCGGTTGTCATATGAACGTTTTGAGTTTTTGGGTGGATTGAAATAAGAAATGTCATTTTCGAGACACTATTCCTGTGAAGCCGAAACAAGCGACGTAGAATTTCATACAGAGAAAGAACTTCCTGAAGTTTATTGATGCGCTGTGATAAGTTCATGAAAGCTTTCTGTAGATTCTTTTCAACCCACCAGCGTCAATAGTGATATATTTTAGTATATTTTTGAATATCTTATTGTTTATATTGTTCTTCTTTCATGGTTGATTTTTCGTGGTAGTTAGGTATGATTTAGATATTTAATGGTATTGACTTTCATGATATGATGGACTAAAATGATGATCAAAAATTTACTGTAAGCTAATTCTCGAACCTCACTGCATAAACTGACAATGTTTTAGTGTGCTGAAGTACTACTTCAGATAGTCCAAGTAATATCAAATCACTAGGTGTTAAAATACAACGGTAGTTACATTTATTCTCCTAGAAAATTGGATAGGTGTTTAATATTATATTTCCACTTATTGAAATTCTGTGAATATCTAAAAACTGTATTTGAACACAGAAGTAGGAAGTAATTTTAAATGTTACATTTTGAAGATCTGGTGCTTGAGTGTCTCCTGCTTTCCATATAATAAACAAACTTAGAATGGTTGGAACCAGATATCATGAATTCAGTGAATGTGATTTGGTAGTTAAAGTCACTTATCCCAAAAGACTATCTTAAACCAGGAAACTGATTCCCCCTTAAGGATCTGTACTCGTATGACTGGCCGCTTTGGTGATCAGCATGTTTCTTACAGGAACTTACCAGTTAACTCCTGTGAATTTATTCTTTTATGCTGTGGATGATGTCAGGAAGGTGAAGTGAAAGGCTCGTCTTACTATAAAGGTACACATAGGACACGTAAAATAAGTCAGAACCTAATAAAGACATGAAAATCTTCTTAAACATGAACAACAAACTCAACTTTGGTCTATAGAGCTGCATTGCAGAGAATCAGTCATTTACCTTTATTCACTTCTCAAATGTAACATGCCAGGCATTCGGTTTGCAAAGCTCAGTTTTTATCAAGTGACATTTGATACTGATTTCTCTTTAATGGCCGAAAAAGAGAAGTAGAGTTTTCTCAGTTAGTTTCTATTTTTTAATTAGGATATGCAGAAACTTTCCATTTTCAAATTACCAAATGTTCGAAAATCAGTAAAATAGTTCAAACTCAACTTTTATGTAGAAATGTATAAGAATTTTCAGAGTTATCACAAGAGGGTAATTTTAATATCCTTGGTTTTTATTTCCAGTTACCCATCTATATTTCTGCCTCTAGGAATACATTTTAAAGTTATGCAGTAATCTGTGCATTTACTATTGTAGTTTCTACTTAATATTTGAACCCCTATCAGTGGAAGGTTGAATTCAGAATAAAGTCTAGCCAGAACAGTATTAAATTCACATTCTATTAGCGTTAGGTACAAGTGCATATTTCATCAGGCAGTTGTTTTCAACTAGACAGTATGTTCCATACATTTTTGAAGTTTAAGTGTCCTAACGCTGAAATAATTTCATTATAACACTCACTACATACTACTGACAATACCAATCGAAACAAAATATGTTCCGCACAGACGTCTACTCATATCTCCACTTTCTGCATTCTTTCTTTCTTTACAGTTAACTGTGGAATATTTAAACTATCTTCTTGACGTTTACCTATTTAGTCCAGAGGATATTGAAAAGAACAGTGCAGTTTTAACCTGGAAGAAACGAATTTATCCTGAGTTTGATGCCAATGATAAGGTAAGGGTGCATATATGTTGAATTGTCCACTGTTGACCAGTCGGAGCCTATTTTTTTTCAAGAAGGTTTGCACTCGAAATATCTTTTTCAGTAGATTTACCATTATCCCTTTCACTCACAGTGAATGCGCATAATCTGTTTGAAGAGAATTTTAACAAACTAAGTTTGAAATTTACCTACAGTCAACAACACTGTCTTCTCAACTGAAGAGATTTCAGGGTGACCAGATCAAAATGTGACTCCAGTTGAAGTCACTTACGGCTACTCTGAGTCGTGTGGGGAGATGCAGACTGCTTGGTTGAAGTTCTTGAGACAATAGGAATCAGTGGTTGAGGATTATCGGTGACATGGCTAAAAGCCGATCACAATGGTGCAGACATATTCATTTCTTGAATTCTTCTAAAGCTTTAATATTCTCACTAACCGTTATCTTCAGATTGTTTATCCTCTCACAAAACTTTGTCTACCATGATATCAGTTTTTTTCTGTCCTCCTGTTCTTTGTGTGCTTCTTTGAAGTATGCCAACCTAGGACAGTGCACTTGTATGCGAGATTTTATGTTGGTTTTGTCAGTCAGTCAACTGATATACGTTAGCAGATTTCCTGCCGAAATAATAATTTTGCAGCTGAAAGTCACTACGAAGAATCTTAAGCATCACACTACAGAAAGATACTTAGACAAGTAGACGCTATCCAACTGGGAAAACTCATTTTAGTTTCATTGTGAAGACAATATTTCCCCAGTTACTTTCTGTGTTCATCTCGAATAATTGAACTGTCCTACTTCATGTCAGTTATTGTCTAAGGAAGAAGTGCAGAGAAAGTAACTTGTCATTGTTTCTTCTGTTAAGTGACATATTGTTATCTAACCTAGCTGAGATAGCCTTTCTTGGTAGACTTTTTAAGGGAATTAAGTAAAAACCAAACCAGAAATATGATAGGGTTCATCCAAATCATCAACTTTAAATGACTAGACATGTTTTATAGAACTAGTTAAAAGGAGTTTCGATGAAATTGCACAATATCCTACTTTTCATACAATCGAATCAATTCGTTATGATATTCAGTAACACGTACAAAACAATGAAAAGATACAATTTGTTCGAACCATGCAATGTACTTGTACACTGAAAAAAATCTGAACAGACACACCTGTCATAGGTATTTATATAAAAAGTTATCCAGTTAAAAGGGCTGAAAATCTGAAGAGCCGTCAAGAAGGGGAGCTAAAGGGGATACGAAATAACAATGAAAATTAATAGAGCGAAAATAATAGTACATCAACCTTAGTATCAGGGTTGAATTCACTTAAGAATTTTTATTGCCCTGAAAAACTGTTTTTAAGTACATTAAAGTGGCCTAGAGTTTTTTAAAGCTAATCTCTAGACAAATTTGAGGATTCATCTTCAGCAAGCGTTTTACATAGGTTTAATGGATGTAGAAACATCGACCCCGTGACCTGTCTCAGTGATATATTTCGCAATCGAGGAACTTAGATATATGCTACTAACATTTATGTGTTAGGGTGATTTGATTTGATTTTAAAACATAGAGATGTAGCACTCAAATTGACACTCTGATTCATTGATTTCTCAAATCTTGGGAACTATATGGTGATAGGAAGGGTAGATCATATATGAAACCTATCAAATTTAATACTCATCACATGTACTACTTTCATTATACAAAGTGAAGTCACTTTAAGGTTCGAGGCAGTTTTAAATTTCCCTTCTGCACTTTGTGAAATCGTATGATTTACCAATTTCATATGACATAATCAAAAATTTTAAGATATTTCGTGATAATTAAGTCTCTAAAACCATTAATTGAATATATCACCTAACATCAAGAATTTAACGAATTTCCCACTTCTATATGTTTTTCTTATTTCTACTGTCTCGTTCTTATTTGCCTCTAAATCATCTTCAGCTTCAAGAACGAATGCGTACTGTCGGTGAAGCGGCTGTTGTAACTAGACGCGAAAAATTAATAACTGAAATAAACAGGCTAAAGAATCGTGTCGATGAATTCAATGATTATGGTGAAATGGATAGTGAAATGCAAAACCAATATGTACAAGATGTTCGAGGAGTTCTAAAAAGACTTCAGGATGCTGAAAATGAAAAAATGTGGATCAATAAAGAAGAAGAATTATACAAGCTCACAATTAGTCAGTATCCGGAATTAGAAGAAATACGTAATTTAACAGAACCATTCCACAGACTATTTACAACTGTAGTTAAATACAGTAAATCAGAAAGACGGTAAGTTAAACTTTGCAGAGTTGAACAGTTCATAAACTGCTTGGACCTTTCTTTTTCGAAATTATCAGAGTGATAAAAATATCATGGTTGACGCTTAGGTTTCACAGTACCATTGAATTTAAAGTGTTTTTTTCGAAATACAGTTACCTAAAACAACCCACTTTTATAGAAGACTATCCCCTTCAGGTTAGTTGGTTTGTTAATTTTCAATGTGTCGAAATGCCAGAATTAGCAAATCTGGATTGTGGTCATAAACTGTCTATACGCTCGCCACAGTAGAAGCTTGACATGATTTCTCAGTTTGACATCATTTGGTAGTGCCTAGAAACGAATTCCAGGAAGCATCTGGAACCTGTTGATTTAGCTTAAATGTTGGTACAGTGGCAAAGTGAATTTAAGCAATAGAAACAAAACAATTTATACAGATGACCGACTTATGACAACCAATCAGTCGTCACTAACCAAAAACTGAATCACTTATTCGAATAAATGGTGATAAGACCATACATTTTATCGCTAGAACCAGATTGTCAACAATCCAGTCAGCAACATTTTCCTCATGCTTTTTTTTATATAATGATATTTTTCTGTATTACTAATGAACACTGACAAACTAAGACATGTATGTACAAGCTGCATAGTGAATCTTTCTGGCTGTTTACAAAGACAGTCTCGTCGGTATGTTGTATCACATCTGGTCAACCCAAAACTTTTATCAAGTACTTTATTTCCCGATATTCAAGACATAGTAAATGACTTTTAGTCGTGTTAAAGATAGTATAACATGAGAAATAAGGTTCAATCCATGACGGGTTTGTACATTGTGAAATGTATCACTTTATCATAAGTTAGCAGATATCATCTTATATTGAGTTATGAAGAGGTATAAAAGTTTTTTTATAGTTATCCATACGAGAAGTCTTGATTACTACCTTGTAACAACACTGAAGGCTGAAACACCGATTCCATTACATTAAATATCATGGATATAACTGATTATCTCGTTCCTGGGTTAAAGATTGAGTCTCAAGCTGTAGTACTAACTAATACCTACTAAGCAAGGAACGTTTATCATAACTAGCCAGTTTAGTGAGCGCATAACAAAATCGGCAATACACATTAGGAATCAGATACTGAAATAGTGGAGAATATTTGTAGTTCAAGTGGATGGTTTTCTTTGTATTTTGTGCTCTGAGCTGGGTTGTTCAATCGTGAAGCCTTCAATAACCACATAGTCCTACCATACATAAAGAATATATCAGAAATCACGACAAGATTACTGAGACCACTTGGAATTGGTGTGGCTCATAAACCAACAAATTCCCTTCAAACATTACTATGTAGACCAAATGATGCAACAACCAAAGAAGACAAACCAAATATCATTTACAAAATCAACTACAATAACTGTAGTCAACACTACATTGGACAAAGTGGTCGCCTTCTTCGCTTTCGTCTACATCAACACCAATTGGCTATAAACGTCACTACATTTCATTGCTACTCATTTCAATGCACGTGGATAATTATGGACATGAATTCAATTTCGACAATGTAGAAATTTTGGATGGAGAGAGGAAACACAAAGAATATCCAGGAATTCTTAGAAGCTTGGCATTCAGGTCAGTCAGTCAGCAATCAACAGATGTATAGACATAGACCCAATCTATAAACCAATAAGAAAAATGATAAAAGGCAGAAAGGTCAGAGGTGAAGCAGAGGAACAGCCGACAGGAAAATCTATACAGTCAATAACACAACAATCGAAGGGAACAACCAATCACAGACCACATCGTCAGATCAAGCCACTAAATCACTCACGGAGAGATATTGACAGCTCACTTTATGCTGAAGTTAGCCCTGATGATGTCATCTAGAAAGACGATGAAAGCTTCGCAATTAAACAACTCAGAGAACATAATACAATCAAGAATCATATACTAGTACAAAATTGAATGAGACCTACACTAAGGATTGCGCTTCTACATACTATTAACTTGTATCAAGATTACTATATTCTCAAATGTCACATGACTTAATAACAATTTGGAAAATATTTATGAGTAATATCGAGAGAAGAGAAATACATAAGACATTTTGGTATTCATTTGTTAATGAAAATGATGATTATTATCACGTTTAGAGAAAAAGCGGCTACTTTTACAAGCAGTGTTACTCATTCTACGTGTTCAAAAGAACTAACTTGGGCAGAACAAAGCAGATGGATGGTCAACTTCAATCAATATTTTGCATATACAGGCAATTAATTAACACCTATCAGATTACATTTTAATTACCGAATACTCAGAAATTTTCATGCAACTTAAAAGCAACCTCATTATTACATTATTTTGAATTATAGGATTATACTGAACCGAAATGACCCGTCTTTCTTGGTAGCTAAACTTCTTGAAAGTGTGTCTCAGTATTGCTTCAAATTTCATTTTAATGCTGTTTTCTTTACAGTAGGAAGCTGCATGTATCCGTGCACAGTAAATGATATCCGTTGCACGAGGGGTGACGTTCATGACTCACTAATATAGTGGATAACTCTCTGGTGTTTGAAGCAACAAGGGCTCAGTTTAAGTCTCAGCAGGTACACCACCATCTACTGGGTCGTGGGTGTACTTAGCTGACAACTCCCAAATGGGATGAAACTTTTCTCCTGAATTCAAAACAAGTAACATGAAAATGAAACCTGAGACAGTATTGAAGGATCCGTTGAGGGATACGATATACCAAAAGGGACTGGCTAGTTCGGTCCAGTATACTCGTCAGCGTAAAATTGCAGGTATCAATAAATATGGCTCAGCTGGTTTTCGAACTTGTATTCTGTCTCAAACTAGTTTCTCATCGATGGAACGTGTTACCTAACCCCCTTTGAGTGCGTAAAGTGAATTATGTACTGTTTTGATGAAATAGAATCAAAATGTTGTGAACCCATTATCTTGGAGGTAATCTGTCATAACTTTTCATTTAGTGGAAAACTCTGTGCGTAAATTACTTTTCTGTTGCGTAGTTTACTCATTGGACCAACCTTAAGTGTTGTTCGAAAGTTCTTGAGACATACTATCAAGGTTGTGATACCTCGCAATATAAATGTTTATAATTTAGAATGACATACATTAGTAGGTAAATTCCTAAAAGTTTCTAACCGCTGAGAGAAAATATTCATCCGCTGTAAATATCCAAATGTAGGTGGCTGTATGGCGAATTCGACAAACTAAGTGCTGAAGCGATTGAAGCCGAAGTCGAAGAATACTGGCGTGAAATATACAAACTTCAGAAGATCTTTACAGCAAGAGTTAAGAAAATGCGTATGGAACTGGATGAACAAAGAAAATCAAGTAAAAAACGAAGGCATTTGGCAGGCGCTGATATAAGTGCCACAGGTGTTGAAACTGAAGGAAAAGATGTTCATTCTCTTGCAGAAAAAAAGGAAGATGAGATCGAAGAAGTTAAGCCACCTGCGGCCTTGGATATAATTAAAAATATTCAGGACCAAATAAAAAGTTTCAAGGTATTCATTCCAGTTAAAACTTTTGAACTTACAGATATCTATTTTCGAAATGTGACCATTACATAGTTTCTGGTGGTTAGCTTTTATTTTTGAAGAACAAGTACTTATAGGTTCAGGAGACAGTACTTAAATCTGTATTACCACAATTTATAGCTTCCTCCTCTACTAATTTATGTTTTGGATGTTAACCGTATTCTGATGGTCCGCGTGAGAGACATCAATAACGTATGACTTTTACAAACTCGTATTAGTCTAAATCACTACACCATGGGAATCAAAAGGAGTAACTAGAATTCAATTAAAACAATGACATCACTGATTGTATGACATCTTGAAGATTTAGGATGCATAGTGAAGCAGCAGTATGGGAAGCATTTTATTCATTTTAAAGTAAACGGTGAAGTCATGCAGCAGTCGAAACAATAAGCTGTTGAGTCCGAAACAAGACGAAGCTCACATCCTGGATTTCACTTCTAACCAAAATCAGCTAAATTATAATAAGTCTGAATCCCACTGATCTTGTTGATATCTGTGACAAGTGAATGATTTCTTCACAGAACAACTTTTCACCAACACCATGTACAAGAAATGTGAATTATACGAATCGATTCCACTTTGGTATCCTGTAAAGGTAGATGACTGTGTGCAAACTAAATCCTCCGTTTAGATACTTTACAATTACCACTATCATGTGAAGCTTTTGTTTCAAATTAAAAGATGTACTCTATGTTTATAGACTAACAGTCCATGCAAAATAGTTTTTATTGTAATGTATGGTTACCGGTTGCAAGTTGGCGTACAGCTAAATAATAATATTGATAATGATAATAATGGCTTTATTCCAAACAAGACTTGTGGAACAGCATGGAACTCTCAGCATGTAATATTTTAACAAATTCATTCTCTGCACAATATCTTTAAGCGAAATAATCATTGCATTTGAATAATGTTGCTAACAAAAGTAATAGAAGCCACGATGGGAAACAGACACCCGGTTTTATACTACCATCTTGTTTGGACTAATGAATGAATAGAATATCGAGCTTATTTTTGATGGTGATAGTCTATTCAGCCAGTACCGAAATCTGCAGTTTGACAGTTATCCAAGGAATAGCAATATACTACATTTCTTTGCATTTATAAGCCCATCTCTTATTGGCGTATCGTTCATTCAGTGTTTTGCTATTAGCTTAAAAAACATCAGTTTGAAACCAATTTAAAAGTGTACAAGAGTACTTGGAGCGTTTGAAAAACAAAGTGTAAGGGAGGAATTTGATGGATTAAATTCCGTGGAAAAATTTCCGTAGCCCAAAGTTTAAACAGGCCGCAAATATCGTTGAGTTGTAAGTTGGTGCATAGTTTCATTCTCAAACTCCTAAGAACTATAATACATAATATTTATAGAAGCCATGACCATCAACCTCCAGGAAGAATAACTTGTTCTTAAAAGCATGTACTTGAACAGTTCATTTAGTAAGGTTTGTCCAAGGTGAAATGTTAGAAGTTAATCATGAGGAAGTGTTGAACTTAGTTCTCGTGTTTGCTGACACTAGTTAGTAAAGAGTATCTGCAAACATGAGGTAGCCAGTATTTACTTGGTGGATCAAACTCTACGTCACCAAGTGATGAAGTCAGAGACTTTGCCACTAAGATTTTCAGCCTACGACCGATTTTTGCAACACTAGATTAGGTATCGGAGTTAGTAACCAGTGCATAACGGATATGGCTATCTAATCTTTACTGTTCAAAGTTGATTACAGTTTATCACCTAAGTTCGCAATCTGACCGTGCTTAGTGATGTAACACTGCAGTTCATTGAGGGAAACAGGTTCAAATCCCTGTGAGGACTCCGGTTTTTTGATGGCTGAAGAAACTTTCTACTGATGAATACTTTCAGGCACAAAACCTTGTCTTAAGGTTTTCTGTCGATCGACTCCTAATATTTAACAGCAAACGCAGCACGCTGTTGTGTCTCTGTCACTTAGCCTACTGGCTACATTTCAAGCTTGATAAACGGACTTCGTTAAACGCTGAGTGCTAATGACCGAGTATCAACGTGGGTTGGTGGCTAACTTGTGTACGGTTTGTATTCTTCCAGCCTCACGTTGACTCTAATAAGCATTATCTCTCGATAAATTCTGGGGAAATATGCTACTGAAAATGATCTTCATTAAAAACTGCCATTAGTTTTCAACTTACTTCCATTCAGATTTTTAGCTATTTGTCGTGATGACGTCTATGAGCAGATTCTCACACGTTTTCCAGGTATCTTTATCTTCTCTCTGGTTACACTCATTGCAACTTCAAACAACTGTAACCGTCATGGATTAAAATAGACTTGATTGTTGTCCAAACCAATTGATAGAATTTATTCCGTTTATGGCACCTCTTCCAAATTACATGATAGCAAACTTCCTGCCCATTTTCGGAGCACATTAACAACACTCACCACGTATTATTTTGCAATCAGACTAAACACTACGTATCTTAACGTCAGATTGTCTAAAGCAATCGGCCAGTCCCTGGACAATAAATAATGTGTGTTTTTTAGTCCTCAGGGTCGCGTGGATTCTGTCGATCCATATCATGGTCATCAGGCTTGGTAACTTCGATTTGTTGGCAATCCATTTGATTACTGAGTCACTCAAGGTGGTTAAGAGAAAGTCATAAATGGAGGGCATGTCCCACATAACCAACTTTATATGGGATCTGAAGAAGACCTAAGTCTAAATTTTACTCTTTTGAAACTTTAGGAATCTGAAGGGTCCCCTGGCATTTGAACTTAGGCCATCAATCAGGTAGCCTAACACTAATTCATTTCAGTTGAAAACTGAAGAGCACAAGTTTTAAACTCTTGATTACCAGGAACTTTCGAGGTCTCAAACTTACTTTGGAGATAACTGTCAACGGGAACTAAGCCTAACTATACGGCTTCCTCAGCCCTGCTCACGGTAACCTAATACTAAACATAATACAACATGATGCTGTATCACTTATTGAAGAATGAAATCTTACTTGTTGACCTCCAGATTCTGTTGACTATCAGTGGCCTCAAAACGTCATTAGTTACCACCTAGACACCAATTCGTGCAAATATCTGTAGGATAATGAATGAAAACACTTAATACCCTATCCACTAAGACAGTTTATGACAAAAATTTACCATTAATAAAACAACCAATTCTTTAACTAATCTTTTTCTTTTGCTAACTTCACAAAGGAAAATATACCGGTTATCGCTATCCTATGCAATCCAGGTATAAGGAAACGACATTGGGATGCAATGTCACAGATAGCCGGAAAAGATCTTACACCAGACAGTGGGACATCATTGGCTAAAATATTACAAATGAATTTGGATCCATATATGGAAGAATTCTCGAGTATTTCAAGTGGTGCAAGTAAAGAATTTACTCTGGAAACAAATATGAAGAAAATGCGTGATGACTGGACTGAAATATCCTTTGGTTTAATAGCTTATCGAGAATCTGGAATAAGCATACTTGCCTCTGTGGATGATACACAACAAATGCTAGATGATCAAATTGTTAAACCCAAACAATGCGTGGATCACCATTTATTAAACCATTTGAAACAGAAATTAAGGTGAGTTGAATATGTCTCTGCAGCTAGCAGACATGACATTTTACTTAACAGTATGCTGACATCGGAATCATTTCCTCTGCCAGACTTGGTGTGAACACCCATAGATGTGCATTCGATTGATTCGTAAACAGATCGAATGTTAAAAATTGTCATTATCCACGTTAATACACTACCAACCAAAAGTTTAAAATTTCTTGTCATATAGGCTAAAACAAGATATATAAGCGAAGAATATTGTTTTCAGTTAGATCCTCTTCAAGCTTAACAAATATAATGAGCATATGAAAGTAGTGAAGAATAAGAAAGAATTAGGAAAAATTTTCAATGATAAAGTTGTTCATTAAGTATTCCCTGGCCAAAGGAGAGATAAAGGATGTACATACTGCTTCTGTACACAAAAACTAGGATTCTAAGCTCGAATTCCCACAGTTTCTGCTATGTATAAACAGCGAGTTTGAATACCTTTCAAAAGACTAGGTTGTATGCGGTGAATAATCGTTCTCTTATCTACCCAGTGACTGCTATTAACAAGATGAGATAAAATAAAACTTCCAAAGGATTTTATCAGTCCCTTTCCCAACCATGAGGGTAGATGTTCATCAACACATCTGTTGAGTTGTCTAGTAGTACGCTGTATATTAGCTTTTTCCATAGGAACAGCTAAACTTGTAAATACACACAGAAATGGCAAAACTGATCTTCTGCCTGAACAACAACAATTCGTCGGGTGATAAATGATAAACAGAGTCGCATGGAACAGAAAGCCTTCCAAATGGCTGTAGAGAGTTTCTGATATCAAACTTCTCAGGCTATACCTCCATTAAATAGCAATTTCACGAACAATGGTTTATTCTGTACGGCAATAATTCCAGGTTTGTTTCCCCTCGCTTTGTCCATGTGTCTTTAAAAACCTTACAGTATTATGATCTAAATCTGAAAGTTAAATTTTAATCTTTCGTTACTTTGAAGTTAAAAGAATGAAATTAAAACATCGTTTAACAAACATGATTATTTTGTTAGATGTACGTGAAGTTCATGGTGCCAGCGTATAGATTCAACACCCGTACAGAAACATTTTAAGAACATTGATAGAAAAAGCACATAAATAGCCTAGTGGGAAAGATTCTGCCTGACGTACATTAACCATGAAGATAGCAGATCTCCATGAAGCTTCACACGCCGTGAAACCTGGAAATCATGGTTCCGATCTTTGGCGAGGCCACACAGCTGAGGAGTTCAACACTAGGGCGAAACAGGTGTCCAGTGTCACCACATTTTCAATAGTCCTCCAACTAATGTCATTGCGTGATGAAATTTTGATCACAATGTTTATAAATACTGAATGACGGATGAACTTTGCCTGACTGTTTATGGTCGAGTCAGCCTGAATTACCGACTAATGTACTGACTTAATTAACATTCCCTGCATACTCATTTTTCGTTCTCTCTATTTACGTTATGCTTCTTATTGTGGATATGAGTCGGTTTTACAGTCTCAAGCTGCAATATCACTTGTCTGTTTTCTTAACTGTAAGACATCTTAGTCATGTTGAGTGAACAGGGTTCCTAGATTTTGCTCCATGTTGCCACACGACTATGATTTCTGTGTGTGATCACTCAGTCTAGTGATATATGTGTGATGAATAAAGGGATGACCTGAACCGCTCAAAATTAACTTGGTTATACGAATAGGCGAGGTATCTTCAGCCAAACGACATAGTGAAACCAATTTTGTTATTGTAACTGTTGATTTTTATCATTTTGACTATCTGAGGTTGCTGTGATTTGCCAGACTTGTGTTGATACTGGGTGGTGATTGAAGGTGAAATTTGAAAACTGTAAATTCGAAAATTTAAGAACCGAAACTTTGGACCGTGGTGGGACTCGAACCAGCCACGACCAAGTTTCCGGCCCGGTGATCTACCAACTGTTAATTTCTAAATAGCTTTCGAATTGATGCATTGAGAATACTCAGCTAAAGGGCTAAATACCGGTATTCATGTAAGAACTACCAAACGAACTTAAGTTATTTGGAATTCTGTGCACACCTCAAGAAAATTGTTTTATTTCATGGAAAAAAAATATGGCCAATGCGAAATAAAAGCAGTTTAGTTGTGGAGATTTTGTTTTTTAGGATTCCGACTTGAAATCATTGATGCTAAAGTTTGTTTTGTTTTAGACCTGGAGTAGCCATAATATCTTACATAAAATCAATACAAAAGAAAAACATTTCTTTAACCCTAACTCTGTAAAAAGTAGTCAAATGACCAAGATGTTTACTGATTTATTCGTAGAGTTATTTCCCTTGTATCAAACAAACATGTTTGAATTCGCAGTTCCACGATTTAAGTTTCCAACTCCTTTTTTTACTTTATGAGAACTACCGTCTAAACCTTGAGACAAATTTGTCAGAAACATATAACTATTTGCTTAAATGTTTGAGTACAAAGTAATGAATGTAGTCCTAACGCTAACCATGATTACAATGGTTGATTGATTTTTAAATGCTCTCATGATAGATAATGTGCTGCAGTTTTTGTTATGGTCGCTGACACTACTGGCGAAAGAAAATAGCTAAGTCCGAAACCGACTGACAGATTAGTATCGCGCCATCACAAGACGTTCATGTGTGAATTAGTTATCTGTTCAAAGAGTAATAAATTAACTTCAGTGCTATGATAGAATGTAATTTCATTTTAGTGAAACAGTATGACTTAGTGATAAATAATACTCCTTTCTTTAATTGTCGTTTAGGTTTCATTTGGCTGAATGAGCTTATTCCTTATCATGAACGAAATGCATGAACTACTATAAAGTGTGGTGAATTGAACCAATGCACCTCTCTACAAAGTTCTGCTTTCATTTTGTCTGTCTGTCCTACTTGATAAACAGTTAACAAGTGGATTTGTCTGAAACACTGGTCGACTTTTCATCATTTGGTTGTGACTAAGCTAAATCTCTTCACATGTCTACAGCAATTTTTATTTCTCAGTGTGGTATTTTGTGAAGTGAAAGACGCCCGGAAGGAATCTTTTCATCTTCAAATGTACGTTTCAACCGATCCACTCTCCACTATGTCGTTCACTTGTCTGAATGCTGTGTAGATAAAAGATTTTAGGCGTACTGTTTTCGAAAAGACGCACTGTAGCATTTATCACAGTGGTCATTGGTTTAGATGAAGGAATGTAATGTGACATACTAGGTGTAGCTAAAGAAGGCTGAATCAATAGAAGTAACTGAGTCTAGTTTAGGTACTCTTATTCTATAAATACTGAAATAACTTGTCACTAGCATCTTAACGTGCCTCATTGAGAGGTATTAGTTTGAGATTTGAAAAGCATGTAAGTGGAAGGTTTTAGATGTATTACTAAAGATGAAACCTGAATCCACGACTTCTTATAGACTGACCCAACGCATTTGTATTTTACTAGTTCTAATTGAACTTCCACAATTTTTAATGTTTTGAGAATTTTTTCCTCTATCTACTCAAAGGCATGGGAAGAACGTCTTCTACACATACAGGAAACAATTGATGAATGGTTAAAAATGCAAGCACAGTGGCTGTATCTAGAACCAATATTTAGTTCAGAAGATATTATGCAACAAATGCCTGAAGAGGGTCGTCAGTTTCAAGTTGTTAATCGTAACTTCAGAGATATCATGAAGAATACAGTGAAAGATCCCAATGTTTTAAAGGTATGGTAAAATTATGAATTGTACTAAGCAGTTTTGTAAACTATGTCTTATCTCGAACCTTAGTTATGTTTTCAGATTTCATTGTTGTAACATGTGATAAATATCTTGCGTTCATTTGTCAGTTTTTTGAAGTTAGACAATAAGACATCCAGCATGCGTGTAAAACCAACGGTTTTAGAACATTCGCATCTGTCCTGATCACTAGGTCAATAATAATTCAACTCTTTTTAGAATATCGCACAATTAAAATGAATTTTGTTAAAAAATGACCTTTTATTGCTGTTAGTTCCTTTGAAAAACTTTCGTAAAGCAGGAAGAACAAACAATGTTGGATGAAGTAAACGTTCTGTACAAGTCACACAGAGATGTACTGATTTCAAAGTAATTTATCTGAATCAGTGTATGGAATAGGTCGATTCTCGTTATACATGCAATAATAAAGACGTTGAAATCGCTTCTTTTCCAATACAAATTTAAAACAAGCAACTAATATGAAAAAAGCAGGATTTAATGAATTCATAAATTTCAGTAGTACTCGTCAGCTGGATACTCTACATACTTGATTATATATACCTTTAAACAAGGGACAGATTTAGGTAATAGCAATATAGAATTGAACAGTTTTTACAGGTCAAGTGGTAAATACAAAGGGTTGAGCTGGATAATTAGAATTGAATTGGTTGGGGATAGGTTAAAGGAGTTTGGATAATAGTGGATTTCAGGAAGAAAAATGTGATAATAACCATAATAATGTTGACACAGGTGTAAGGACTGAATCGACTGAGCGTCGATCACGTCATTGAAAACAAGATAGTTAATAGTACTTATGCAGACAATAAGAAAACTAGTTGCATATTGAGATGATTAATAATGATAACAGTGGAGTAGGAATAAGGTTAATTAGGCAAAACAAATCACGAAAGGAAAACGAAATATCATATCGGTGATAATGAAGAGCAAAGAGCAAGTAAGAAAGATTAAATATGATTAGACAATGTTGTAATTCTTGCCATGGCAGATTCAAGCTGACTACCATTTCCTTCTGAATGTAGAGGTTTGTTTTTACAACTAGAATCGCGTAGGCTTCTGCATATCCAAACAAATTCTTATTTTACTGTGTACTGATAGCCGTAAAGGACTTACAAATATCAATATCATGTCCATAATCCGTAAAGTTGTTCGTCATCGAGCTCCTCGGGGTCTTTTTCTGGACATCCTTTAACTATTTGAGAAGGTACTCAACCATTCGGGTAGACATATATGTATGTAATTTTTTTCGTTGTTTAACGGTACATACCATCAAGTATGTAGAGTATCTAGCTGATGAGTACTACTGAAGTTTGTGAATTCATTAAATCCTGTTTTTTTTCACATTTATTCCTTGCTTTAAATAGTCACGTCATCCACATCTACATAGTCCATTTTGTATAAGAACAGAAAAGTGCACGAATTTCCTGACTTCGCCAAACAAGACGTCAGTTAGCGAGTATGAGCATGCGAACTTGCATTACTGAGTTACAGTTCAAGTCACCCCAGCTAACATACTGTAACTTGAAACAAAACAGCAAGATGAAATAAAAATGAGGATGAAAATGTAATTAAAGTCATAAGGAGAGAGAAATAGGGTTAAGATAATAACGAAATGTTATATAATGACTTAGCTGAAGATAATGTGTACATACATCTGCACCGCTGAGATAGCGTAATATCACCTAGGATCTCCAATCACTGATTTTAGTGGTCACCCAGGTCCCAAACTGAAAGCTGATGTTCCCCTCCATGCCTCAGATCAACACTCAAAGGCCTTATAGACTATCACCACATTCTAGTCTAGTGGCCTATCACCTTCTTCTAGCCTAGACCCAACAACACCTTACAAATTGCTGTGCTGATGACAAATCACACGACGAAATCGGTGAGTGAACATGTAAAGACTGTTTGTGGTATCGGTAGCAGGTAAATACGGTCGTGATAACACTAATGACAGCAATGAAGAGTGGAGTACAAAGTAATAGGAGATGTTACTGCCAGGTGAATAACTGGAATTCGATAAAACTAATGTTAGAACTGGATGAAAGAATAGCAAGAACAACTGTGTTAGTTATTGTACCTTTTACATTTTTAATTCATTGTAACGAATTTAAAATTAAACTTGATAGGAATTTGTCATATGTTCAAGAAGGATATGAAGAATGAAAATATGTAGGAAGAAAACAGGAAATAACACAGACTGCAAGTATTAGAGAGGTAAAACAAAAACACTACATCAATACAAGCTAAAGCGCAAATTATTTTGCTCTACATAAATTAGGTTTCGGACCAATCTCTGCTGTGCTTACTGGTTCGACAGCTCCTGTGAAGTGGGTTACATCGGGCACTATTCTATGAATTTAACTTTTCATTTTCGTGAATACTTCCTGACGGGATAAAAGCATTACAAATATTAGTGAAAATTGAGTATTAGTTCACATAGTTCAAACAAACTATGTGATGGATGTGAATGAGTCTTTTTCGATTTACTGAGATCCCTTCAAATTGTTGGAAGAGATCAATTTCCAAACCCTTCGAACTACACAAGAAGTAGGAATTTGGGTGAAATAAACTTGATTATGTTTTTAGAAAGGCAAAGTAATGCGGCTACAAATGGTCTGAGCTTACCTGGGATTAACAAAGTGCTGGGCATCTTATTACACGAAACCCAATTTTTGACCACCAAATTAGATATATTCCCTCATCTCTATATTCGGAGACAATTTTATCACATCCACACAGTGATCCACTATGGAAAGCTCAGCAACGTTTTTGAAATGAAGTGAGGACAGGAGTAAGACAAGGCTGCCTACTATCACCCATGATCTTCCTTATTTTAGTGGACTGAATCATACAGCAAACCGTGAGGAGCGAGATGGGCATGCGCTGGACCGATGAAAAGACCATAGAAGATTTGGATTTCGCCGATGATTTGTGTCTAGTGTCAAACAAACTCGGAGATCTACAAGTAAAATGTAACAAGTTGACAGAAGAGGCAGGGCAGCGAAGACGGGACTTCAAGTGAACGTAGAGAAGACAGAGGTGATGAAGACACCCAACTGACAGCTACTGAAGCCCTATGCTCCACTAGTAACACAATGGAAAAATAATAATATCAGGACTTGATATGAATATGGACAACAAATTATGTCCAAAATATTACTCAGTAAATAATACTGTTTCACTGAGTGACTCATCTAAGAAACAGACTATAATGGAGTTACAGTTTACCACAACGACAAACTTTTATTTGATCATCAAGCATAACAAAAGATCTGCCAGATAAAACATAAAGAGGAGTAATAACGAAATAAAGATCACAAGAGAAACTATAAGGTAAAGATAATTTTTTCCTGAATACATAAACTAGATGCGAATTATTGTATATCTAAGGCTTTATTAAACCTCCGCATATAGTCCTAACGGCTCCCATATAATGGCGTCAGTCTTATGACATGTTTCCATTTTTTATCTGCAGGTGATGATATCCTTTTACTCCCTTTATTTATTTGACTCCTTGAATGTAATTGTTCCTCCACCTATTTGTGGATAGGTTCCACTAACCTCAGATTCATAGTTTGATTATTCCTCGAAAGGTGTGTCATCGCACATATCTAAACTGATTTCCACAACGGAATGTGACGTAATTATCTGAGTGGTTATGAGGTGTGTGTCGCAAGGTGGTTTTTGTTTTCTCTAGAATAAACAGTTTGTCTGCATTGTACTTTCTTGTAATAACTAAATTAAGCCTCCATCTTAAAATCATGCAAATTTATATTTTCCAAGCCACATCTATCTCGAATAGTCATACTGATTATATCTTCGTCTATAGAATTCTACTTCCATAAACACCCACACAAACCAATGAACCAAAAATGAAGAGTGACTTCAAAGGCCACCATGACAAGTAACTCAGTGGTAGCTTCCTCTACCTGAGATGCATATTTGGAATCCGTTCCCACTTATTTTTAAGCAAAAGATGTCAGTGGAAAAAGTCGTGAACCCACATTACTTTAATTGGCTGCAAAACGTATTACTTATCTGGAATCACTGTGTGTCTATAATAAGTGCCAATCTCAGTAGAATCCTGACAGAACACAGCTTAAAGTTACGAAACCATGATGACTAAAAACTCGTAAAGTCTCTAGCTACTAATCTGATTAAATGTGAAGAAATGCAGAATGTAATTGGATTTCTCAACATTACAGGGATGCGTGGCTGGGAAATTGGTAACATTGAAGTAGCTGTATTCGCTTCTTATCACCTTTAACATTCAGGACACCTTGGCCTTCTTTTGTTTGTAGTCACTATTCTCATATATCTTGCCTACTTCAGCGTACAACATTAGCGGAAGTAGGATCGGAGTGGAAGAAAGTCAGCAGATAGCCAACTAAAACGATCAAACAACCTCTAAAGTCTCTGACCGTTGTAGGAACATCTGTTGAGAGATTCAGATTACGTGGTTGGCATCTTCAGGGTGTTACGAAACAACTTTAATTGACTTTCGGTGGTATGTTTCAAAATAAGTTCACTAGGGTGAAGATCTATAGACTCATTTTCGTGATTCTGAACATTTTTCTAACCATTGGTTTGTTTTCTCTTCTCTTTCTCTCCCTCTCTTTCCCTCTTGTCTACTTTGTTATCATTCTTCTCATGTGCACCTTTTGTTTGTAGGCTGCTGGACAGTGATTAAATCTCACTCGTTGTACCTTTATGCCGGACGTTGGGTTGTTATGTCTGCCTTTGTGAGCTAGATCCTGAAGGAATTAGTAACAACTAAACACTTGGTTGTGTAGACGTAATGTTCCGAGTTCACTGATTTATAGTAGATCGGTGATTAACATCACTTCAAGAAAAGGATATGTGCACAAATCACAATGTTTAAATATTACCCAAAGAAATAGTATAATCTCTTTCTCATTAGTAAGTAAATACTTATTGTAATGCTGTAGTGATTTCTCTTTTGCTTTTTTTACTTGTCCAAATTAGGCAACTGATTTCCCAGGGATTCTGGAAAAAATCAAAGATAGCAATGCGCTACTGGATAAAATTAATAAAGGCTTAAATGCATATTTAGAGAAAAAACGTTTGTACTTCGCAAGATTTTTCTTCTTATCCAACGATGAAATGTTGGAGATCTTATCGGAAACCAAAGATCCCCTTCGTGTGCAACCTCACCTGAAAAAGTGTTTTGAAGGTATTGCTAAGTTGGAATTTGACAGTCGTCTGGATATTAAGGCAATGTTTTCAAGTGAAGGTGAAAAGATTAAATTAAGTCAGGTGATTTTTCTAAAATCTATCTCAATATCGTGCAATTAACTTTTATTTTTTGTATCTTCATAGTCTATGGAAATCAAAACTATAATGAGTTTGTAGTGGATAAGCTCCCTCAGATCTGTGAAGTAAAGTGAGTTTTCTTAGATTTTTTAGTGATTACTTAAGAATTAGCTGGAAGAACATAATGTGATTGAAGTAAATATTCTTTCTCGTCGATTCATAATATCTCACACCGAAGCACATTTCACCTCAACGTCGCACTACTTAGTGGTCACACTGAACAACTGATCAACATGCTACTATCAGCACATAATTTTTGGATGACAAATTCATCTACAACTATCTTCTTAAACTACAGAAATTTTCTGAAATGGGTGTTTTTGAATTACATGAAATTAGAAATATAAATATCTGGTGCTGTGATTTGTAAGATATTAGGGAGCTAATTGATTGTTAATTGATAAAGTGACACAAAAGCGTCTTATTCACCTTATGCCTATGCTCTCCGTAATTGAAATTTACAAATTTTCAAGTGTATAACACCCTGAAAAATCTTCTTACCTTTATCGATTTTAGAAGTGGAACTGAAATGCTCCATCGAACGATAACAAGGGTATTTTTCCCTACATAGTTTGCCTCTTTATTTATTATTCAAAAGAAATGTACCGATTGTATCATTATGAAGTTCTATAAACAGCCTTGATTGGAATTATATACTTGCTAGATATTTCTTTCATAGTATGACAGTACTCCAACACCACTTAGTCGACATTCACCCTCAGGTCAGGAAACATCAAAATTGTCGGATGTGGGTAAGTTTGTCTGTACTTTATAGCCTGAAAAAGGGTGAAGATCTGATCTATGCACCTTGCAGGCCTTAAGCCTACATGGTTCTCTCAATTTGTTGTTCTCCAGCTGCAGATAGACGTTTTCGGTGACTATGGACGAAACCTCTCTCACTTGCTATAAAATTAAGTGATCAGTCAACTAGAACCATCTGACGGTACTACTTTCGATCCCCTTACACTCCGTAGTACAATTGGTTTGAAGTGAGAGACTGATAAGCAATCTCGGTTTATCAAATCAACACTAAATATCTACAGTGGTAATAATTCAGCACTTGTTCCAGGTATACAGAAAATCTTACTGCCTACAACATAAGGAAGGTGAGAGAATTACACTTACATGTCTCAAAGTTGTGGAGTTACCTGGTATAAAATCGACAATAAGTTGTGTCCGAAGCATTATCCACTCAATAATACTGTTCCCTTGCGTGACATGTCTAACAGATCATTGAAAATGGAAATGAAGATCTATTCATTTTTGAAAAACGTAAATATGAGCCGTGTAATTTGAAAATAATTTAATCATCTTCATAAAATAGCTCATTGGATTAAGTATCCAGCTTCCGTCCACAAACTAATGGATTTCAGCCCTATTCCACCTACTAAGAAATGTGCAACCAAATGAAATCATCAGCCCTGATACAATATGCTAGATTAGTCCTGTGATCTATGGATCTGTATATCTTTTATGAGTTGTAATTATTCATTTTCTTTAATAATATAACTTACTGATTTCTTTAGATATGTATTTTCTTTCCTCTTTTTTCTTAGCCTATAAGTACATCGGAAGCACGTGGTTCTGTAGAGAAATGGTTACTCCAGGTAGAAAAAGTCATGATTATGTCAATCAGAGATGTAATAGCAGCGGCCAGAGAGGTCAGTTACTGTTTTGACTCAGCATGTTCTGTATGGTGTTCCATATTACATTTGTTTATTTGATTTATAACACACTGTATAATTTACTTCATGACGTTTTGAGCATAAATTATTACTCATAATGATACCAATGTAATCCCATTACTCTCGACATCTGATTTTATAGTCTTGTTACCTCATATTCTTACTCTACTTTCCCCGAGTGCGACCCATTGTGCTGTTTGGTGAGTGTGTGAATCTGGCTGCTTGACACTTCGCCTCCAGCTTTCTTACAGAAGTATGCAACTACATCAATGGTTGACGTTGAAGTTGCTTTATTGTCCCCTATTAATCTTTTTTCAACTCAAGGCTTGTCTTGGTTTGATTAGTTGATCCACACCGACAGCTCGGCTGATTGAAGTTGACGTCTTGATTCACTTTGTCTCACACTGATAAGTTGCTTTGCTTTCACTCAAAGAGTGTTTTTTGCTTTCGCTGGTTTCTATGTTGACGGTTTCTTTTTCTATTACTTGGTTAGCTACCGGAATGTGATTTACCATTCCCAATTAGTCTTCATATAATTGATTGATAATCTTCGCTTTGATTGGGTTGAGACTCTCCTTGGATTTCAATTGTTTGATCCTTGTCACTGGTTTGCTTCGAAAAGGCGCATATATCTTGCATTTAGTCGATTTGGCGATTTATTATTGAAGTGTTCTACCGCTATGTACCAGAGGTTTTCCAACAGCTTCGAGTTTGTACGTTTAACAATTTTTAAGTTACCCATCATTGATTGGACCGAACTGATAGGTCTCTATTGGCATATGGGCTCCTGGCGTTTGAAGCCATCGATCCCGAGTTCAAGTCCAGGTGGGAACAACATCACTCACTGGAAGGCAGGTACATCCAGCTGATGAGTCTTACATAGGAGGAAACGCGCCTCCTGGATTCCACTGCTAGCCACTATCCATCATTAATATATTTATGGTTGTTAAAATGTATTTTTTGGAACAAGAAACTTTAAATCCTGGTGTTTCACGATTAGATACTATCCTGGAGATATAAAGTGATCACCAGCTAATTGAAAACAAAATTGTAAATAACGAACATCAGTAATCAATGAACTGTCGTTTGAAAAGGATTTTCAAATGTCTGGTACAGGTTTGAAAGTAATCTAAGCAAGGTCCAAAACCTAACTTTGGGGCTTATCATTGTGCTTTTGTAATCTCAAGAGACTCAAAATTGAATTATTCAGTCACCTGTTTTATAAGAATCAAGACATCGGACAACAAGAAGATGTATAAGCAATAACCAGTAAACCATCTGTGAATTTCTTTCCAAGAGATTCTGAATCAAAGTGATTTTCCAACAATAAACGAATAGCTCGGGTTACGCGTAAAATCTAAAACATGGGATTTGTCTGGAATATGGTTCTTTATGAATCAACAACAGTAAAAATTAAATAAAAAACCTCAAATAGTGAGGTATCTGTGGGTTTAGCGCTGTCAAAGCGCCTTGTAGAGAGTGTGTCAGTATTACAACAGCAGCATTGCGTCCAAGAGAAACCAAAATGGAATATAAAGGATGCGCACATAGTTCCCACGATGAAGACAAGACATGAGATAAACAAATTTTCAAGGTGAAATAGAACATCAAGAATCAACGAAAGGGATTCCAACACTATCATGAACAGGGAAAGGAACTAATGTCTAGAGATGCTGAATGATGATCCAGAAATGATTGAATACAGTGAACAGTCAAGTTGAGGATGAAATAACATTAAAGGAAAAAATAAATTGTACTATTCACAATACTAAGTAGTAGAAAACTAAGGATATAAAAAACGAATACAAAGCTCACATTACGTGGCAGTAAACGAGATCGAGGTAAAAAAAAAAGCGTAAACACTACCTGAATGATAATAATTAAACATTAATATCGAATCCCCACTAAATGACTGTCATAAAATACATATGAATGTTGTTACGGTTGCGCGCCGCTCGCGAACTACGTTTGTATAGGCCCGAAATACCATCATGTATACTTAGTTTCCAAACTTTGCGATCCCACTATCGTGAGACGAGATAAAATGGGAGGGGACAGATAAAAAGATAATGGACAATCATGAGGGATTGTAGGCGAATTTTAAGGCCACCCTGGCAACTGATGTCCAATCCCGTTTTGGTGTTCCAGTTAGAAACCCAGTCTTTCGTTAGATGTAGAATCCCAATTGGTTATCTCGGCAGTTGCTAGGGTGGCCTTTTAAAGTAGCTCGTGACTTTAAAGGTCACCCAAACAACTGCTAAGGCAACCAATTGCTTTTTTTAAGTGAATGTCCACCTTCCCTGCCGAAAAATAAAACCACGGTTGGTTATTTCAGTAGTTGTTAGGGTGGCCTGTAAAATCGAGAGATTTTAAATAATGACTCTGAAGGCCACCCTGGCAACTGCTGAATGGACCAATCAGGTTTCAATATTTCGTCTGGGAAAGTACTTTTCCATAAAATAAAGGAATGTAATTGACTTCAAAGCCCACCCTAGCAACGGTCGAAATAACCAATTCAATTTCTTTTTTTCCTTTGGAATGATAGATTTTCATAAAATAGATAAGTCTGATTGGTTATTTCAGTTGTCTCCAAGATGGCCTCTAAAGTCGCTCTTGAAGTCACTTAAATGTATTCACAATACAGTTCAAAAGTCGCAACCAATCAAGTATCGTTGAAACACTGTACAAGCAGACAAACGAAAAGGCATTTATAACGATAAAATCAAATTGAGAAACGCAAGTAGTATGGAGTACCAACAATATGCTAGGAAGTTAGATGGCGGTTAAAATGCAAAATATTAACTTTAGCTTAACACTTAGTTATCGAAAATCGCGTTTACCCTTTTTTATTTATTTCCCAAACTAAAGATGGTGGAAACTGACACTTCATTCATTTGTCCTCAGTGTGTGATAACTGCCACTGATTTGTCAACTATTTTGCAACACAATGGGAATTCACTTCGTATAAATAGATGTTTAATGTGGAATCCATTATAATACACTTAGTCATTATACTAGTTTGTTTTTGTATTTAGACTTCAGTCGTCCGCTTGAAACTATTCGGAGTTGCTTAAACCCAATTTTAACAGTTCACCTGAGTACTAATATGTGAAATAAATGAGTTCTCAGTTGTTCATTTGCTTAGCAAATAATACGAGAAATGAAAATCAAACACTAACTGAAGGTCAGCCCACATAGGGACAAAAATACAAAAAAATTGGAAAAATGTTGGTCGTAAGCAATTCATACATGCAATGAAAAACGTAATATAGACTGACACAACACTGCTATACTACTACTAATAAAGTTCAACAAAAGCAAATAGAAAGAAAGATTAGTAACAGAATATATATTTATACATATCACCCCTGAAATATGCAACAAAGGTGGTTCAACGTAACTGTCAGCCATTGTTTCGAACAAACAGGCTAACGAACAATTAGGAAAGATAATATCATAATAAATATACAGGCTAGGCATCCGCATAGAAGCTTATAAGCCAACACAAGTCAGCCAATTAGATCCAGTAAAACAATGGAAAATTAAAAGTGGAAAAAATATTTGAAAACTAATACGCGTTGTACAAAACGCTACTATCATGCCTCAGTGACTTAGTGGATGTCGCTTTGGCGTTTGAAGCGATGAGCACAAGGTTGGAGTCTCAGTCGGAACGAAATCACTCATTAGGATGCAGTTACATCCAATTCACAAGAACGAAAAAGGACAAAACGTGCGTCCTGGACTCCACTGCTAACCACTACCAAGTCAGTGAAGTAATATATATATATATATATATATATATATATATATATAATGACAAATTTGTGAATAAGTATATTGAGAGATCCATGTGTTGGTGTGATCACGGGCAGTCATTTTGCTCTAAATATTACCAGGAAAAACCTAAACTTTATATATAAACTTGTCATTAATAATTTATTTTTGATATATTGAACATATAGCTACTCTGATAGTTAGTTACCTTGTCTGACCTGAATCTAAGACTCATTCAATTTTCGAAACGACCATATTTGATAATTATCGAAATTCATTGGCAGACCGATTTCAACTGTGTTCTTAATTCATCTATGATCTGTTACTCGTCGATCAAGATGTGTAGAGCTATTTGGAGCCAAAATAGTTACGCATATCCTGCAGATAAACCCCGTTTTCAATTATATCAAGCATCATATTTTGATCTACAAATTTACTTATTTAGTAGTCCAATAATTATTTTAAATTTCGTGGATTATTTGCATGAATATTTGTTGAGGTGTGTTATCTTCGAATATTTTTCATCGTCTTTTATAGGCTTATACAGATGAAATTCGTGAAATGTGGGTTTGTCAGTGGCCTGGGCAAGTTGTACTGTGTGTATCACAGATATACTGGACAATTGAAGTACATGAAGCACTTGTAGATGAAATAAAAGGCTTAGAAAATTATTATGAAAAATTAAATAAACAGATGACTGATATAGTTAGATTAGTTCGAGGGAAATTGAATGCACAACAACGTATTACACTTGGTGCACTTGTGGTCATTGATGTGCATGCACGTGATGTTGTACACGATATGATTAAATTGGGTGTAACCTCGGAGAATGATTTCAATTGGTTATCACAGCTAAGATATTATTGGGAGAACGAAAATGTTCAGGTAATATGCTATGTTGACTTTTCTTCTCATTTATATGAAAACTGATAAAGTAGTTTTAGGTTTATAGAGATTTTATTCTTAACGTAGTATTCATAATAGATTGACACCAGCTGGATAACCATTGGAAACCTGGGAGCACTAGACATGTGTTTCGCCCTAGGTTGGGACTCCTCAACGGTTTGCAACCATGACCTCGTGAGGAGTCGAACGCAGAACCACAAGGTCTTATGATGAGAACATTATTATTCGGCCACTGGGATAAAATCCAACTATTCACTTTTCCTATTTTTGCCGATTCATGTTATAACGTGATTGTCAACTGATGCCATTGATGGGTATTTGCATCACTGCCAACCTGATCGATTTCTCAAGCAATACTTTTTGGAATTCTAAGGATCTTTATTTGCCAAGTCACAGAGTGATATCCCTTAAAAGACCATTGAAAATAAACAAGTGCATGTAACCACCGAGTTCTAGCAAGATAAAACTTCAGTTTTTCATTACATTAATAGCCAACAGTATAAAACATTGATTATGCTCCCGGAGAGTCGTTAAAAGACTTCAGTTGTTATTGAAAAACACACGTGGCTGGTTAGGAGAACATGGATCATGATGAAACCATGAATTAAAGCTACACCACTAGATCTAAGAAAAGAGTATTCCGTTTGAATTTAGGCTCCGTTATTCTAAATTTCGTACGGTGATCTTAGAAGCTAATACACAGAAGCTGGATGCCCAAAGAAATCATGACTGGATACTGACAAAAGAGGAGCAGTTGCCCAAAGCTACCTGATTTTCAAAAGTAGTTTGTGGTGTTAAGTTGAAAAAAGATGACTGTATATGGTTAAATAAGTTAAACTAACAAATAATTGTAGTCTTGGGAAGTATGTGAAACGAATCTGTTCGTTTCAAAACATATGGAAAGGAGAGGAGCTGTATATGGTTACTTACGACAGGTTGATAAGTAAAAAAAATTTTGAAGATTTACTAAAATAAAGTTAGATGTGCAGAGGTCATAATAAGGTCATCACTGAATCATAATCAGCCATCACTGGTGTTTGAACCAACTCTCAACCGATAGCTGGTACCTTGACGCAGTCTTTGTGCTTGCATATCGCAGTGACCCAACAAGCTACGATGGTGGGGCACTTGTTCCCTCAAGGTTCTACTATACTAAAAATATCAGTTGGATAGTGGTAAGACGAAAAGCAGTTACCGTTATAGTGTAGGTTACTGCACGATGATGGAGGTCAGAGAGTGAAGTCATAATGCTGATTGGACAGAGGCATAATGGCATTAGGGTGTTACCCACAAAAAGCCAGCAGTACCACGCTGATGTCGCCTTCCCTGTAGAAAAGGAGGGGGATTAGAAAAGGTCGAACCTGAAAACGGAGCACACTCCCATACCCCACGGCATACCAAAACCATTAATATAGGCTCTTAACCTGATTCGTAAAAAACAAACTAAACTATCAAACCCCCAAAAAGAATGTGTATGATCAGCCTCGAACAGATGTCATATGGGTTCTGTTGTCACACAGTAACCCTCCTTCTTTAGATGTCTCAAGAAGAACTACTTTTCCACGGTATCGGCGACCAGGAAGTGTCGGCTTCCCTCACAACTCTGTCAGAACTCAACTTCCCTTAGATCAAAATCTACCTTCTACATCCTTACCTTCCAATCTCACTTCACGTCTCTCAGTCAGTAATCCTATATCATGTATAATTTCTTTCAGCTCTACAGCTATTGATGATGATTAAGGTCCATGCAAGAATATTCCTGATTTCCTGAAATCACACTTAAAAGTATATATTAAAGTTTTCCGCACCCTTCATCAAATTGGCCAATGTGTTGTTTTTGTGAGACACGCACATGATTTAAGTGCAGTTATTCACTTAAGGTCATTCACTAAATATGGTGAATCTAAAAAACACACCCTTCCAGTTTCTGCAGATTTGATAGCTATCTCTGGTTATATTGCAGGCGTAAGTATAGCTTTGAGTCCTACTGCAGAAAGTGCACTGCTCTACTGAATTCCAGTTGACAGTCGCCTAGCCGCTGTTTGCCTGAACGACAGTGAGGACAAAAAAGAGTGGTGAAACTCACCGCTGTCACTCTACAGTCTCTTCTTACTCACTCGTTGTCTGCAGCTGAGTGAAGTGAAGGATGATTTCTATCGAAAAGTGTTTAGCCTCCCACTGAAAGCCAAATTTTTAGACGACGGTTTCTTAACAGGTGATTTGAATGCAGAGTAATTAGGCTAAATAGGGTAGAATGGCACATAGATGACACATTCGAAGTCCCAGCCAAATGAACAGATAATGGCAATCACCTGCTACAAGTGTACTCAGACAATCACTTATTTCTGGCCGGCAAGAAATTCAGAGATAAAGACAGACACTATCTTACGTGGTATTCACCGAACTCAACTCAACAATGAACACAAATTGACCATACTGCTTCCAGCTGTCGCTGGAGAGGATCAGTGGAAGATTCCCGCTCCTTCTAGGACACATATCTGCAGAGCGACCATGCACTAGTTCCATCACCAGCATATGTGCACTTGAATGGACATAAGAAACTACAGGAGCAAGACTTTCAGGAATGCTGCTTGAAGATGAGAATACTAGGGTTGTTTTCAAAACAGGACCACCTAGACAGTTATCAGAATAGAATAACTTCTCTGATCCAGAAAAAGCCTGCCAACATCTTCAGCCTGGTGTGAAAACAATGTAAAATACTGTAGATGAAACTGAAAAAAGGATTAGAAAGAGCCAGAAGATCTCAGCAGCTTCTCCTAAATTGTTGAGAGTCCAACTTAGAGCGGAATTAGCTGAAACGTAGGCTAAGAAAAGGTTTACACAATAATCGCGAACACTGGTGGGTGGTGAAGGCTAAAGAAATGGGAAAGACGTCAGGAATAGGTAAGAGTAGACAGTTATTTAGGCTTATCAGGTAAACTAGAGTGAAAAGGTTGATGGTTGGTGCGAAACCAACAGGGGTACATAGTTATCTAGCTAACAGATTGAGAACAGGATGGAATATCAGTGATGAACTTCCTTGTGTAGCTCTATCTAAACACTATAAAAACGATGTAATTGATTTATATAACAAAGGAGTACTTAAAATTTTTTTAATGATCATACCTGAGTATTACAGGTTAAGCTTACAAATGCCAAAGTGGCGTATGCATATGAATATTTGGGTAATTCTCCTCGTCTCGTTATTACTCCTCTCACGGATCGATGCTATCGAACACTGATTGGAGCATATCACTTAAATTTAAATGGTGCACCAGAAGGACCAGCTGGAACTGGTAAAACGGAGACCACAAAAGATTTGGCCAAAGCTCTTGCTGTTCAGTGTGTAGTGTTCAACTGTTCAGATGGTCTGGATTACATTGCTATGGGTAAAGTAAGTTAATAGATCCTTTTCAGAAAAATTGTTGGATTCACTCTATGTGTAAATACTAGGTTGGCTTCTAGTCAACGGATATTGTACTGTTTGAATGGATATTTGTTCACTTATTCAGTCAGTATACTTAAAAGATGAATACGCAGGTTATTATTTATGTATTGTGAATCTAATTGCTGGTTTGATTCTCTACCTAAGTTAACTATGAAATTTCAAGAAAGTTGTAGATGGTGTAAATATTCTTATCCTTTATGTGTAATTTATGCTTATTTAGTTTTTGCTATGTATACATAAACATTGTTTCTGTCCAACTGATGCTATATGACATGGTGAAAATTCTGTATAGTATTCCTGAAGTAGCTTTCAGAATCAAGCTATTATTAGCAAAAAAATTTTAAAAATACCTCTAGATGCCAGCTAAATTGAGATACGAACGTGGAGTTGCCACTGTACTACCTCTGTATAAAGAATACCATTTGTAAGTAATGCAATAAACTACCACTTAACATCAAAGATGCTACAATGATCATATATCGGTGACCCACTTATCATAAAACAAATGGCCAGTCAGGGATGACACGATGATCACAAAGTTCCCAGCCTTTTCACTTTCATAGAATCAGTTTGACGAAAGTATTGTTTATCTAAGACCAACATACGCAACCACATATTTGAATTCGTTTGCGTCAGATCGCTAGGTTTTCTTTGACCTACGGATATCTCCTAGGAATCCAAGCCACACTTAACTAACTTTGCAACCTAAACATGAGACATTGCAGAAAATCGTTTCAAAAATATAGAAGTTAGTTCGATGAGACAATGAAGCCAACAAAAAATTGTGACATGAAATGCTGAGTTACACGTACTACTTGCAAGTAATATTGCACTAAATGGACGTGCTACTCGAAGATTGAACCAAATTGTTCATTGAAACAAAAAGGTGGTGACAGAAATTATCTCGTTGCGAAGCAGTAGCTACTCTCATAAAACAAAGTAACTGAATGTCTCTTAGGCTACTTTATACGAAAAGTTCATCAACATTGCTTCACAAGTCACGTATTCATACTAAATACTCAGCCGCACACGTCCAGTATTGCGATTCATTATTACTATTCTAACAGTTGTTTGTCTTTATATGTATTCCATTGAATGATGTGGAATGAGTAACTTATCCAAATAAAATTAACTGTTCAAGTTATTCAGGCCTCCTGTTAATTTTGAACTTTTTATGAACATACTCCTTGCTATTTCCGAATAGAATAATACGAAATAGGAAAACAATCATAAATAAAATTGATCTGCATTGTCGATTAAGCTGGAGTTTGTTACTAAACTCTAAATGAGATCTATTTAAGCTCTGAGTGTCTTTTTCACGATATTAAATTAGAATAGTATTATTATTGACAAAAGTAAGGAGAAACTACTTGAATTTGCTTGTTTTCTTTCACTTTATTTTTCCGCTGAAATGTCCTTTTAGTTCTTCAAAGGACTTGCCTCCGCTGGTGCATGGGCCTGTTTTGACGAGTTCAATCGCATTGAACTTGAAGTTTTATCTGTCGTTGCTCAACAGGTAAGCGAGAAAAGTGTATACATACTGTTTGAAAATTGCTGTGGTTAAAAATAATATACTATTAGCGAGTTTAAAGACAACTCATCCATTAGATTACAATGAGGTTGTAGCACATCTTTTAGTGAATGATGTGAAGACAACTGTTAACTCTATGTCTTGATATGGAAAACAGTCGCATAAAACTAGAGGATAGGTCACGATACAACGCTAGGCAATTTGACTTTGAAAAGTCAGCTATTGAAATCTGGTCGAGTGCTTCTAAAGTTAGACCGTTGACTATCAAGCCTAGTGGCCGTAATTTAATTGTTGAAACTGCTAAAAAGCTATGGCGTAAGAGAAAACCAACAAAGGCTTTTCAACCGATATTTTCCCACTTTGAGAAAGACTTACTTAAACTGCAAGATTGTAGAAACTCTAGTTTGAATTACTGAGGACATTTTACACAAGCTAGAACATAAAGAAACAGTCTCACTTCACATTATGCATTAAAGCTGTTAAATTAAAAGCACTTAGTTTGATTTCGGTGATTAAATTCTTTGATTTCCCTTTCTGCTACCGCGTGCATTACTGTCACCTGAAACACTTGATTAGCTTCGGAAGCTGTGAATCGCTCTGATAAGCAATCAGTCACGACTTCTTATTGGTTCATTTCGACTTATTTACAGTCCATCACCTCAGTAAACCTTTTTTTGTTTAGCAAGTCTAGAACTCTGCTTAGTGTAAGATAGTTTAAGATACCACGAGGCTACCCATACCCAAGTAGATGAACTGGACTCTGAACTTGGAATAATTGTTTTGAGGTTGCATATTTAAGCCAATGAGTCAAACCTTTACTCTTCAGTGGTCTATTAGCCAAAATGTTTCATGTAGAACTTTGTGACTATTTTTTCGAATTAAAGCGAGTAAGGGACTCAAACATACAATGAAAAGCTGTAAATTATCGCTCAATTTTCAATTAGTATTTATTAGTTAAAAATTAGTGATGTAAATCAGAATAAAACTTTCGAGTAGAACCACAGAATTTTAGGGGGGCTGGCAGTATACAGTTTCACTATTCAAATACCCAGACTAGCTTTCATGATTTCGAGTTTTCGAATTACAAGGCCTTTACGAAGCTTCACTGTCACCTTAGTTGTCCGTATATGAATTGTTGCGTTACCAGCTGTTTTATCTTCCTGGATAGGACAAATTATTCGTTTAATCTCTTGCTGAGAGTTTGAGGAGCTTTAGCTCATTCACACTAGACAACACTATTTGGTAGCCCACAGTAAGTGAAATGTATTTTAAAAAGCGCATGATGGAAATCAACGTAAGTGGCCTACTTGAATTATAGAAAGTTAGGATGTATAAGTACCAAACTCAAGTCATACAACACTAGTCGGCTGTCAGCTTCTTTCAGTGTGTAGCCAGTATTTAGTCTACTTATGTGAACCCACAAGCTGGATGCATCTGCCATCGCCGTCAAGTTACAGCGCTAAGTGATAGCTTTGAGTTTCAGTGGGAGAAAGCAATTTAGAATGCACGCACATTCGAATGAGTGTTCCCAGATAGGATAAATACACATTCCGCATGCTACTGCTACCCAGAACCAAAGAAAGTACTATTCATTTGTTTAACTAATTCTACTGTGATAATTCAAATCACTGTTTTTGTTATAATACGCTTGGTTTGAATTTCTGAAAACATTTAGGGCTGTTTTACTGATTCACTGATTCACAGCTTGAACATGACATGCTAACTGATGTAGCTGCCTAGTCCCAAGTGCCTGGCACTAGTCAAACTCTGTCGACGAAGTTCAAGATTTTTCCACTAAGCTAAATGACTTGGCGCTCTATCACAGCTCACTGAGGTATCAGACGTCATACTTTACTATTCAGTTCGTATGCTCACCTCAGTCCTACATTGCCTAGTAAAGTCCCTGCCTTCAACACTAAATAATACACACTAGAATCTACAAGGTGAAATGAGTTTTCTAAAAACTATAATATAAGCATTGGTGATAAATATCTAAAAACACGAAAACTAGGTTTACGACTCCTTGTCAAAAGACGTTTGATATCTCACACTAATTATCAGTTTTTTTCCAGTTATCATATCAGTAGATGAGTGAGTGCTTAATTTTCTTTTTCTTGTAAACAGATTTTATGTATTATACGCGCTATTCAAGCACATTTAGAAGTATTCGTGTTTGAAGGAACTGAACTCAATTTAAATCCCAACTGTTATGTTTGCATTACAATGAATCCTGGTTATGCTGGCCGATCTGAATTACCTGACAACTTAAAAGTAAGTTATTCAATTTAGCATTGGGTAACCTTTAGTGTTCAAAGGTTTTTAAAGCAAATACACTGGCGTTCAGGCTATTAGAAGAGATATACGACTAATCAGTATCATAAGTGAATTTTTGTATTGTTGGATTTTCACACCGATAGGTGTGAAGTTATCGCTCATTGGTTTAAGTTCACTTTCAGTCAGTGGATCACAAGTTCAAACACCGATCCGCCTACCGAAGTTCAGTAGATAGGTAGTATCATTAGCTCTCGCACGATAAGTGTGGCACACTGGCTACTGCACGGATATGCTGAAAGTTGCTGAGGGAATTTTGATTAGACATCTCTGAGTTTATAGTTAGCTCTTTTCATGAGTAATTCTAAAAACCACCTCTACAGTTACTGTAATTACAAATACGCTTTCCCTATTTGACAAGAAAACCACCCATCTAGTTGAAATAGGGAGACCTAGTTGGTTTTTTAGTAGTCGCCGTTGTGATCTTTATAATCACTGTATTTTACAGCTTTGTATTCATTTTATTTGTTGAAACTTAGTGTATTCACCTACAGAACGAGTTAGTACTACGTGAAAATGCATTATGTATTCAGCCCAACAAAAACAGGTAAAATTTCAAAACGGATTGTCCACACAAACTATGCATTTCATAGAGTGAACACAAAAGCCGAGGTCTTGGTTGCTTGTTTCTTACCCTTACCTTGTAAAAGTAATCCACAAAGCATAGATAACTTTCACGATTTTTATCACACTGTGTAAGACTTATCTGCACACTGGTTCATTATCTTAAGATTGTCTGTCGGAAAAATTTATGAAAATACCGATAAACACCTAATCAATATCAGAATGAGATCTTGCAGTGCTGCATTACAGGCCATTTTGTCACATCTCACATCATTCATTATATTAAGGCAAAAGGTAGTCAGCAAAAAGATAGAGAAATAGGGAACACAAAAATCAAAAGTGTAAAGTCATCTTTGACCGTTTTTCAGCCTAAATTTACACCAGATAACATTAAGAGACGGGGTAGACCGTAACCAGACATATGAACACATTTCCCAGCCATTCGATTCGATAAAGGTTAAAAACCCCATAAACTGACTTGTCGCTTTCACCTGCAATTCTACTTCTGACTTTTGCACTCCTGACATCTTGGCCCCGTGACACATCGCCTGTATTATGAGGTCAACGATGGATGAACACCTGGAGCCTCCTAATGTTCACCATCCTTAATGGACATGTTCAACTGTTATTTATTGGAAAAGATCCTCTCTTAAAAAAATACTTTGATACTTTATTTCTAACCTCTGATCATACTGCTTGCACAAGAAATGAAGGTTAAAAGTCAGTAGGCGAGTTGACGATGAAATGGCATTTGGAACAATATTTCCCAAGTGAAAGTCTCACTGCGTAAACTAGTAGATACACGTGCACACAGCTGAGCCATTTCCAAGGTAAATAAAAGCATATTAATTACTACAATTCATGGCAAAGATCTAGTGAAATGAGTAAGCTGTCGCAGTTAGTCCTGGTAGAATATTATGCCTTGTTATGGGGATTATAAGTAGAATGTCTTAGGAAATTTAATATGTTGTCATTTGTCTTGTCTCAACTAGTCAAATATCAAATTAATGACGACAGAGTTATCTGAAGAGTGTAGCCTACATACAAAATCAAGTTGAAATCCTTCAATTCAAGGAAGCTGGTGATAGACCACAGTTCAAGTTCAACACCCAGAACAGAAACGGAACTGAAGCACGAAACTTCAGAGGACAACTTCACGTAGTCAGTCATCAGGACAAAATGGGAGACATAATGCAGCATTCTCGAAGAAACCTGGGTTAAAGAATACTGGGAATCCTTGAAAGAGATGTGAAAAGAAACCTTCATAACCGCACTAGGAAGGAGGAAGAGGAAACAAGACAAGGAATGGATCTCGATGGACACATGGGAGCGGACAGAGGTGATGATGCTGCTGTTGGGAAAGCAGAAGATGAACCAGTGCAGTACATTGCAGTACAGTGCAGGGATGAACAGCGAAACGAGGAACTGAACACAACCTATAAAACACTACACTGGACAAAGAAGTGAAGAAGAGTGCGCGCAAAGACAAAAGACTCATCTGCCACACACTGGCAAGTGAAGCAGAACAGAGTGCAGGCTGCTGGTCGTAGAGACCTGACAACATTATACCAAATAACTAGGTAACAATCTGTGAGGAAACGAAAGCAGATGAGACCAGTGAAAGACAGTGAAGTAAGCGTAGTTAGCAAAGAGGAGAATGGAGAGGAATAATTGGGCTGATCACTTCAAAAAACGTTTGAATCGACCACCACCACCACCACCTACACTTCATCCAGAAATACCACCTGCAACCCAGACACAGAACTTCAAGTGAACATAAATCCCCCAACAAAAGTCGAAATCCTGAGCGTCATAAAGCTGCTGAAATCCGTGAAGGCAGCAGGATCAGATGGAATCCCACCAGAAGCACTGAGAACAGACGCAGATACAACAGCGAACATGCTCACACCACACCATTATTGTAGAAGGTGTGGGAGGAAGGAAAGGTATCTGCCTGTTGATTGGAAGAAGGGTTACCTTGTCAAACTGCTGAAGAAGGTTGGGTGGCCTAAGTCTTTGCAAGAACTGGCGAGGAATCACGCTCCTGTCCACCCCGAGCAAAATATTATTCCGCATCATCTTGGAGAGACGAAAGGATGCGTTGAATTCAAAACTACGACCGGAACAGGCAGGCAGGCTGGCTTCAGGAAGAAAGATTCATATGAGGATCGAATTGCATTGGTACGCTACGCGTCATCATAGAACAGAGTAAAGAACGACAGTCAACGCTCTACCTCAACTTCATTGATTTTGGAAATCTCGGCCTTCGACAGTGTCGATCGAGATTTAATTTGGTAGGCAATTGCTTCAGCACCACGGTTTTATTGCCACAAACCTTTATCAACCTGTTTCAACAGCTATATGAAGATGCCACATGTCAAGTGATTCACCAATATGAAGTCACTGCTTCTGTGTGGTTCAGAAACTTGGCGCATCACGAAAAGCTTTTCCAACAAACTACAGACATACATCATCAACAGCTGCCTACGCTCGATATTGCAGATCGTTCAGATGGCCAGAATAATCGGAATAAGGAACAAGGAACTCACTGTGGCTGACAACGAAACATTTAAGAACCTATCGCCCAACAGATATGCAGAAGAAAGTGGAGATGGATTGGGCATACACTGAGAAGACCGGTTAGGGTCATCAGCACCAGGCCGTCGAGCGGAACTCAAAGGGGAGACGACGAGTTGAGTGTCCGAGTCGAGGGTGACATTGAGGAGGGGAGAATTTTGATGACAAATAAGTTAACACTGTAAACCTATTAGCGCTATACATTTCGAATAGTCTCATCACACAAGGACTTGTCGAACTATTTATGTGAAAATTTACGAAAAAGGTTAGTGTAGGTAATAGGAAACATAGGAATAGGAAGGGATAGTAAAAAAAAGGAAAACCTTACTCTTGGTATGAAAATTAAAATCAATACTACCAAGGTAGGTTCAATGTGAGTACGAATTGTTTTTGTATACATAAAGGGGGTTTAAATTAACGGATGGCAAGAGCTTCAATAAATTTAAACACTCGGCTCTGACCACTTTTATGTAGTACTTTAAAGGCTGTTTTCATGTCTATCCTATGGCTAGTGTCTAGTATATGTTTAGCGATAGACGAAGATGGATGTTTGTCACCTGCACTTATCGGATCTGTTGAGGTCATTTGTTTTTGTAGCCACTTAGGTATATGTTCAACCTTCCTTAACTGCATATCACGATTACTCTTCCCTATATATGTGTGTCCACACATACATGTAAATTGATAAACACAGTGGGATGTGATGTAATCGTTTATATGTTGTTTCCGTTTGTGCTGTAACATGGACTTGGTCTTCTCTACAATGATGACCTTAGCTGCATAATGCATTTTACAGATGGCAGATCTAAGTCTTTTCCTCACAAAGCTATGTGAATCACCTCTAGATGGCCACCCTAACAACTACTAAAGTAACCAGTTACTGTCGTATTCTATTAAAAGACTAACATTCCTGTCGAATTAGAGAAATCTAATCGGTTATTTCAGTCGTTTCTAGGTTGACCCTAGAAGTCATTACAATTGCATGTTGGAGGACTCATGAATTTGTGCCTCTACTCTCCTGGTTGATCATTTAGATAAACTTTAAAGCAAAACCAGGTAACGGTAAATGCATCCTAGCAACTGCTGAGAAAAACAATCATGTCCCCTGATTTTGCCTGGAAAGGTACTTTTTAAATTTTAAGGTATCCTGATCAGCAATGGACTAGATGGTTTGAAAAAACTTGGGCACCGCGTTAGTATGATTCATCGTATAAGGTGTATTTTTACTTGTGTAGTCCCGGCATAGTATGTGATAACAAATAACAAAATAAACAAATATTTTGTATTATTCCTCAACGTTTCGATCTTGCTAGGAAGATCCTATTCAAGAGTGTGAATCTGACATTAAGATCTCAGGTTAATATTCAAGTTTTGGTACAGAAGGTGGTGACCTTCACGATCATCCATTACATCGTGATATCTAAGATGGATCAATGTGATACAAATGAGTGAAAAAGCTAATCGGTCAGAGAGGCTTTTATCAGTTGTGTAAATAAGGTGGGACAAAAATAGGGTGGGGAAATTTTTTTAGTTCGTCTATGAAAAGTACAATGGGGTTGTGAGTCATCAAGGGTGAGAAAGAATAGATTACTAGTTTGGAAGGATGAATATTTAAACATCAGGCAATATATAATAAATAATAATAACAACATAATAATGATGGATAGTGGCTTGAAATGGAATCCAGGTTGCGCATTTCGTCCTATTTGGGACTCGTCAGCTGAATGTACCTATCTCCCAGTAAGTGATGTTGTTTCTACTAGGAATATCCAGCTGACGAGTCCCAAGTAGGAGGAAATGCACATCCTGGATCCCACTGCTAGCCACCATCCATCATTGCTACATATAATTGAAACAAAGGCATTATCTTGGCAACGACACAGGAGCCCATATACCAATACTAACCAATCAATTCGGTCCAATCAGTGACGGTATAATACAAGCAATAATAACAATGATAACGACAAAGGTACTTTCGATAATAGTTGAAGTATAAATAATAGCAAAATGAATGATACGAAATGTTTATTTATTTTGTTATTTGTTCTGATATACTACGCTGGGATTACACAAAACAAAACAAGTCCCTTTTTGTCGTGATCAAGATGATTAAGCGAAATAATACCGGAAACTATTCAGACGTGAGTAAATTCGAAATAAATCATGTGGAATACAGTCAAATGAAACTGTGATATACCTTCTCTTCATATATTATTTGCAATCGTCCATGCGAGTCATTAATGTTTTCCATATTTGTGGGATGTCTGACCCATCTTTTTTGTTGACCGAGTAAAGGTATGAACAGATGTTCAAAGCTTCTCCAATGTTCCGCTCTTTCTGAGGAAGAAAACCCTTTTGCAACACTTTTACATTTTCGAATGATATTTTACGAACTGAATATAAGGCGTGAGCCACGATGACAGAGCTTTCTTCAAGCTTTTCCAGATCATCGGAATTTTTCGGTGGTTTCTTGCAACTTTGACCGTGTTCGATTAGATATGTTAGTACTTGACGTGATGTCTCTCCAACCTGTGTGGCGTCGCGTTCCCTACAAAGTCTACCTTATAAATACAGTTCTGTAGTTCCAAATGGGGGATTGGATCTTTTAATCTACACAGCTGTGAGTGTAATGTGTTCGTCACCTTAAAGAATACTGCGATGTTGTAACTATTAAGGACACGTCTTATTTCTTCTTATGTGGATGTTTGATAAAGAATTACTATAGTACTTATCCAGTCTTGGCTTGGTTTTCCCGTGTCATTTTCTGGAGAAACTTTTTTCTATCCTTTTTACTAGCTTTTCCGGACAGTTGTTTCGTTTTAAGACTTCCCGAATAAGTTACCCACCTGCTCGCTGAGATTCTACTTTATTTAGTATCTTTTTTGATCTCATCAACAGATTTTTGGCAACGTTTAACTTAGTTTCCAGTGGGAGAGCTGAATCGAAGTCAGTGTACTTGTTAAGATGTGTATCTTTTTGATAAACACCAATGTCAAGTGTCCCGTCACTATTGCTCATGGGCTTGCAGTCTAGGAACCTGATTGGTCATCTTAGTAGTTATCGTGGTGGCCTTCAGATGAGTGACTCTAAATGTCATCATGCCAACAACAACTGAAATGACTAATTAGACCTCTCTGTTTTATGGAAATGTGCTTTTCTAACCGAAAGAGTGAAATCAAATTAGTGATTTCAGTTGTTGTTGACCGTTAACTTAATTTTCTTCGGATAGAATCAAAAGCATTGGAATAGATAATCATTATTTTTAGAATCAAACGAGTTCATCAATAACTGTATCACTTTAACTTTAGACAGCTTGAAGTTATGATAAGTTTTTTCACAGTTAAATATTTTTCCAGTTATCCAACTAAACTCATTCACTGAACGCCATCTGGTCAAGTCTATTAATTCTAACAGCTGAAACAAAATACATTATCATTTAACTATACAAGTAGTTAAACAACTTCCCCTTCGATAAAGTTGTTTTAACAATGAAAAAATATCAACGTGAATTGAACCTTTTGAGCATTGTAATTAATAATTATATTTAATTACGTTAGAAAGCTGATTATTTCGTCAACTGAAAGTTAAAACAATTAAACGAACTTATAAATAGACTTGAAGACGTTAGTACACAGGTTCAATCAGTCGAGGGAATGTCGTACTCAGTAACACAAAAACTATGAAAACATCAACGGTCACATACCTATACTCAGACAGGAGATTTTAGAGCTAATAGCTTGACTACCTGAGATAGCCGTGGTTTGGCAGACTTGTGTTGATGCTGGGTAATGATTGAAGGTGGAACGAGAATTTGGGTCGAGGAAGAATTCGAACCAGTGACCGTCAGGTTTCCGGCCTGATGCGCTATTAACTCAGCTACGACGTCCAACTGCTAAATGAACTTCCATTTTATCTTCAGTCATGACGTAGTATCAGTAAAAGTCTGCCAAATTATAGGTATCTCAGGTAGTCAAAATGATAATCAATATGATTCTACCTCCTTCTAATTCAAACAGATTCGAATTGTGATAAGAATTCCTGATTGGGCAGCCAGTGTGAGTACGATCAAGTGGTAGTAATGCATCACGAATTCACATGACAACCGGGTAAAATTCTTGGTGACTGAAGTGAAGTAAAAATATAGTCAGCAGTCAGGTGTTGTGGCTCAGTTGGTAGAGCACCGTCCCAGAAACCTGGTGCTTTCTGGTTGCAATGCGACCACGGTCCAAAATTTCATTTCACCTTCAATCATCATCTAGTATCGATTCCAGAATTGTTGGTAAGCGTATCGATGTCACAGAATGTTTCTTAGTACTAATGGGGTTGGACAACTGATAGGCGACATTAATTGAAAGCATAAAGGTATTGCTAATTCTAACTTGGTTAGATCACTAGATCAGAAAATCTTGACAATGTAACTGAAATTGAAGTAAATCATCCTTTTTTTAGATGCATACTGGTAGAACTGGAGATTTTTCTAGAAAGAAAGTCGAACTTCAAACTGTGTATAGGCGGATTTTTTTAGAAAATGTTGAATCAAATCAGTTTCATGTTTCGCACCGACTTCAGTATTTAAAATAGTGTATACCTTGAAACTAGCACTTTTTAGAACATCTTCAAGAAACTTCATATTTATATTTTTGGATGCATAAATTCATATTTCATAGATTCTCTTTTCTGTTCTGTACACTGTATTTAATCGATATTTTAGGTTCTCTTTCGTCCAGTAGCCATGATGGTACCAGACTATGCTATGATTGGTGAAATCTCATTATATTCCTATGGTTTTATGGATGCACGTAGTTTATCTGTGAAAATTGTTACTACTTACCGTTTATGCTCCGAGCAACTTTCATCTCAAGCTCATTATGACTATGGTATGCGTGCAGTGAAAGCTGTCCTACAAGCAGCTGGTAATTTGAAACTAAAATATCCAGATGAAAATGAAAACATTATCGTAAGTAATACTTTTGGCTATCTATGATAAGAGGAAATTCAGTGTTGTATTTCACTGGTGGAAGAATGTTTGCGCATTAGTTCCTGTGCACTTCAGATACACTTTTCAAAGGCGATTATCACAAAAATCTACAACATGCGACCAATTTGTCTGATTGATATTTATCTTTGAATGACATCCAAGAAATATTGATTTTGTGACCGCCTTGAACACAAATTAAGTACTTACTTCACGAGGACTGATAACTTCGTTTTATTAACTATCATGAATGAAAATACTATCCAGTAAGTAAAATGACTCAATAGTTCCAGTTTAGTTAATACCCATCACTTGATTTCACCACATCGACGCACAGTAGTTCATTTAATACATTTAGTTAAAAGTCTGCCATTTTATCACCCACTTTGACTGAATAACATATTTCTTTTGATCGTGGCTTCTACTATCATCAACGTAAGATCGCATGAGCACAAATAAAGGAAAACAATTACTATTCCAAAAGATCGATTAGGAATGGACCGTTCACCAGTACCTAATGTTGTTGTTTAGTCCTTAGAGCATTTCTCGATTTCCTTCAGATCAAGCACGTCACCGCAGTATTCAGAGTTTCAAAATGATCAGCAGAATTAGTCTTCTCAGGAACTACGTATACGTACTCTATATATTTCTTAACCTTCGATTTTCGACCTCATTTTGAATAAATATAGATATCCGTTCATGTCTTGAAAATGTAGCAGCACACTTCTGAAAAATACCACATTTTGAACCGGGATTCTTGAGATGACACTGAAGAAGCGACTTTTCAAATTGGTGAGAAGAACATTCTTTTCTGCTAAACTGTTGGTCAGTAGATAGCCAGATACTGTCTCTATGTTGACTGTCAGTCAGTCGATATCAACATGCGAAATGGCATTCCTGCTTAAGGTTCAAGTTGATTTACAGGAAGCTCATCTAAAACTTTACGAAGGATTTTCCTCCTACATGAGATTTTTGATTAAAATGGTTACAAAGTAGCAACAGGTCACTTGGGCTGCAAATAAAATGAAGTCTGATATATCCGCTCACACCCTTCATTATCACCACTGCCTGTCTGATATAGATACTGTTTGCAGACCGCATAAAAATCAGTCTTTGAAGTCAATCATTTTATTTGTCATATGATAATTGAGTGACTTTAAAGGCCACCCTAACAACTAACGAAACAACCAATCAGGTTTAGATATTCAGTCTGGGAGAGTAGTTTTCATTAAATAGAGAAACGCAATTGGTTATCTGAACAGTTTCTAGGGTGGCCTTTAAAGTCGCCGTGATTAATCGTTTGAAAAAACAGGTGTGGGTGCCAAAAGTGACCAATTAATAATTATTCTCAAGGCAATTAGCTGATAATAGCTAGATTGTGTAGTATTTTGGTTAACTGCTGTGTTGTACAGACTTGATAATTGTGAATACATAAAAACACCGGTTGTTACCACATTTTGGAACTAGCATTCTACTAATCAATAAAAAATAGAAATATTAAAGTCCCTGCAGTCGAAAAGATCCTCAGTATCTTTCCTGTTGAGATATGAGGGGGACAGTAGTTGACTTATGTCAGAATGATATCTGATTTAATTCCGAATCTCTTAGCTTGATCAATAGAGCACACTAAACACTAAACTAAATACTAGGAAGTTGGTGGTATGCGTTTAGCTCTTATCCAAGTTTCTTTCCACATCCAGATATGGCAGATTTATAGACAATACTCATTAGCAGTTAGTGTTCAGCCTAGGAAACCTTTATCAAAGTAGACATTTATAACATCGGTATATTTGCTTTAACAACACCATTTAGCATAACAATTCCGAGAGTTGAAGAACATTGTAATCCTAGTGTAAAGAAAGACAAGACAGAGAGGTAGGGAGCAATGTTTATCATTGACACCGTGTATAGTAGTGATGAAATATTGTACACTTTTCACTAAAGTAGTCATTTGTACAATGTGCTTCACTTCCTTTTCTGCTTCTACCTTGATTTGCTCCTAATACACCCACACTATCTCTTGCTTTTCTCTTGGGAGAATATTTACCCATTGCTGGTAATTCCCTATGATTTCTGCCGCCCTCTCAATATATACTGCTTATGCCCATTCTGATCAGCAGCGCCCATTACGCTAGGGCTTCTTTTGCCACTCCGCCTCACTAAAGTCTCACTCTGACCTAACTACTTCTTTCACTATCTCAGGGAATATGTGGTTATTGATGCCTGCAGACCATATCAAAACATATCGATGCAATCTGTCTAAATTAAGATTATAAACATGTATGGAGCAAGCCTCTATGATTGCAGTGAGTTTAAGACCAGCCGAGTCTTGGTGTTCAGTTCATAGAGCAGTAGGCTAGTAACCTGTAGGTAAGTGGTCAAATCATTTCCCTATCAGGCTTTTCATGTCACCTTCAGTCATCAACCCGGTATCAAAAATATCAGACTGCTAAACTACAGCTACCTCAGATAGTATCATAATTTAAAAGTGAAATTAATCTGACAAACGGAGTATATGCATACATATGTTAACAGATTTAAAAGCATATATTAATATTTTTCAAGTCTTATGCTCGGTTTTCTTCTATGAACTTTAGCTTCTACGTTCAATTATTGATGTGAATTTACCAAAGTTTTTAGCTCATGATATTCCATTGTTTCGTGGTATCATCTCAGATTTATTTCCTGGTATTGCATTGCCTGAAGCAGATTATAGTCTCTTCTTAGCTGAAGTGCATAAAGTATGTCAAGAAAGAAACATACAAGCTGTCAACTTTTTCACAGAGAAAATCATACAGACCTACGAAATGATGATTGTACGACACGGGTAAGCATTCAGCAAGATAACAAACTAGGTGTGATGAATAATGACAATAATGATTTGTAGAAGTAGTAGTAGTAGTAGTAGTAGTATTCATCGCGGAATGATATCAGTTGGGGAACCACTGAAAATGTGAGACCACTGGACAGCTGTTTCGCCCTAGTATGGAACTCCTCAGCAGTACCCACCCACTACCCGGCTAGGGATCGAACTCAGGACTTTCAGGTTTCACGGCGAACACGTTAACCATCCAGTCACTGGGTCGGTTTCCAGTGGTTCACACTTTCCAACTTCTATCCCATACTAGGACGAAACAGCTGTCCAGTGCTCCCAGATTTTAAACCGTTCCCCAACTGATGTCAGTCCATGATGAATACTACTTCTAAATTAAGAAATCCCCATTCATCTCAAAAATAATGATTTGTATTTGAAAAGTTTATTACCTACGGTTTGACCACTTCCACTTCACCCTTCATTCCAGCTTATATCTGTTGAACCTGAGAGAATCAGACATTCTCCTCGGTGCATAAACTAAATTCTACTATGTACCAAGTACTAGAACATATCACTAGGCGGATTTCTTACACTGGATGCTACCTTTCAATTCTCTCATAAGAACAATAGTAGCGTTAAGAACCTAAATACTTTGAGGGAAATTGAGGAATGTTATGGATTTGAAACAATTCGTTCAACTTATTAATTTTGATAAAGCAATAAGAAAAAAGAGGCAATTTATCTGAATCGTGGAATACATTCGTGCAAAACATTTCGAACAGTCTGATCACACACGTGCTTGTCATCTATATGAAAAATTATTGAGTTAAGGGGTAGGGTGTCAAATGAAATGAAGTTGTCCATCAGATATATTATATCAAATTCCCTCCTTCCACTTTGTTTAAATTTCCCAGTTATGTCTTCAAAATGTATCACGTACTATTTTGGATGTTTGAAATGTTCTGAACTAGTCCTTTCTTGAGGTGATCACAAAACGAATAAAAAATGTCATATTAAACAGAAATAAATACATCATGTTTCTTTCTTCGGATACCCATCTGGAATAGTACATTCCTTTGTTGGCTGAATGAACCACCACCACGAAACACCTTACGTCAATCCAACACAAACTGGCTCCTTTACATTATGACCTGTGATGAACATCACTCAGATGCAATGATCATGTGCATGAAAATATGGCTTTGGAGGAGAATTTGTTAAGTCATTACATACTGAGAATTCCGTACTGTATCACAAATATTGTTTTGAATAGAGCTATTATCATTGTTATTATTATTATTATTATTATTATTAATATATTGAAGGTTAAAGTAGGAATGAAGATGAATAAAGTAACAACAACAACAACGACAAATATTTAACAGTGCAATAACCTTCGGTTCAAAGCCAAATTTATCAAGGAAGGTTTAGTGTTTAGTAATGATGGGCAGTGGCTAGCAGTGGAGTATAGTAATGGTATTAAATCCACCATAGAAATGAAATTTATGTTTGTTGAAAATTAACTATCAAGGCTTTTCACAGATATTTTGTGTGATGTCAGTGTATGCATTCATTCATTTACACACTTTTGTAATTTTAACATCTAGCTTTATGCTTGTTGGTGAACCATTTGGATCTAAAACTGCTGTCCTGCATACATTGGCTACAGTAATGACACGTTTAAATGAAAATGGACATGAGGAATATGAAAAAGTGACTTATAAGACAATTAATCCTAAAGCGATAACAATGGGACAGTTGTTTGGCGAATTTGATCCTGTTTCACATGAAGTAATTCTGTTATAAGTTGTTTTTCCTTTATCACACACTTATAATCTAATAGATGGAATTTTGGTGGAATCCTTTGAGGGTTTGAAGTCGGTTGGAGATGATGAAATATGTAGTTACTCTGTTCTGCTTATGAACGTTTTAGTGATACACATCCACGACTGTACTGGAAACTCAATACAAGGTTATAAGTGTTTTACTGAAGGAGTTACTCATTCAGTTTGTATTATGTCAACTATGCCGCTTGATAAAATTAGGTTGAATCGAAATATGATTTCTCACATCATGGTACGTCATACCGTGTCAAAGTAGTGATAAATGCACCAGGAGAATATACTTGACACAATGAATTGTGTTGTTGAAGTAGAAAAGGGCCACTAGAAGGCGTATAGATTGTAAAGTCAGTTGTATTGTGAGATAGACATGAAGTCAACTTAAACTTGTTTGGCTTAGAAGTGGAATTGACCTGATAAATCTACATCTCATTTTGAATATTCGGAAGTAACTGGAAGGTAGCTGTAAGCTGTACGTCTTATTTATTATTATGTCGACAAATGACGCCTATCGTGACATTGTAAAACTAAGAACAGCACGGTGTGATATCGATTTACTCTGATGTGAGGCGTTAATACAGTTAAAGCATGTGAAAACATATTCATCAACAGAAACCACTGTGTGATAGACTCTTTATCCTTAATACAATATTTACCAACCATTTTTAAACAATTGTGAACTCGTAAAAACAGTTTCACACATGTAGAGCAGAGGCTGTAACAGCGATCTCTCGTGCGTTCACAGAGAGTTCAAAAATGCGGACGAATAAATTACGGGATTTCAGCGACTCAGCAGTGGAACAAATAAGCTCTCATATTTATAACAGTAGGGTTGTAGTCAGTGTGAAAAATATGCGCGTAATGATGCACTTAACCATCACAATCACATGAATAGTTGGTGAAAACTTCATAAGGCATACAAACAGGGGGAATTTAAAGGCCAACTTGGCAACTGCTGTAATAACCGATCTGGTTTTGGTATTGAGGCTACAAACGTGTTTCTTCTTGAAATAGACGCCCAATCGGTTGGTTATCTCAGCAGTTGGAACTGCTAAATTAACGAATCAAATATTAGAATTCTGTCTGGAAATTTAGTTCTTCATAGAATCGAGGAGTGTAATTGGCTATCTCAAAAGTTGCTGGGGTGGCCTTTAAAGCCACTCTTGAAGTTACTCTGCAAACATGACTTGCTAACTCATCCCTACATGGTATGCCAAAAGCTATCTAAACAAAGACCCGAAATTCTGCCAATTTACTTTATGAAATAAAAATCTAATTGGTTATTTCATTATTGAATAGGGTAGACATTAGAGTCATTTGTAAACGGGCGACTTTAAAGGCTACCCAAACAACTGCCAAGATAATCAATCAGTTTGCGGTACTATGGCTGGGAAGACAATTTTTCATAGAATAGAGAAATGTGGTTGGTTGTTTCATCAGTTGCTAGCCTAACCTTCAAACTCGTCCTAAACTGAGGTGCGTTGTGAACAGTTTTAAGGACATACTGTAAAGTTAGAAATACAAAAAAAAAACATAAACATCATTTACAGCAACAATGAGTAAAAATGAAGCCGATAAGTCGTAAAATGGAGAACTATTTACAGAGTTCTGCGCATTTAATGACTTGCTGGTTGGAGGCAGTGTGTACAAGGATATTCACAAGGCAGCGGCATGGATTCGATTTCACCGGATGGACAAACTAAAAATCAGATCGAATTCATCTCAATGTGAAAAGAGTGCAGACGCAGCCTCCTAGACACAAGATCACATGAAGAAGGAGAGCAGATGTAGGTTCACACAAAATGGGAGACATTAGGCAGCATTCTCGAAGAAACCTGGGTTAAAGAACACTGGAACTCCTTGAAAGAGATGTGGAAAGAAACCTTCATAACCGCACTAGGAAGGAGGAAGAGGAAACAAGACAAGGAATGGATCTCGATGGACACATGGGAGCGGACAGAGGTGATGATGCTGCTGTTGGGAAAGCAGAAGATGAACCAGTGCAGTACATTGCAGTACAGTGCAGGGATGAACAGCGAAACGAGGAACTGAACACAACCTATAAAACACTACACTGGACAAAGAAGTGAAGAAGAGTGCGCGCAAAGACAAAAGACTCATCTGCCACACACTGGCAAGTGAAGCAGAACAGAGTGCAGGCTGCTGGTCGTAGAGACCTGACAACATTATACCAAATAACTAGGTTACAATCTGTGAGGAAACGAAAGCAGATGAGACCAGTGAAAGACAGTGAAGTAAGCGTAGTCAGCAAAGAGGAGAATGGAGAGGAATAATTGGGCTGATCACTTCAAAAAACGTTTGAATCGACCACCACCACCACCACCTACACTTCATCCAGAAATACCACCTGCAACCCAGACACAGAACTACAAGTGAACATAAATCCCCGAACAAAAGTCGAAATCCTGAGCGTCATAAAGCTGCTGAAATCCGTGAAGGCAGCAGAATCAGATGGAATCCCACCAGAAGCACTGAGAACAGACGCAGATACAACAGCGGACATACTCACACCACTACTTCAGAATGTTTGGTTTCCTAGTGGGACACAGGGAGGGCTTATGTTGCATGTCTCCATTTCACTATCTTATCTGCAGTCTTTTGAACCCGACTCCATGACTACCCACAACCTTTCATTTCTTCCTCACATCACCTCCTCCAGTCAGTCAGCAATCAAGAGACATATTGACAGTGACCCAGTCTATCAGCTAATAAGGAACAAAACGAAGGACAAAATTCATGTCATCGGGATAACCAGTCGACGTACATATAAAGGCAACAACAAGACTTTAGTAGGAACAATCAATCCCACACAACGTCATCAAGACAAGCTACCAGGCCACTTGTTGAGAAAAACTAACATCTTACTTCTTTCTTAAGGTTTTGCTGATGATGTTGACTGGAAGGAAAATGAAAACTCCACAATTAAACCGTCGAGTCCACCCAGCCCAACTCGTCGTCTCTCCTTTGGGTTCCGCTCGCCGGCCTGGTTTGTGATGACTCCAACCGGTCTTCTCAGTGTATGCCCAATCCATCTCCATTTCCTTCTGCATATTTGTTAGGCGATGGGTTCTTGGGTGGTTCGTTGAAAGCCAGAGTCGCTTGTTGATTATTCCTGCTAACCATCTGATCTTCAGCATTGAGTGAGTGTAGGTGGGAGCTGTTGATGATATGTCTGTAGTTTGTTGGAAGTGCTTTTCGTGACACGCCAAGTTTCTGAACCATATAGCAGCACTGACTTGACTGACATTGGTGTTGAAAATCTGGGTCTTGTTCTTCGTGCTGAGTGCTACAGGTTTATGTATTAAACTATGATCCATCGTTGACGTATGAAGATTTAGGATACTATCGTGCTGTCTAGGCCGAAGTAGGTGATACAGTATTCACTTTTGAGATTGGTTGATCGGAATTAGAGCATATAAGCAAGTGATCCATCGCTCCACTCATTTTTTTTTTCACTCACAGCTCTTTGGTGTTTCCTTAGTTACTCCATCTTGGTTCATTATTAGGTGTGTAGTGTTGTTCCTACTACTGAATTGTTTACCTCTGCTTATTCTTAAGGTGTGCCAACCCATTATCAATTTTATAACTAAATACTCGCCAGTTCTAATTTATTTATTCACTTTGTGGATGACGTTTTCACAGCATACTTAAAGTCTTTTTGTTTAATCATTTTTCGGAATATATTAGTGGACTGATGGTATAACAGCGAATACTTTCCGTGAATTTGCATCAGCTGATACACCAGACAGAAAATGGGTAATATTCGATGGACCAATCGATACTTTATGGATTGAAAGTATGAATACTGTGCTAGATGATAATAAAAAGTTATGTTTGATGTCTGGGGAAATTATTCAGATGTCTCGTGTAATGAGTCTTATATTCGAAACGATGGATTTATCTCAAGCATCTGTAAGTTACAAATAACTGATTGTAGCAGTGCCAGATATATATCATAGTGTAACTTGACTTCTATACAAAATATTTCGCCTTAAAAAGGGAATTTCTTGCAGCCTTGAAATTGCTTGCTTGCTAGTACTTTTAAGTATTTTAACCCATTTTCTAATGAAGACGTTATTATTTTACTCTGATCTAATAAGGCACAGAAACCAGGACCTCTGCGTCTTTTGACAGATATGTTGTCTTTTAACCATAAGATCAGAATTCGACTATCGACTTCATTCAGTCACACTTATTTCAAAATCCAACGGGACTGAAGTCCAGTGACATTACTGAAGATTGAATTTCGCCTTATACTTTGTTGGTCACATGGATCGAGGTTTTCTACGATAACCTTAATCATTCAGTAATGAATCAATTAATTACTTGAGTGGTTTGAAGACAGTCATCACCACGGAACGTTTACACGTGTTAGTTATTAAAATTTATACGATACAGGTAACTAACTAGCAAACTGGTTTGAGATGAGCTGACATTCAGTCATCTGGTTATTGTGTATTAGTGAGTTCAGCTAACTATTTATAGCTGGAGAAAAAATATGCCATAATGGCAGTACAATTTCGTCTACAGTATACTCTCTTAAATGTATCGTCATTATCAGTTGGTTAAGATAGTCCTGTATTACATTTTGAACATTTTCATCAGTGTTCATGTTAAGAATCATACAGGCAAATTTACAGACAGTTAACTGATTTTGAAAAAAAGTACTGATCACTGACTGATACTATGTTACTGAAAACTATGGAGTAATTTTCAAACTGGGGATTTTAGAATGTTACTTATGATCTGCTTACATTTTCGGACTGTAGTTTTTAGCAAAACTGCTGTAAATCCACATCTTAGTGTAGACATAATCGTGTTGATGGAATAGGGTTTATAAGTACATAGCAATGGTTTATCCCATGTTGTCATTACCTTATCAGCTATACCAGAAAATGATTACATCATATAAAAGGAAGCCGAAGTTTCAAAATTGATGACTTGTTTCTTTAAACTCAGAAGCTCAACTACCATGTGCTCATCAAGTAACTTCAAGTTGATATTATTGACAGTGAAAAGTGCTAAGCATAAAATATTTATCGTATGTCACCTAATTTGCTTTGTTTGGTATAGCAACTTGAACTGTAAACCAGGAATTCTAGGTTGACTGACTGATTAGCTATTCTAGCTAAATTGAGGTGCAACGATTCATCGAAATACAGGAATCGAGATAAACTGTATGACTGATGTTAACAATGCGAAAAAGTGGCATTTCTGTTTAGGCTATCAAGCAGTTTCAATAACCTTCAATTTGTGGGTATAGCTCATTGCCTACTTCGCTGAAGTATACGTGATGGTCGGGTTGCATTCAGTTCTTCTCATTCTTCATATCAATCCAGTGTCATCTCTTATCAACCACAGAAAATAGTTTTCCGATACTTTTTTAAATATTAAGATCATTGGAAGACCTATGAACCTTGCTTCACTAGAGCAAGTGAGTTGAATAAACCGGCTAACAAGTTTCTAGAATTAAGTGTCCCTTAGTTACGAAGGAATTCCAAATATTCCTCTCAATGTTTCCATTTAACAGATATGCAGGTATAATGTGGTAGAAATATAGATTTCTCTTCTGAGAAAAATCCGCACCTAATATCCATCCACATTTTATCGACAGAAAACATAAGAAACCTGAAATCTGTATTTGAAGTGGTTTCTGTTCAGAAAACGTTGCTGTAAGTGAATCTAGGCTTCAAAGGTGATCCAGTTGTGGACAGTCAAAAGAAAGGAAAGGCCAAAGTCTCTTCAGAGAAAACTTTTTATATCAACATTGAGATTTGAATTCGCCCGTCTCCCATATTCCTACCACAACAGCATGAGGAATAAACTATTGCGTCTGACCAATGTCAGGAATACATGTGTATCCCTGAGCTAATCAGATAAATACACTTTAGAAGTTCTTGATATATTCATGGAGAAACTGGAACTACGTATTCAAAAGAAACTTGTACAACCTTTGTTGTTACCTGGGACTCAGTAAATTGCTAGTAATACATCAACCTCCATCTCTCTCTTATTATTCACAATTTTGTTGTATTTTTAGATGAATATGTTTGTGATATCAGTTTGAAATCTTTTGCATTCTTTTAACAGCCAGCTACGGTATCACGTTGTGGCATGATATATATGGAGCCAGCATCACTAGGTTGGCGTCCACTTGCACGTTCATGGATGAATTGTTTACCACCCTCTCTAACAGCTGGTGATGGTAAAGCTATTATTAATGCAATGCTTGAGTGGGCAATAGATCCCTGTTTAGAATTTATTCAAACTGATTGTCGTACATTGGTGTCTACACGTCAAACGAATCTAGTAACATCATGTTTAGGATTTATCAATATGCTCATTGAAGATGTAGCTAATCAAGACGATGCCAGTGAAAATCGTTATCTACGTTTATGGTTACAAACATCCATTGTATTTGGTATAATATGGGGAATTGGTGGTTGTTTAGACTATAATAGTCGGCAGAAATTTGATCGTTTCCTAAGAAATTTATTGGCTGGTGTAAATGAAAATCATCCTTTACCAAATGAATTAGGACAACGATTAGAGTTTCCATTTCCAGAATCTGGACTCGTCTATGACTTCTATTACAAGGTAAACAAATAACTATGGAATGAAAACTTTTGAATTCTCAACTAACAGTGTGTACATTAGACCATGAGCCACACTACATCGAATAATATCGGCTTGATATATAAGCTATCTGTGTATACGCAGTATTTCTAACGTCTTTTCGGTTGCTATTTGTTTCAGGTGATAGCTGGAAATGGAACTCGAGGGTTCGTTAGTACCCATATTTTTGACAATGTTCAACGTTTGGTCTTAACCAGACAGTTGTCCCCAAAACTGTGAATAGATATCCAGCCCGTTTTCAGATTGGCTATCTTTGTGTAAAAGGCATTTACCACCTATAGGGTTTGGTTCAGCATGGAATGTGTGTTCATCATTATTAAAATTATTTCTAGTTCAATAATATAACCATTAAATCTCTCAATTGTATTCAATATGTTACCACTGTTACCACTGGCTTACAGAGCTCATAAATGTCACCTAATGAGTTTGTTTTAAATTGAAACACTAGTTGCGGTCAATGTGTAGCATCAAAACTAGGATAGCTTACCATACTTTAAGAGTGGTTAGCGAAGTCAATCTTGCATATCGTTGTTTATTACGTAATCGTCTGCATATGGTATTTTGCACCATGACTATATTCTACTTTGTTAGCTTTTTTGAAACATATTCGCACTAGGGCTGAATGCAACCACAGTAACAGGATTAAAAGAGTCGTAGATGAATCTCAAAATGTAGCAACAGGCTGTTCATCATGCATATTGATGTAGAGAGTAATCTATCAACTAAGCTATCAAGCCAAAGATATGATGAAGAGTAAGTAACGAGATAGAATAAAACATTTGCATTAGGCAGTTTCACTTTTGTCGGTGACTCACATTATTGTTTGATATGAGTTTAAAGTGGCAAGAATGTTTTGTCGGTTTCGCAAACCAGCTGATGATGAAAATAATAAGTGATGCGAAAAATATTCAATGTTCACAAATATTTCTAATCTTGTGGTGTCAGTATCCGCCTAGTAGGCAGGTTATAACAATGTTGGTGTATTCAAACACTATTTTTTTCCCTTGGGTTCCTAGTGGAACATAGGGCTTCAGTAGAACGTCTCCATTGTACCCTGTTCTCTGCAGTCTTTTGAACCTGGTGCTACGACTGCCCACAAGCTTTCAATTCTTCCTCACACGATATCCTCCATGTCATTCTCGGACACCCAACTCGTCGTTTCCCCTTTAGATCCCACTTGAGGGTCTTGCGCGTGAGGTCCCCAGTCGGCCTTCTCAGTGTATGCCTAATCCATCGTATACAGACATAGAAATATATAATTTGACCCCGAGTAGAACAGAGTGAGCAGTTAGATTTATTTGAGGCTATAAGTATAGCTTACTCATATGATTGTAGGTGGTGTTAAAATATCTGTTGACAAGCCACGATGTGTCACACTTATTGGTTTTTCCTAACAGCTGACGACTGGTAGTTGTCATACTCATGCGATGAGAACAAAGTCAGTAACGCCTTATAGCTTTTGAAGACAATTTTAAGATATTTCTCATGCTCTTGACTTGCGTCCTGACACTACTATGCTCCTTAGTGTCTAAACATAACCAAGTTGCAGAATTCCTTGCTAGAGGCTTGTAAAGCGGAATAATAGCCTAATAATATGAAGTGACCCCAAAAGCCGCCCTAACAGCTACGAAATTAGCCAGTTAGGTTTCGTTATTTTATGGAAAGCCACTTTTCCAGCCGAAATGAAGAAACCTAATTGGCTATCCCATCCGTGGCCTTTAGAGTCATGCAATAATATGTAGGTTGATGTCACTCAAGTCGGATGAGTTTGGTATCAGGGAGAATGGAAAGCGTTGAGTTACTTGACCGTTATATTGGAACAAACAACTAAAACAGGCCTGTAATGTAATATTCCATGTTCAATGAAATTACAACTCTTCGCGTGGTTTGGTAGATGTTGAAGTCAGTCACCATGGTACATCTGTTATTTAAAAGCTGAGCGTCTAAACTCATTTCCAGTATCATTTTATGAATGGCTGTAAAGTTCACTCTAGAAACTACTGAATTAACCAATTAGATTTCTCTATTTATCTGGATTTTCCTTGTCAAATATTTCGGCAGTTGTGGACTTTAGAGTCACACTCATTTTCTTAACTTAATGAGAATAATTGTCTATTGTTCTTGCAGGTAATTGACTTTTACTTCATATTTTAGATTCCATACGATTTTTCGTCAGAGATATCCGATTAAGACACAAAGTAATAATATTACTGACACAGGAATTTCAAAGAGAACTGAAAAAATGTGAATATTAACCTCAGCCTTGACCATTACGCAGTAACGGTCAAACTCGACATATTGTTCATCACCACATCAAGATACAATCCAGTAAACCGAAAAGTAATCCTACCCACATAATGCAGTCGAAAGCCAGAAAAAGCCATAGGAAAGGAAGCGGATGGTGTCCGGGAACCATCATCATTGAGTTGGGGTCCACTTTCAGAGTATGGTTTAACGATTGGAATGAGGATGAGTTTTTACGCGTTTTTACCACTGTGATAGGTTCTTAGCCATATCACATAGTGTCTCCAAATACCGACTTCTAGTGCCTCCCGGACCCCAAAGCGGAAATCAACATTTTCTTACAGCATGCAAACTGACATCCAAATACTTCAATGAAAATCAATACATTTTATTCCTGCCATCTTTAAACTTTTCCAACAACAATATATCAGTAAAAAGCTTGTTTATTGTAGAATGGATTCATATGTTTGATGTAACCAAATAATACTGGATTGCAGGATTTCTCGTAACTCCTCGTTTACTAAATAAGAAACAACGTTATATACCCACAACATTATGACACATGGAAATGGATACTGATCGCTGGTATACTGTCCCTTACACTATCGAAGAGAGCAGGAAACAAGATTAAAAAGAGAAAGCTCATTGTTCCAGTAAAGGAAGAATACCAGTGAACCAAAAGTGATTGATGTCATCTTTGTTCAGATCAAATCTTACATGGAAGACTCCTATGAGTCAGTTGTCTATCTGTCCGTTTAAACAGTATTATAATAACTTCCAAGGTATTATTTATCGCTGTCTGAAATCGGTCAGAAAGCCTCTGAAAGTCTGGGAATACTGGACATCTGTTTCATCCGTGGATTTGGCTCCTCAGTAGAGTGTTCCCAAAACCTCGCTAGGGATCGAATCCAATACAATCAGGTCTCATCGTGAGCACATTGTCATTCAGTCACTAGGTTGAAATAAAACGGTCCATATTTTCCTATTTTTGTTATGACAGGTTTACGCAAAAATAAGTTTTTCTTCCGGTAATTTTTCGAGAGAAATACTACCCGTTATCAATAAAATATTCCAAATGTTAGGGTGATGACGGGAAGCAATTTTGTTTCGAATATTACCAAAACGAAAGCTTAACATTGTTTGTACACCTGTAACAGGATACTTATTTCTAACTTACTTTTCCCAACATAATCCTGCTGCAGGTATTTAATAACATTGTTCTATTATTACACTGTCATTTAACGCCCACTATAATGCCAAGTTCTTTTTTCATTGTGAAATGGGAACAGATGAAAAGTCGTGGCTCATGGAAGCATTGGAATGAAAAGAATAGATCAAATGATCAATTTTCTGACAGAAAAATTCGTGAAATAATTGTACCTACAATGGATACGGCACGTTATAAATTCATTGTAGATTTATGTATGGAAAAACGTCGGCCACTATTGTATGTTGGGCCAACTGGAACTGGAAAATCAGTTTATGTTCAAGAAAAGTTAATGCGAGAAATTGATAGAGATAAATACGTGGCTTATTTTGTTAACTTCTCTGCTCAAACAAGCGCAAATCAAACTCAGGTAATTATTTGATATACTACTGTTTGTTTTATTGAGTAGTTAAAATCTCCAAAGTAAATATTCCTAAGTCAGAGACTTAACGCTTCTGTTATGACTTACTATGCGGCCAGGGTTCGAGTAATGGAAACTACGATGCCCATATATTCCCCCAACCCCGCACAGCATGTGAACGATAATGTCACATCCTATTGTATCTACCGGTTCAAATGTACGTGTGATGACATATACAGACGGAGGACTCATAGATCCATCCAGTTAAGTGCCTCGGCACATAATCCAAAGTGACTTCAGAAGCAAATTACATCACCTGAACCCATAAATGTTGGTAGCAGACGTCCAAGTTCTTCAATCGCCAAACATATCGTTGAGATAGGTCACAGGATTGATATAGCTACTTCCTTTACATCTATTTACAAAAGATGGTGGGGAGGGATCCTTAAATTTGTTGTTAACTATTAGAAAATTGAAACCACTTTTGAGTATTCATAAACAATTTGTTGTTACATTAAGTCTTCCTTGGTAAATTCAATTAAGAAAACCAAGTTTGATGCACTATTATTTTCACTGTTATCCAGCCTTCCTACTTGTCCTCTTTTAATTTTCTAACCTCTTATCTTCATGAATTTTCATATAAATACCTATGACAAGTACTTGTGTGATTAGGTAGTTCGAAATGTGTTGCGTAAATACATTACAGGGTTCAGACAATTTACGTCCTCGTATTGTTGTGTCGAAGTTAAATATTTTCGATCGGAGTGTTTTAAGTCCTGTACCTTAAGATGAGTCGGTTAAAATCAGATAAGATTTTAGTACGGGAATACTTCAATTCATTGCCATCGGAATTCTATTTGATGTTTTTGATAATGTCTCATCCACTGTTTTCTTAGATTGATCTGCTAGAATTTATGTCGTCAAATGGTGCAGTAAACGAGTTTGTTTACGGGTGCTTGTAGCGATTGGTTGACCAAACTTATTGTATTACTAACTGATATGATTAGTTGCAGTCGTTATTTTTTATAAAAATTGTAATGATATCAAAGCATGTGCATTATTTTGTGAGTGTGTTTTTTGCAGCCTCTGCAATTTATTTTGTCGATAATGTTTGGTTTGCCGTCCTTTGTTATTGTGTCTTTTGGCCTGGATAACAGAGAGTGAAGAGATGTTTTGGGGCTGTGAGATACAGTGATTCCATAAAGCTTCAGTAACCTAATCGTGATCTTGGAGACAATTAATTTGTTGGTTTTCAAGGATGACTTTTGGTAAACGACGAATTGGGCAAGAATCTTTTGATGAAGTTGATTGGATGGAAATCAGTCTTACTTTATAAAAAGAACTATAAAAATCCTGGCCGCAGTTGTTACAAATGTCCTGAAAGAAGTTGAGAACCGAGTCACGGTTAATGATTATATTAAAACTTACTTAAATAACGATTACACGAAGAACGTTACCGAGATCACTGCCAGATTATTGAGACCTTTTAGAATCTGTGTATCTCTTAAGTTCACAAGATCCGTTCACTTTCTGTTATGCCCACCAAAAGATGCAATGACAAAGGAAGACCAACCAAACATTATCGACAACATTAAACTGCAGAAACTACTAGAAACACAACATCGAACTGAGTAGTCGTTCTTTGCATCCGCCTACATGAACATCAACTGACAGTGAACAATCATAAAGTATTTTCGCTCTTATCAATGCATACAAACAAACGTGGACATGAATTTGACTGCAAAAAATTCAAAATCCTGGATAGACGAAACACAAAGCATAGCGGTGAATTTCTGAAAGCTTGGAGTTCATGTCAGTCAGCAATCAAGAGACATATTGACAGTGACCCAGTCTATCAGCTAATAAGGAACAAAACGAAGGACAAAATTCATGTCATCGGGATAACCAGTCGACGTACATATAAGGGCAACAACAAGACTTTAGTAGGAACAATCAATCCCACACAACGTCATCAAGACAAGCTACCAGGCCACTTGTTGAGAAAAACTAACATCTTACTTCTTTCTTAAGGTTTTGCTGATGATGTTGACTGGAAGGAAAATGAAAACTCCACAATTAAACCGTCCAGTCCACGAAACAAAACATCAAAATTACAGGGATTTACTACGCCACCAAGAGAACTATCAGTTACTGCCATTATAGAAGCTAGAGACTTCGTGCGTACGTTTTCCTCTTGCCACACCTGATGTAAGGACATGAAGGTAAAAGACACTTTTCAAAGACAAAATCAGAGATGCCATAAAGTAACGAAATATGGTGTTATATTTAAGAGGAAGGAAGGATGTGGATGCATCTGCACTGTTGTAATCAATTGTCAGCTGTATTATCTAGAATCTCCAATCATTTACGAGGATTGGTTTTCGATCTCATACCTGAAAGTTCACACATCTCTACCAAAAAAACATCTGGAGATTTTATCAACTCATGCATTGTTTTATTTTGGCCACAATTCACAATGCACAGCGCAACGACGATGCATCATTTTGACAAAGTAAATAGTAATGATAGCTTACAGCAAAGTAGAAATAGTTTCAGTGCATATGACTAGTGTCCAACTGAAACATTTGCAGTCAACTGTCCATTATCGGTTGAATCTTCTTTCAATAAATATGCACCTTGAAGCAACTATTTCTCATTTTTTCTAATTTCAGTTCATTATCATGTCAAAAACTGATCGAAGACGAAAAGGTGTCTACGGTCCACCAATGGGTAAAACAGCTGTCCTGTTTGTGGATGATTTGAATATGCCAACTAAAGAAATTTATGGTGCTCAGCCGCCAATAGAACTATTGAGAATGCTTATTGATCATGGATATTGGTTAGTACATTCAACTGATGATAATAAGAATGATATAATCTAGTTTAAGCGAATAAAAGTCAGTAAATGAATCAGTGAAAATTTAATTTTTCTAGATATCACTCCAACAGCATTCTCTAGATTTTTCCTCATAGAAGACATCATTTAGTTAACTATACGAATTACATCGTTTCCATTTTATACGCTATATTTGTTAGATTCCATCTTTGATTTGCTATCGTAATACCTCACTAAATGATTCTGATAAGACTGCTCTGTCGGATCATACGCCTGCAAATTTTCGGTTACAAAAATATGGAAAGACTAATAGTCAATGGAGTCAATGGTATATGTGCAAAGAATTAAGAATTCTTGATGAGATAGGGTCATTTTTCTTTTACGACCGTTGTCCTACACATAATATATACAACTATGCTGGTGATCGATCGCTTTTAACATAATTGAAGTGTCTGTTTACTCGTTAATGAGTTAGTGTTTTTCAACATTAGGATATTTAACTTTTTTATGTGAAATTATAAGTTAACAGTGTACACGGTTTTATAAATCTAAGTCATTCTGATATTTCCAACTTTGTAGTGATATCTAACACATGACTCAGACCAATGTTCACTGAATTCCTGAGATAGTGTACAGGAACTTGGTCTGGTTACTCATTGTCTTTCTTGATAATTTATGTACTTCATCCAGAGAAACACTTCAGGATTAACATTCATGGGTTTCAGGGATTTTTATAGTCTGAATTCGACTTCTAGATCTGTAGAGTAGACAACTTCTTGCGATAACATCTGTTCAGTTATGGGAAAATTTAACACCAAGGTGGGCTTACACACAGAGTTGAACAGTTACCTCCATAAGTCTTATTGGTCGTTAACCGAATTCCGATAATTGATGATTGTTTTCTATCCGAGTTATAATGTTTCACACAACTGCTGGCTTTTTCACGTAATTTATCCCTTTCATTATTTACTATATCAAGAGACTGCCGGTTCGAACCCAGTCGTGACTCAAATATTCGTTCTGTCATCAGTCATCACTACCTTTTGTGAATGTCAGTGTGATAGCTCATGCCTGTGTCAGGTAGTGTGACGATTACTATAAGTTAATTTCACTTAAGCACTGTGGAAATGGAGTTTCGAACGTGATTATACACAGTAAATCATGTCTGAAAGACCACCCAGTGAATTAGAGTGCATTATTGTGGGCCATAGCAACTATTTAGACTGTCACAGGATTGTACTCTGTTAATGTACGTAATTTCCATTGTTACATTATAATTTAATTTGTCTTGGAAAAGATCCCTTTTTTTTCTTTCAATAAGCATGAAGTAGCCATTTCATCTAAAACATATAGACTGGGTTGAGACCAGTTCCAAGCCCTAAGCCAGTCCAGCAAATCTTAAGAAAAAAGGTGGTCCTAAGTGATTTACTGACTTTAATGACTGCTTCTGCCTGTATTATCTTTTTCTATCATTAATTTCTCGTTCATCTTGATTCATTATACTTTAGGTATGATTTAAAGGATACTACCAAACTGATATTACAAGATATTCATTTAATTGGTGCTATGGGACCTCCAGGAGGTGGACGTAATGATGTATCTCAACGATTTATGAGACATTTTCATGTCATCAGTATGACGCCATTCAATGATGAGACAATGACAAGAATATTTTCAACACTGATGGGTTTTTATATGCGGGTATTTCGACATTTTCTATCTACTGCGATTTTAAGTTACCAGCGTTTACTTAGGAGATATGTAAACCACTTTCATTGTTATCACATTGTATTGTAAACCATTCATGAGTTTGAGTAAAAGGACACACATAGCAATTATGTATCTTTTTTATCAATGATTATTGATGCAGTGATGCTATCTTTAACTACACTCAATGAGTTTAACTATGAAGTACAGCCAACATTCATATTTGACGCAATAAACGAGAGGTATATTCATTGCTTAATATCACTCGTTAACAAAGCACGCTTGTCTGTTTAATAACATCTATACCTCCACTGAGATTCAAACGCTATCACTTCAACATCTCACTCGGTTAGATATATTATTGTCAAGCTCATGAATGACTCATTGATGTCTCAGATATCAGTATTCATGGGATTACGATACAGGTTGTACAAAGATACTTACCATACTTCCTAAACTTTCAGATACCATTGAGTTACCCTGTTAAATGGCCCCGGTTGGTGTAGAAATCAACATTTTTGATCGTCGACTACTAAGGGGGAGTTTCCTTAACTTCACTATGTAGTTGGTCTATACTACTCTGATGTGCTATTGTAAAATCGAAATAATTTTACTAGCCAGTTAATAATTTGAATACATATTAGATTTTTTATTTGATGTAGCACACAGTAACACAGTATATTTTACTAGATGACGTTTCGAGCAGAATTTATTGCTCATATTCATATCAAAGTAATCATAAATATTTCAAACTTCCTGTATATAGCTCAACAAGTCTTCATTCTTTTATCTAAACAGTAGTAAAATACTTCATATATATCTGAATTTGCGACGAATCATTCCTGTTACATGTGTTAAATGGTGATTCAATGAGCAAGGATTCCGTGACCAACCTCTTCTTCCACCTGGCTACCTACAGGGCATTTTAGATTTGTAACCCTATCCTACCCAATAGTGGGATTATCAGTCAGTATATGTGGAAGGATAATCGAGTTTTTCTCTTAATTACTTATCTTGTTAGGGTCTACCATTGTAGGTTTCGTTAAATTTCTATATTTGGCTCTTGTGACCGACACCGGTAGCCTACTTTGATCTACACACTTGACGTCACAATCATTATCTGGTATTTGATGATGGATTAGATTATTTTCCCTAATTGGCTCTACTGGATCTTTTAGCGTACAAAGTTCTGGTCTGAGAGACTTTATGGGTTTTATTGCCACCCTAATCGCAGGATTGTTAAGAATTTCACTTAAAATTTCCGATTTTCCTTCTTTATAAGGTAACACTATAGAGGGTTTGAATTCTCTCTAAGGGATATTGTAATTACTACTAACATTATGAGTCCTTCTCTAATCAGACCTTATAAACTTCTTAACAAATCGCCTATGGTAGTAATTAAGAAGTAGTGTGTGTTTCATGTGTTTTCTAACATACCAGTCGAACTATTGGCTCGACAATGTTATCGGCATTTTTTCAAGGTCAAGGTAGACTTGACCTACCATGACCTTTGTAGCTTAAGACTTTCTCTGCCCTATCTGAACTATGTCAAGTATTGTAAATCATCTGAATATTTCAACACAGCTATGTACTGTAGTTGCATGAAGTCATAAGTTTTCACTAGAGAGCCAGTGTTTACACCTGTGTTCCAGAATTTGATGCAAATTCGTGGTGGGCTTAAATATTTGCCATTCCTTTAGCATTTGTTGAACACATAAAAAGTAACTTCGGTAGAAGAATGTTTTATTGTATGAACATGTTTCTTGTACTTTGCTTACAAATCATAAACATTGATTGGATACAATTCCTCTGCTACTTCTATTCACATTCAAGTTGCATATCTGTTTTCTTTATCCAGTCACAAGAGTTTAGTTCAGAATACATAACAGTTGGTCAGATAATAGTAACATCTACTCTGGAAGTGTACAAAGCTGCAATTGAAAATTTGCTGCCTACACCGGCTAAGTCTCACTATTTATTTAACTTGAGAGACTTCAGTCGTGTTATTCTTGGCGTATGTTTAATTCAGAAAGATCGTGTTGAAAGTAAACGAACATTTTCACGTTTATGGGCTCATGAAGTGATGCGTGTCTTCTACGATCGTTTAACAGATGATGCAGATAGAACATGGCTATACAAGTAGGTTGAATGATTTTTGGTTTAAATGAGTAACTATGGTAATGTTGAGTCTTTTCACTTGAATTCATTTAATTGACAGTTTAAGTGGTCATAAATTAACTTGGCCTCACTCTGTTTCTTCTCTACAATTTTTTAATTCCTTCTGTGTCTATCACCAATGTCTACGGTTTCAATAATATAGGTGTAAAACATGGGGAATGTGGTAAATTGTGGTTTCATTTTGGTCTGTATATTAGAACTGTCACGCAGTGAAACGATTTTACTTACTGGATAAAGTTTCGGACATAATTTATTCTTCACTTTCATACCCAGTAGCTCCATAACCGAATCTTTATTTCTCGAGTCAACACCGAATACATACAATAGAAATGATTCTGCTCCTGTTTCAGACATATGGAAAATTCTACCATTACCACAGAAGAGAGGAGAGGATTATAAATAGTATAAACCATGTCTCAAAGTTGTGTAGTTACCTGATATGAATATGGACAATGTCTGAAACGGCATCCAGTAAATAATCCTATTTCATTATGTGATAATTCTCATAAATCGACTAAAATAAAGTCTACGATTTCAGCTTATGAAATACTTTTTATCGGTATTTACACACAGTTCGTGCTACCTATTGCAGTTTTTAATATTTACTCCCTTGGTTACATCAACTAGAGAAATCTGTGTCATGCACGTAATATTTCCCTTTCTACAAAACACTCATACTGTGTTCAGATTTTTGGTCATTTATTCGAACTCAACAGAGTGTCTCTTGGGGATTAGTGGACATCTGTAAAAGGATGATACAGAGAAAAATTGTCACGTCGTACTCACAGACACTGATTGGAAGGTAGTAGCACGTGGTTTATAATATGCGGTTTCAAGCTGCTGGAAGCGTAAAGCTGCATAGCAGGAGAAGAAGATTAATAGGAGGAATAACATATTAAAGTAAATTAGGTGAAGAATATCCGAAGTCAGAGAATGAATACCACATGTTCTAGATATAAAGCAAGAAAGAGTGAATGCACCCTAACCACTGTAAAATATATCAAATTATGTGACATTTGGTTATCAATAACCGCTGTATATTATTTAACAAAACCCAAAGCAACAGGCCTACATTAGGAATTTAACCAACAATAACAGTCGTTCTGGCGTTTGTTTAGTTTGCATTCATGAAATGACTACACCTGCGATGGGAGAATTTTGGGGAGTAGAAACTGTTATCAGTAAAATATTTCCGAGAGCTGTTAGATTTAGTTTTCATAAGCTTTTCTTTCATTCATGAAATTGTTGATAAGAATATTCGTTGCACCTTTAGCTTTGGGAGATAGCCACAATGAAACAAAAACTTGGGTTGCAATGGAATCTGAAGATGTCTATATATTGCACTATATTATTAGGATGTATGTTTAAGAACTTCCCCACTGTCATCTGGCATCATTCTCTTTCTGTTCCATGAGATTTACGTAATATACACTCCCAATTAATCATACTCATCCTAAATACTTCAAATAATAATAACTTTGTTAGTAGGTGTTAGGATACAATTTAGGTAATTGAGACGCGTACATTGGTTGGTTACTAGAGAGCAACAAATTTTATGTTATGCTAACTGGATTCTGTCGGTCGCTAAATGAAACACTGTGTGGCGCAGGTTTGAATCTCAGGGGTACATCAGTTTCGTCTAGGTTGTAGATACGTCCAATTGACGAGTGAAATCCAACATGAAACCCAGGTCGAGGGATTTATACTGACATTTTTCAAAGTTGTCTGAATTTATTTTCTGGTGATTGGTTTCTTTTAACTGTTTTTACACTACGGATGCCAGTATCCAACCAAATAAAAGCGAAAACAATGTTGTCTGAAAGCCATTTTGAGTCCTAGCTTTTAAATGACTGTATTAACAGTACATTTTAATCAGAAGAATGACCGGAACGTGTGGGATAGGATAAATATGTCTATCCATCTTCAGTCTTTCAAGTATACTAAGTGATGACTACTTTGCAACACATCTAGTAGGCAGTTACTGGCATTCTGGAAGAAGATTACTTGAAAGCGTCTAGTATCTAATTGTCGTATTGTTATGATTGTCCAGTCAACCAATGACCACGCAAAGGTCACTGGGATTCATATAACATCAAGGGACCTTATAGGTTTTTGAAGATGTCAGGGATGGTAAAATGATATATTCTGGTGCATCTAAGAGTTCATTTCTTTGTGTGATGATATTTTTTCTTCATTTTGTTGTTAGTTTGAAAATCGGCTAGTTGAAAACATTTACAAATGTGCGATAACAGATGATACACCTGGAAGACATAGAAGATTGAACAACATTGATGTAATATATTGTGTGAATAATTCTGGTAACCCAAGGTTCTAGCAGGCAAACTTGCTAACATGTCATATTTGGTTATATTTATGTTCAGTAAAATCAGTTATTAAGTATTTGAAGGGTTTAGTTTAAGAGAAGTAACCACTAGGTTAAACTGTGTGAATAAGATGATTGTGAAATGCGGTTGTAATACAAATAACCAGTTGCTGATGTGCTTTCTCAAAAGAGGTTACTTTTCTTGCCGAAAAATTGTCCATCTAACCTTTATGCGATTACTTTCATAAGGATGTTTTCCTCAATCTATGACGAAAATCGCACTTTTGTTGGGCTAACTTCTCTTTTTCTGGTATACGTGAAAAACTGTCTTTACAGGATTGCCTAAGATCATTTGTGAATAGCCTTACCAGGGACATGATAGCAACCGATGAAGTCACTACACAGCATATGATTCCTTTATTAATTACTTTTTTCTTACCTTATACTTACAGATTTATACGAGGTTGCTTGGAAAATAATTTTAAAGAGAAATTCAATCAGTTATTCGCTCATTTAGCTGCATATGAAGGGGAAGAGGTGAGTTGCATGTGTTTTCTACACCCTAGCACTTCCTTTTGTCCTATTTAGTCAGCGCAGGTTGCCAGTAGCACTAGTCAAACTAAATCTGCTTGTCATTTCGTATAAACATAAGACTGGCTGCATGATTTAGTTGGAGTCTTTTTAAATTAGAAAAAAGTAAACTGAATATAAAGTATAAGCGAATAATTTTGGCTCTTTAGTAGAGTGTACTTCCATATCAGTATTATTTGTACACAGTAAAAAGTACTGTAACGCTTTGTGTCATATCAAATAAACTTATTCTGTATCAAGAAGCATAAATGACTGTATAGTCTAACTTATTAACCAAGCTTAAACCAGGTTGGACATGAGGACAGCTAATCAGTGACAGTTTTGGATGAAAGTCGCGCTATGTCGTGCATTGACAGAAGTAAGAGGATGTGAACCATTGGATTCTGACCCAGTGATTCAATGGTAACGTGCACGCCGTAAGACCTGAGTGTCCTGGGTTCGATCCCTGGCGGGATCAAAGGTGAGCATTTCTGAGGAGTCTTACATCAGAGCGAAACAGCTGTCAGGTGCTCCGTGGTTTTTATTTGTTCTCCAACTAATGTCAGACCCTGACGAATGCCAAGTTGAAGTCATTCTTAAACTACCAAATGTTTAACTTATTCCCTTACTGTTATCGTGATAAGTTCAAGCTAGTAACCGTACTGATTAACTTGGTTATGGAGAGACATCCTAACTTTTGTAAATACCTTATCTCGAAATCCTATCTGGTGATAAGCATCCTCTGCATGTGCACGTTTCTCGCTGTCTTTCTTCAGGGAAGACAAGAAGCCAATACATTAAACTTTATGAACGTACAATTACACATAAAAATCCAACATTACTTAATTTAGCCTGTGCTCTGTATGAAGGAATCTATGCTAGAAAAAATTGTAACAATTGAACTCGCAATAGGGAACAATTTTCACAATCCTGCTTTCATGACGTATCTAAACCATACTATTGTTATTTATGATCTCTTGTAAACCATTATTACTGACAGTATATTACAAAAATGTTGTACAACGAGTAAATTTAGTTGTTAGTTTTATGCTAAAAATTCTACAGTGTAAACCAAATTATAGTTTGGAATGAAGCAAACATATGTTTATTATTATTTTTCCAATGGGATTTCCACAGAATGCTGGTTTATAAATCATTTAATTGTAGTAAGAACAATCAAATGACCTTTATCTATCATCCGGAAAGCAAAACATAGCGACGGTTTACAAAGCTGATGTTCAAAGGACTGCTTAAATTATCCTGTTTTTCACAACCGTTGTCATCGTTTCTTATCTGAGATCTATGCAACTAATCCCTTCAAAAATCACTTTTCTGATGAAGTTACATTAAAATAAGTATGTCTGAGTACTTGATTACTACATCAAAAGAAGTGGAAAAACTTTATCACTAAACTCTCATTCATTAAGCCATGACTACCATGGGAGACGAGAAGCCTGATGGCTATATTTTCTCTTCAAAATAGGGTTGCTAAAACCTCGGAAACACTGTTCACTTTACTAGCGTTACCTGCCGATATTCAGGTAGTTTCAACGAAGTTGTTTAGTTACATGAATGATAGGTGCAGGTACGAATATAAATTCAGCAGATATTTGGTGTTTATAACACCTCAGTTTGTCTGTGAAACGCTTTCAGATGCAAACTTTTTTATAGTATAATCATGTTTTTATTCCATTAAAAAATGATAAATGGGTCCATGTGTTATAAATCCAAACGGTATACAGTTAATAAATCTGATTTTTGGTTCAGATCAGTTCATTCGCTTTAGGTTGCCTTTTTTCAGTGCGTAAGACAATGAATCATTGATTATTGTTTATTCAAGCTTATATTTTTGCGCTATTATTCTAGATCGAATTGATGGACCTTTGTTAATATATGGGATCGCACGGGATGCCTCGTTATTGCTCGATTATTCATTATTTTGTAATTTGCTTGGTGACTAGCGATGAGATCCGAAACGCGTGTTTCGTTCTGTTTGAGACGCATCAGCTGGATGCACCTGTACCTAAGTAAGTGATGTTATTTCCTCTGAGACTCGAAACCCGTACCCATCACTTCAGTGATAATAATAATGATACTAACAACAACAATAGTAGTAACTAATACTGGTTGAACAGCTGTTGTACATTGGCAGCCTAGTGGATAGCGTTTTGGTGTTTGGAGCGGTGGTTACGAGGTTCTAGTCTCAGTGGAAATAACATCACTCACTGGGGTATGGCTACATCCAGCTGACGAGTCCCAAATAGGACGGAAGAAGCATCCTGGATTCCACTGCTAGTCACCACCAAGCAAATTACGTAAGTAATTCTGAGTTGCAATAGGATGTGTTTGGCATGATTGAGATCGTCATCCAATAGGTAAAGTCATCTTGAAACACCGGCTTCGGTGGCTTGGACATGTGGTGCGCACGTTGTCCCAATGGATCATATACCATATATTGTTTGCTAGCCCTCCGACTGGATGAAAGAAGCGGAGGGGTGGTTAGTTTATGGTGTGGCGCCATAGGATGAAGAATAGTTGTATCAGATTCGCACCTGTAAGTGCTTCACGAATCCTAGAGTGAAGTCCGAGAAACCACGTAACTTAGTGGCTTGAGACTTCATCAGATATGGCTCAGAACCGAAAACAGTGGTGGTTATGCTGTAGCTTCCTTATATCTTCTGCTACTGAGAAGTAATCAATGCTTTGTTTTGAATGCACCTTACTGAAATACGTTTTTAATCATTTTATTCTTATTGTGTTTCCTGTTATCCACTTCCTTTCGCTTAATGTCTTCATAATGCCGTTATATTATTTTAAGTGGGGCCCGTCTTAAAACCCTTTATATACTATATTTTTGTTCTACTAATAACAAAAAATACCAAACAAATTACAAAAATAATGAATCTTTCCTTAGATATTTTAGTTTTATTGCATGCCTTTTTATGCGTTTTCTTAAATCGCTTTCTTTATCTTTATCTTCTGTAATAATTAGATTGGTGAGACACACTTAAGAAGTTATGTTATGTTTGGAGATTATATGGATCCAGAATCGTTGCCAGAAGATAGAGTTTATGAAGAAATCAAAGACATTCAAGCAGTGTATCCTGTTGTAGAACACTGCTTAGAAGATTATAATAACGCTAATACGAAGAAGATGTCATTAGTCATATTTCGGTCAGTTTGAGTTTCACATATATATTGTTAAGTATCAAAGTAGGCTGTTACTAATTACACTATATCATATATTCGCAATAACTGAATTCATCCTGATGTAGTGCTTTCATAGAAATAAGATCAAGCAAGTCTGTTTCGCTGGAATCGGAAAAGTAAGATAAGCTCTCACTAACCTGAAACCAGTGTGGAGATCTACTGCACTCAGCACAAAGCATGAACAAGATCCGGATTTTCAACACCGATGTCAAGTCAGTGCTTCTATATGGTTGAGAGACTTGGTGCGTCACGAAAAGCACTTCCAATAAATTACAGACATTCATCAACAGCTGCCGCCTACGCTCACTCGATAGTGAGGATCAATCAGATGGCCAGAATAATAAGAATAAGCAAGGAAGGGACTCTAGCTGGCTGGCTAGCAACGAACCAACCAAGAACCCATCGCCCAACAAATATGCAGAAGAAAATGGAGATGGATTGGGCATACACTGAGAAGACAGTTCGGGGACATCACGCACCAGGCCAGATACTCGAGTGGAACCCAGATGGGAAACGACGAGCTGGGTGTCCGAGGCGAGGGTGACATGGAGGAGATGGTATGAGGAAGAAATGAAAGGTTGTGGGTAGTCGTGGCGCCAGGTTGAAAAGACTTCAGAGAACAGAGTGAAATGGACGTGTGCTACTGAAGCCCTCCCTATGTTCTAACAGGAACCTAAGGGTAAAATAGTAATAATAATAGTACTCATCAGAGGATATGGATAGTCTTAACAAAACTGAGTCTGTAATTCAGCTTCACTTATATTTCTCCATCGTTAGATTGAATCGGATTGATCCATCTCTGCTAGTATATGTAAACCTGTGAGGATGCCTCGATATTGCCTAAAGATTCGCTACTCTCATTTGCTTGGTAATGGTTGACAGTGGGATCCAAAATACGTGTTTCGTTTGATTTGCACCACAGTGTGTGATCATAGTGCCACTAACACTCTGTAAACCACTGTCCATTCCTTCAAACCATAGACAGTTTTACAATAGGGCATCAGTTTTTATGCACTGATACTTGTAATTTCTTGCTGAAGTATCATCAATAAAACTCGATCTACTTTTAAGATTCTCATTATCATCTACTTCAATAACAAAATTCTTTCACTAGACAGTGAAATATTGATAAGAGGGATAATCTACAAAAATGAGCTCATATATATATATAAATATATATACATATAATGTTTGGATTCAGCAAAAGTTAACGACAAATCATTTGCAAATATTACCTCCCACTCAAACAATCTTAACCAGAAAATTTTAAACTCTTAAACCATGACAGTAAAAATGCTGAGACTTTCAGATGATTTTCTTCGATATTATGCACACGTTGTGTCGATAAATACTGACAAGCGCAAAATATTGACTCATGCTTTCTTATAGATCACGCTGAGATAGGTAACACTAAACGGCTGACTATTTCCTTATCTTATTACATAAAAGTTTTTTTATTTATTGGCTTACATTTGAGTTGCGAAATAAACATTAATATTATTATTATTTTTCCCTTAGGTTCCTGTTAGAACATAGGGAGGGCTTCAGTAGCACACGTCCATTTCACTCTGTTCTCTGAAGTCTTTTCAACCTGGCGCCACGACTACCCACAACCTTTCATTTCTTCCTCATACCATCTCCTCCATGTCACCCTCGCCTCGGACACCCAGCTCGTCGTTTCCCATCTGGGTTCCACTCGAGTATCTGGCCTGGTGCGTGATGTCCCCGAACTGTCTTCTCAGTGTATGCCCAATCCATCTCCATTTTCTTCTGCATATTTGTTGGGCGATGGGTTCTTGGTTGGTTCGTTGCTAGCCAGCCAGCTAGAGTCCCTTCCTTGCTTATTCTTATTATTCTGGCCATCTGATTGATCCTCACTATCGAGTGAGCGTAGGCGGCAGCTGTTGATGAATGTCTGTAATTTATTGGAAGTGCTTTTCGTGACGCACCAAGTCTCTCAACCATATAGAAGCACTGACTTGACATCGGTGTTGAAAATCCGGATCTTGTTCATGCTTTGTGCTGAGTGCAGTAGATCTCCACACTGGTTTCAGGTCAAGCCTTGTCTTGCGATCTTTTCGACCTTGGCTTTGACATCCTCATCCTCATCTTTGTCACCGCCTGTAGTTGATACAGTGCTGCCTAGGTAGGTGAAAGGGACTAGTTCCATTAGGTTTCTCCTCTTGATGATGATTGGTGCTGTTGTTGTTGGTCGGGTATCTTCATCATCTCTGTCTTCACTATGATGATCTGAAGCAAGTCCCGTTTTCGCTGCTTCTTCTGTCAACTTGTTAGTTCTCGCCCGTGCATCTTCGAATTTGTGCGGTAAGACATTAGGCATAAATCATCATGGTTAGCGAAATTTAAATCTTCTTCTGGGGTCTTTTCATCGGTTCAGCCAGCGTATGCCCTTCTACTCGCTCGTCAACGTTTGTTGCATGGTCCAGTCTAGTCGGCCACAATCAGAAACATCATGGGTGATAGTAGGCAGCAGCCTAGTCCTGCTCCTTCCTTGAAAGGCATCATCACTGAGCTTTTCATTGTGAATCACTTGGCATGTGGCATCTTCATAAAGCTGTTGAGTCAGGTTGATGGCGGTTTGTGGCACTAAAATCTTAGTGTTGAAGCAACCGCCCGCAAAATTACTTCTCGATCGACGCTGTTGAATGCCTTTTCAAAGTCGATGAAGTTGAGGTAGAGAGTTGACTTCCATTCTATACTCCGTTATATGATGATGTGAAGCGTTACAATTTGATCACCACATGCTTTGTTATTCCTGAAGCCAGCCAGCCTGCCTGTTCCGGTCGTAGTTTTGAATTCAACGCATCCTTTCGTCTCTCCAAGATGATGCGGAATAATATTTTGCTTGCTTTGGGTGGACAGGAGCGTGATTCCGCAATAGTGCTTGCAAAGACTTAGGTCACTCAACCTTCAGCAGTTTGACAAGGTAACCCTTCTTCCAATCAACAGGCAGATACCTTTCCTTCCTTCCACACCTTCTACAATAATGGTGTGGTGTGAGCATGTCCGCTGTTGTCTCTGCGTCTGTTCTCAGTGCTTCTGGTGGGATTCCATCTGATTCTGCTGCTTTCACGGATTTCAGCAGCTTTATGGCTCTCAGGACTTCGACTTTTGTTGGGGGATTTATGTTCACTTGTAGTTCTGTGTCTGGGTTGCAGGTGGCATTTCTGGATGAAGTGTAGGTTGTGGTGGTGGTGGTCGATTCAAAAGATTTTTGAAGTGATCAGCCCAATTATTCCTCTCCATTCTCCTCTTTGCTAACTACGCTTACTTCACTGTCTTTCACTGGTCTCATCTGCTTTGGTTCCCTCACAGATTGTTACCTAGTTATTTGGTATAATGTTGTCAGGTCTCTACGACCAGCAGCCTGCACTCTGTTCTGCTTCACTTGCCTGTATGTCATAGATGTGTCTTTTGTCTTTGCGCGCACTCTTCTTCACTTCTTTGTCCAGTGTAGTGTTTTATAGGTTGTGTTCAGTTCCTCGTTTCGCTGTTCATCCCTGCACTGTACTGCAATGTACTGCACTGGTTCATCTTCTGCTTTCCCAACAGCAGCATCATCACCTCTGTCCGCTCCCATGTGTCCATAGAGATCCATTCCTTGTCTTGTTTCCTCTTCCTCCTTCCTACTGCAGTTATGCAGGTTTCTTTCCACATCTCTTTCAAGGAGTTCCAGTGTTCTTTCACCCAGGTTTCTTCGAGAATGCTGCATTATGTCTCCCGTTTTGTCCTGATGACTGACTACGTGAAGTTGTCCTCTGAAGTTTCGTGCTTCAGTTCCGTTTCTGTTCTGGGTGTTGAACTTGAACTGTGGTCTATCACCAGCTTCCTTGAATTGAAGGATTTCAACTTGATTTTGAAAGTAGGTTCTTTGCGCCACATAGTGAGTTGTGTGAACTTCATTTGCTCCCGTTCTTGATTTTGTGTCCACTTTTTTCACATTAGGATCAAATCGATCTGAAGTCGATTTTCAGTGTATCCATATGGTGAAATCCATGTCACTTTGTAGATATCCTAGTGCTTGAACACAGTGCCTCCAATCATCAAATCGTTGAATGCACAGAATTCTGCAAGCAATTCTCCATTCTCGTTCATTTCACGAAGTGCTTCTCGACCCATGGTTAGTTCTCTTCCTGTGTTGTCCGCTCTCAGTTTGGCATTCATGTCGCACAATAGAATTTTAATGTCGCCAACTGGGGTGGGGTCTTGTCCAGTGTTGATTGCATTGTCTATAGAATTCCTCTTTCTTCTCATGGTCTGCATTATTTGTTGGTGTGTGGTATAGCACTGAATGATTGTGACTTTCCTTTCTTTTTGGGTTGAACCTTACTGTCATGATCCTGGAGGAGATTGATTCCCACTGTATGAGAGCCTTCGATGGTCTTGGAGACATCATGATAGCCACTCCAACACTCATTGTGGCGGTGATTGTTGTCTGGGTGACAATATCGGGGTAGATTATTGACTCTCGAGTTAGGAGTTTGGAGAGTCCACTTCCATTCCATCTGCTGATTTCTCGCAGATTCCTAGCAGTTTCATGCCGTACCTCCTCATCTCTCTCACAGTCTGGACAGCCTTTTTGGGTTCCTAGATAGTGCGGAAATTCTATGTCCCCATGCTTATTTTAGCTGCCATCCGGAGAGAGAGAAGAGACATCGGCCGATTGGCTTCCCGAAGGCTTTCACCAACCGGTGTCATTTCTTCTCTCCAATTCCAGCGAGGAATAGTTTTGTTTTTATTTTTCATATTTTGTCTGCGCTCTGAAGTTTATGTAGCGTTTGGATTGGTTTTACGGGTAGGGTTGTTAGCCCTATCCCCAACCTTTCCTGTTTATATATATATATATATATATATATATATATATATATATATATATAGGATTAAAACTTGTGCACTGTGCAATAAAGCAATTTCATTTTAAATGATTTAGTAGATTTATCACACAGTGTAAGGGTATTATTTACTGAGTCACTTTTCGTTTCATCTAGTGTCTATGGTCATATCAAGACAACTGCACAACTCTGAGACTTTGTTTGCATAGCCATAAATATAGTCCATGGAAGTAAATTTCATTGGAGTAGTTTATTCAGGAGGATGTTTAGACAGGGCTGTTATTGTGGTCAGTAATTGGTCAGTCACACTGTGAATGCTGTGTTGTTTTCTTTCATCTTCGAGCTTTAGTTTTGTGTACAGTTTTCTACATCACGAAAGGAGTATATTAAAGTTGAAACATGAACTGATTTCTCAAACATTTTCTCATGTTACTCCAACTTTGAGATGTTCAATACTATTAGAAACAAAATCTATCACAAAAGTGCGTCAGTCTTTAGCTAACACACATTTTATCGACAATGAAGGCGAAGAAGATATTTAAGTGAACCATTAAAGTGATACAAGTGCTATATTTTCTCTTTGTCGATATACACAGTTTATTTGAGGTGTGTAAACAACACGCGATTTACATGAAATCTACAGACACCTGAGTTTATCCTTATTATTATTATTCTATGCCATTTATCTTTGTCTTTATGGACATATGTTGGTGTTAATTAATTGAAACATAAATTGACTAGGTTGATGGTTTTCTGATCTTCGTGATGGTGAATTAACGCTAAAAGCTAAACAGTTTATTAATCCAGTGGATAAGTACTCCTTGTTAAAACTATATTCCATTACAGAAATAACTTGGTATCGGTCAGACTTTTGCTGGACTCTAACACTGGGCTATTTATTTCACATCTAACCTATATAGTTATAGAATATTTGTAAAAATATGTATACTTTGTTGTACTAATTAATGTCGACATCTTCAGTGAATCAACCGAAGACCAAAGCTTTCACCATCATGATATTTTGGCAGGAAACAGTGAAGTATTTCCGCTATATGGTATACTTTTCGAGGATTATTTCATGTCTACAATACGTACTTGTGATTTTTCAAAATGTGCATGCTTTGTTAAAATAAGTCTTAATTTATTCAAATTTAGTTTGCTGTGGTCAATATGACATCTACCAGAAAACAGTCTCACACTTGAAAAACTGATGAAAACTGGGGAAATGTCACCTCATAACTTGGAGGGACAATCAAGTTGTTTCTGTCTTTCCAAAGCTACTAACTATTCTATTCTTGCTTTCTTGTTATTAACCATTAGATAACAGTACGCGGAACTTAAAACATATCCTTTCCCTTTATCACATCTCAAGTTTGTAGTCATAGCCAGTTCTTCTAAGCAAAATACCTTCTTACTAGTCCTTAATTGGGTTAGATAGTGTGTACTAAGTGCTTATCAAATGGAAAACAAGATCAGTTTATGTTCCCATTAGTTTAATTACTTATTTTCAAGGCTTTTGCCTTGGAAACATAACTTTGCACGTTATTTCTACAACGTTTATACAAAATTGTGTTTTTTGGCTTCTTAACTGTTTAACCAACAAATCAGATATGTGCTGGAACATTTGTCAAGAATTTGTCGAATTCTTCGTGTACCCGGTGGAAATGCTTTACTTGTTGGTGTTGGTGGTTCTGGTCGTCAATCACTGACCAGATTAGCTTCAGCGATGGCAGGTTATACTGTATTTCAACCTGAAATATCTAAAAATTATGGTAAAAATGAATGGCGTGAAGATTTAAAGGTAAGTAACGATACTGGATCATCTCTACAGTTCTCTGCGCACCAAAATACGGATCTTATTCTGGCATTAGAATTCCAACTATTTTCTCCTGTGATAAGTTTATATGTACAATAAGTAGTTTTGCTTATCCATGATAGCAATTTTCATTTTATATTAACAAATTTACATACATTATGACATCAAAGTACCTTATTTTCGTTGCCACTAAACACAGAATTGATAACATCATGTTTTAAACTCATTTCTGACTACTCTCTCATTAAGAATACTAATATGTTGGACTGAGTATCTCCAACAGTTGAATGATTTATTCGAACAGCAGTACTGTGTACACAAATCGGTTTTGTATAATTACTACCTCAGCCTATATAAAACTCATTGGGGTCACTTGTGTTCGGTGTAAGAGTAGCTAGACGATTATTTACTAGTGGGTCAACAAGTCTGTATAAAATCCTTCAAGCTGTATTCCAGGAATTTGGATGCGAAAATACCAATGTCATTTGAACGATCACTAATAGATAGATAGCGAATACCATCCAGTCGTTTTTAAAAATATCTCACACGTATTATCTATTAAGGATCACTTTCTGTGTTCTGATGTGAAGTGTTGGAATAAGCAGCTAGCTGAATCACATTTGAATACGATAACTTTCATGATAACCTATTATGATTCTCTGTGTAAAGTAAGATAATTGACGTTGAAAGTTCCATTCAGTACCATTGGATCAAATTGTTCACAGTGAATCCAGTGGCTAGTTAATTAACAAAGACTAGTCATTTAAATATGCTTATCAAAAGTTCCAAGACTGAACAAAACCAGCTCCCTAAATTACCTTGCGAACAATGATTGCTCCCATTATGTGTAGATTTATGATAAAAAATTATTTGTGTACATTAGTCAAAAACTGACAAAGAAGAATACTGTTGAGTGGATGTTTACATATCACCTTAGAATGCTTATTTTGTCTAGAATGCAGATGATGAAGACATTTTATAATTATCAGTCACGTGTGAACTTTTCTCATGTATTTATTGTAGTCATTGTTGCGACACGCTGGAGGAGAGGGTAAAAACATGGTATTCCTTATGACTGATAGTCAAATAAAAGAAGAAAATTTCTTAGAAGATGTGGATAGTCTGCTCAACTCTGGAGAAGTTCCTAATCTGTATACTTCTGAAGAAAAAGCTGAACTAATGGATATCATACAAAATTGTCTTGAGGCATCAGGTGGAAGTAAATCAGTTGACTTATCACCTTTAGCACTGTACGCTTTATTTGTGGATAGATGTCGAGAGAAATTACATATAGTTATGGCTTTTTCACCTATTGGAGAAGCCTTTCGAAATCGTTTAAGACAATTTCCTGCTCTGATTAATTGCTGTACAATTGACTGGTTCCAGGTTAGTTGGTCTTTTTTTGTAAGCCTGGTTAAGTTTTATCATCGATTTACTAATTCAAGCGATAGTAACGCATCACGAATTCACGTGGTAGTCGGGAAAAATCAAGACGCAACTATACACAACCGCAGTGTCCAAGTTCTGTTACACTAACATGAGTGAATCTAAAGTATATTCTAACAACCAGTGAAATATCTAAATAGGATTTTGTTTATATATATATATATATATATATATATATATATATATATCATACAATAAGCTGGTTGGCCTGTTAGTTTCACTGTATTCTGTCACATTTTGTCCTCAAATGACAAGGTGACTGAACAGAAAACAAGCAACCTTATTATTAACTGGTGCGTTACCATGTAGAATATAATGATACCCTGTTGAGTGAATTGACTGTAAAGTTTACCCTGGTAACTACTGAAATAACGCGAAAGATTTCTATATAGCAGCTGTAAAACTATTTTTCACGTTAAATAAAGAAGGGTAATTGGTCATTTCAGCGGTTGCTTGGGTTCACTTTAGAGTTACTCGTTGAAGGACCTTGATTTATAAGTGACTCTAAAAGCCATCATGGCAATAACTATAATAACAAATTAAATATTTGAATTCTGCGAGAATCGACCTTTCAAACGAGTATAAATGAATCTAATTGACCATTTCAATAGTTATTAGGGTGAACTTGAAATCCCCTTCAATTTTCTTACTTAGAGTACTTGAACAATCCTCTAACTCTTCTAATATGGGACTAACATCCTTTCTCTGTTCTGATTGGAAATATGTTGGTCAGCTGAATATCTCTCAATCCAGTAACCAACAAAATCATGACATGAAACATTTTTGCGAGTGACTTTATAGACAACCTGAACAATGATCGAAATAGCCGATTACCTCTCTTTATTTTGAATGAAACGTATTTAGTTATTTATATTGTTACTGGGGTGGCCTTTAACGTCCCTCGTCTATCTAGAATGAGTGACTCTAAATGGCTCTGAACCAAATAAAGAAAAAGGTAATGTTTGAATGACTTAGAGTCACTCTAGTAACTGTTGAGGTAGTTAACCAGATTTATATATTTCGTGAAAAAACTGGCTTACCCGTGAAGTATTGGAATCTGATTGGTGATTTTAACAGTCGTTGGAATGGCCTTTATATTCACTTCCCTGTTTTCATGAACTAAAGAAAGTGAACTGAAGTCCTCAGTGGTTGTTAGAATGGTCTTTTGAGCCGCTCCTTCTATACCTCTTGCATTTCTTCCTTCTTTTGTCACTTACTATTGACCTAACCAATATACTTTCCAGAAGTTTTGATGCGCATCGTGCTCAAATCAAATCGGAGTGAATCCTCATATTTTGATAAGTTGGCATAAAGCTGTGATTTTCACATTTGCAGTGAAAATTATTTATTACCTCTGAGAATGCAACACATGCAAGTCATTCAGTATATGGGTACAGAAAGTGTGAGTGGTATCTTGGCTTTCAAATAGAAAAGTTTTAATATTGTTTTTCACTTCTTTTTAAAAATAGAGTTCAAACAAAAAGCTTGTGGCCTCAGTTATCCAAAGATAGTTTCAAAAACACATTTGACAATCAAGAAATAGGTTTCCATTAAGGATTCATCTTGGGATTTGAATTTGGTATTTACTATTGATTACTGTGATTCTATGAACTTCAGCAATTGTTAGAGTTCAATTACTGATGAAAGCAATATAGGTAGTAAGACTAATGATTCATAACGGTGGTTAACCTTGATCGGTGTTAACAAGGGCTACTAGTTTGCCACCAATTCATTCACATAATCTGACCTTACATTAATAACTTGGTGATAACGTACATTAGGTTGTGGAAGAATACAGCTTCATATCTGAAAGAAAATATGAACTCTCCTAGGGTTGTGGAAACCCTATACTGAGAACTGAATAATTACCAGACTTAAGTCGGAAGCATAGGTCATAATAACAACAAATTTAACAGTGTATCGCGGTTGGTTGTCTTTGAATGTTTCCTTTATGGTCTTGTTGTAAGAACAGACAATCAATTTTGTAGCTAATAAATCATCTAAGAATGCATTTCTTTTTACTGAATGATTTAATCACTTAGCCATGGCCTGAGGATGGTTTAATTCGAGTTGCCAACAGGGCACTTCATCATTTGGATATGGAAGATAATGTTCGTGAATCAACTGTTCATTTGTTCAAGTATTTTCACACATCAATCACACCTTTATCTGAGAAATTCTTGACACATCTAGGTCGAAAAACCTATGTAACACCTACTTCATATTTAGAACTAATTAACAGCTTTCAGAGGCTTCTAACTCAAAAACAGAATGAAACTAGTCGAGCTAGAATGCGGTAAGCAATACCTTTTAATTGATTTCAGATGTATCATTCTTCTCTTTTCCATTTTACAATTCACTGCCATATAAGATCGGAACTGAGTATCCATTTATGTACATATAGCTACTTTATAAGCCGTAAATGAATGAAAAGTAACTAGGAGCTAATTTGATGAGTAAAGGTTTCAGTAAAGTCTCATTGACCCAAAACAGTCAATAACAGATCATTCCAAGTTATTCCTCACATCAGTGAAATGCTTCACCGACAATTAATAGTGAAGATTTACGGCTTTGAGAAAACATCCTAACAAAGTGTCATTGCGGTTTGTAGGTTTCATGTAAGAGAATTGTCGTATTTTAGATACATCCGTGGATATTTTAACATAGATAAAAAATAGTATTGATCTAATCATACCCAGATGAGTGAATGTATTAAACTAGACAAAGTATGTAAATAAAGCTAAGTAACTAAAGATTCACCACGCTAAAGGTACTTAAAACCAGAGAATTAATAATCTTGGTATTACTGTTATCAGCACAGCAATTTATGCAGATGACGTCTTAGAATGTTCTACTTTCCATGGACTGTTACTTTGTGTATTGTACAGCATCTGGAATATTTTGCAGAGAATAACATTATGCCCTTTATGATTGGAAAAGACTTTGCGAATTCCTGTTTATTGAACTACCAAACGTCAAAAGATGTATGAAGTGTTAGCTATTGTTTACTTAAATTCCTAAACTACTCGGTGGGTAAGTATAAATCAGGACATACACAAAGGAAGTACAAATGAAAAGAATAGATCATTAACTCAGTCTCAAAGTCCGGGAACATAAATCTTTGCATTTCTGTTCCTAGTTTTATGTTGATTTGTGCGTCCACATCAAAGCACCTGAATGGTTTATCTAAGTGAATTCACTAACTGTGTTACATGATGGCAAGTTTTTCTAATACTCAGTTTTGTCTTTCCCTTCTGTATGTTCCTACTACATGTAAAGAAAAATACATTCTGGGAAGGGAATCCTTTTCTTGACTACGATAAGAAGCAGACAATTTAGTAATCTCCTGCAGATTTATAAATTGGTCTGCTAGTCACAGTTACTGTGTGGAGGCTGTCTACCTAAAATTTAATTGATAAGCTGGAGTTTGAACCGGTGCTTTGATAGTTGAAAGTCAAATGCTTGGACGAATTAGTTGCAGGTTAATAGTACCAAGACATTATAGTCACAACTAACTAGTCGACTAGTCAGGTCTACAGTGCTTCAATAGTTGGGGTTTCAAACAACAAACAGTGTATTCTTCCTGGAAATCTGATGGAAATTCCTTAATAATCTGAGAGGTTATGAATAGCAAAACATAAAGCAAGCCAATCGTCAACACAGAAAATATCCGCTATTGGATATGATCATTGGATCTGCGATTAGAGATAACAAGCTAGTGGATATTAGAAAAGGTATGAAGGAATGATTTCTGAAACAAATTGAACCTCCGGACGCCGTCAGCTGTAATAACAGGCATTTGAACGCATCAATTGAGATTACTATTGAGGTGGGTCATAAGACCGATATTCATATTTTTCTTATAAAACTAGTATCGGGATCAGTGCTGTCAAACTTTTATTTATTTGGAAGTTTAAGCCAAGTTTATTTGTTACAAACAGTTTGTTAGGAGGTTAGATATCTTTATGGTGAAAATGCAGATGAAGTCATCTAGCCTGATGACGAAACGTTCAAGAACGAGCCTCAGAGAATACTAAATAATTATCGTCCTTAATCTGAGCGACGAATCTTCATTCCCATATTAGACTTTGTTTAGTGAGTACGGACGTGAAGCGAAGGTAAGTGTACTTTATTAATTTCCACTATTATTCTGTCCTTCATCTTCGCCTTCCAATCTGACCTTTTTTATTTGAACACTCATTCACTCATGTAGATGCATTTGATAAGTACAAGGTATTCGAAATGTGTTGCACACTTAGGATACATGACTGAAATAAATTATCTCCCATTGATAAATTTATTTTATCATTATTATTATTTTCCCCTGGGTTCCTAGGGGAACACAGGCAGGGCTTCAATAGCACACGTCCATTTCACTCTGTTCTCTGAAGTCTTTTCAACCTGGCGCCACGACTACCCACAACCTTTCATTTCTTCCTCATACCATCTCCTCCATGTCACCCTCGCCTCGGACACCCAACTCGTCGTTTCCCATTTGGGTTCCACTCGAGTATCTGGCCTGGTGCGTGATGTCCCCGAACTGTCTTCTCAGTGTATGCCCAATCCATCTCCATTTTCTTCTGCACATTTGTTGAGTGATAGGTTCTTGGTTCACTAGTTACTAGCCGGTTCTAAGCCCGGATGAACAGGGAAGGTTGGGGATAGGGCTAACAACCCTACCCTGTAAAAGCAATCCAGTCGCTAAAGAAACTCCAAAACACAGAAATTATAAAGAATGAAAACTTGAAATTTATTATAGATACTTATTATTTCAGAAAGACACAGACCTCGTTAAAATTCGTGATAATATCCAATTATAAGAGACTGAGTTGAGTAGACGTATGATTAGAACTATGAAAAGGTTAGACACTGAAAGTTTAGTGTAGACTTCAAAATACTTTGAAAATGTTTCATTCTTACATCTTGATTACTTTGTTTTTACTTTTGTGTTGTTGCCAGAGGATGATTTGATATGTAAATGATCATCTTAGATTATTCTTTCTCTAGAGTTGTTCCCATCTGTTTCATACTAGTATTAATAACTTTTTGTCTTAGTTGAGTCAAGTTTGAATTAGTAGTACAATTCGGCTTCTGAAATACAGTTCCTAAACAACTCTGTAGGGTTGCGCCTTTGGCCAATTTATTAAGGGTTATCGCCATCAACATAACTCATGAAGTAACCTAATCTGAATAGGCTACTGTGTTCGATATTTCAGAACTAGCTGTTTACCTCTTACAGTAATTTATTGTAGAAAGTCAGCAAAATGCTGACTAATTCTACCTATTTCTAACTGACCTTTTTCTTATAGTTACATCAATGGACTGGATAAACTGGCATTTGCTGCGGAACAGGTGGCTGATATGCAAATTAAGCTAGAAGAACTTCAGCCTCAGCTTGTATTGGCCAGTGGAGAAAATGAGAAGCTCTTAACTGTCATAGCTACTGAGTCAGTTGCCGTTGAAGAACAACGTGTCAAAGTCAAAGCTGAAGAGGAAATCGTCAATCAGAAAGCTGATGCATCGAAGGCATTAAGCGAGGAATGTAGAGCTGATTTAGCTGAAGCTCAGCCAGCATTAGAAGCTGCCCTCTGCGCTTTAGATACATTGAAGCCGGCTGATATAACAATAGTAAAGTCGATGCAGAATCCTCCTCCAGGAGTTAAGCTTGTCATGGAAGCAGTTTGCGTAATGCGTGATATTAAACCGGATAAAGTAAATGATCCTTCAGGATCAGGTAAAAAAATTAATGATTACTGGGGTCCGTCAAAGAAATTACTCAGCGATCTAAACTTCTTGACAGTGTTAAGAGAATATGACAAAGATAACATCAATCCTGCGGTAAGATTTTCAGGTTTTCATGCCTATATTTAGGATGCGTAGGCATCTACTGATTGATATTTCAAAACTTTTTTAGATTTTAAAATGTTTCAAAGTTTCTTCGTTTGATTTATGATTGGCTAGATAGCTAGGCTACGGTGCTAAACATACTTCAGCGATAATGAATTCCCAGCATTTATTACTCCTAAGTTTTACTTTACAGTCCGTCGCATGGTGTACTTTTCTTTTGCTATCCCGGTGTAGTATATCAGAACAAATAACAAAATATTTTCCACTTCCACTTTATCCCGTCTCATTAATATGTTTATCTGTCTATTTAGGAACTCGGATGTTTGTTTCTAGCATTAATTGAATTAGATGACTCTGTTAGTTTCTGAACACGATTTGGAATGTGTTCTGAGGCCTTTATTTTCACATAAGCTTGATCAGAAGTTATTGGAATTACTGATCTCAGTCAAAAGACAATCTGTCATCACACTAAACCTTCATCCTGGATTCCACTGCTAGCCACTGCCCATCATTACTAAACACTAAACCTTCCTTGATAAATTTGGCTTTGAACCGAAGGTTATTGCACTGTTAAATATTTGTCGTTGTTGTTGTTGTTACTTTATTCATCTTCATTCCTACTTTAACTTTCAATATATTAATAATAATAATAACAATGATAATAGCTCTATTCAAAACAATATTTGTGATACAGTACGGAATTCTCAGTATGTAATGACTTAACAAATTCTCCTCCAAAGCAATATTTTCATGCACATGATCATTGCATCTGAGTGATGTTCATCACAGATCATAATGTAAAGGAACCGGTTTGTGTTGGATTGACGTAAGGTGTTTCGTGGTGGTGGTTCATTCAGCCAACAAAGGAATGTACTATTCCAGATGGGTATCCGAAGAAAGAAACATGATGTATTTATTTGCTATCAAAAGTCCATTTCTGTTTAATATGACATTTTTCATTCGTTTTGTGATCACCTCAAGAAAGGATTAGTTCAGAACATTTCAAACATCCAAAATAGTGCGTGATACATTTTGAAGACATAGCTGGGAAATTTAAACAAAGTGGAAGGAGGGAATTTGATATAATATATCTGATGGACAACTTCATTTCATTTGACCCCTACCCCTTAACTCAGTAATTTTTCATATAGATGACAAGCACGTGTGTGATCAGACTGTTCGAAATGTTTTGCACGAATGTATTCCACGATTCAGATAAATTGCCTCTTTTTTCTTATTGCTTTATCAAAATTAATAAGTTGAACGAATTGTTTCAAATCCATAACATTCCTCAATTTCCCTCAAAGTATTTAGGTTCTTAACGCTACCATTGTTTTTATGTGAGAATTGAAAGGTAGCATCCAGTGTAAGAAATCCGCCTAGTGATATGTTCTAGTACTTGGTACATAGTAGAATTTAGTTTATGCACCGAGGAGAATGTCTGATTCTCTCAGGTTCAACAGATATAAGCTGGAATGAAGGGTGAAGTGGAAGTGGTCAAACCGTAGGTAATAAACTTTTCAAATACAAATCATTATTTTTGAGATGAATGGGGATTTTTTAATTTAGAAGTAGTATTCATCATGGACTGACATCAGTTGGGGAACGATTTAAAATCTGGGAGCACTGGACAGCTGTTTCGTCCTAGTATGGGATAGAAGTTGGAAAGTGTGAACCACTGGAAACCGACCCAGTGACTGGATGGTTAACGTGTTCGCCGTGAAACCTGAAAGTCCTGAGTTCGATCCCTAGCCGGGTAGTGGGTGGGTACTGCTGAGGAGTTCCACACTAGGGCGAAACAGCTGTCCAGTGGTCTCACATTTTCAGTGGTTCCCCAACTGATATCATTCCGCGATGAATACTACTACTACTACTACTACTTCTACAAATCATTATTGTCATTATTCATCACACCTAGTTTGTTATCTTGCTGAATGCTTACCCGTGTCGTACAATCATCATTTCGTAGGTCTGTATGATTTTCTCTGTGAAAAAGTTGACAGCTTGTATGTTTCTTTCTTGACATACTTTATGCACTTCAGCTAAGAAGAGACTATAATCTGCTTCAGGCAATGCAATACCAGGAAATAAATCTGAGATGATACCACGAAACAATGGAATATCATGTGCTAAAAACTGGTTGCACAGGACAACTTACCTTTAATAAGTATAGAAGAGAATAATTACTGCCTGTCTTTTTTATATTCATTGATTGGTCGACGGCAAGAATATACCAACAAAACGATCTATTAATTGAGAGCAACTACCGAACAAATTTTATATGTTGACTTCAATTGGACTGAACATTGAGAAATACTGTCAGCTCTGTCCCTAAGATATATGTTTTCATCAAGCTGCCATACACGGGTGATACGAATAGCTTGACAGCCAGACAGAGACTAAACGCCGGCATGAACAAAATATATTATGTATCTGAGGTTCGAATTTTTGATAATTCGAAGCCCAGATACCCCTGAAAGTCATTGGAACAGGTGTAAGATGAAGTCACATCCCATTGTACTTACCAATTTAAATGTGCGCGTGCTCATACATAACTTGGGAGGTCATTGACATCAAGGGTAACAGAACATATTCTAAATTGGTTGATAAACAAATATAGTCACCACACCCAATGGATGGTATAAACGGACGTCCGAGCTCTTCAATAGCTAAACGTAGTTAGACACATATTGAGATGTAGAAACGTCACTTAAACCCATCTGTAAGACGTTTTAGGGAAGTGTTTTAAAGTTTGTTGATGTAGCAGACATTAGGAGGTTTAAGCCACCTGTATGCGTTCAAAAATATTTTGTATTATTCCCCAACGTTCAGGTCTTGGTAGGTGGATCCTTTTCAAGCGTATGAATTTGATCTAAGGTTCCCACGTTAATATTCAACTTTGACTTTGATAAGATTATTCAATTAGATCGTGAATAAAGAACAAAGATTAATTTAGAAGTAGTATTCATCATGGACTGATATTAGTTGGGGAACGATTTAAAATCTGGGAGCACTGGACAGCTGTTTCGTTCCTAGTATGGGACGATTTTCAGTGGTTCCCCAACTAATGTCAGTCCGTGATGAATACTACTTCTAAATTAAAAATCCCCACTCATCTAAAAAAAAACAAAGATTAATATTATTCGGGTGAATGGTTCAAGAAATCGGTTAGAAAAGCTTATCCAAGTTGTGCAAATCACGTACTGCAGAAATAGGGTGAAATGTAAAATGGAGTTGTGAGTCATCAGGCAGGAGTAAAAATGAATTACTATTAAGGGAAGTTGAATGTGTTAAAGATAAATCATCTGGAACGGTGTAAAACGATGTTGTGTTCTACCTTCTCATCATATATTATTTGAAACTCTAATCGAGTCACTAATGTTCCCCATATGTATGAGCTGTCTAGCCCATCTTTTTTATTGACTACGGAAAGGTTTGAACAGATAAGCAAAGCTTTTGCAATGGCCCATTCATTGTGAGAAAGGAAATCCGTTTTCAGGACTTATGCCTATTCAAACGATATTTTATGATCTGGATGTAAGGCATGAGCCACGATGGCAGAGCCTTTTTCAGATTTATCTTGTACATAGGAAAGCTTTGGTCGCTGCTCTGACGGCGTTTGGTTAGACGTGTTACTGTTTGACTTGATATTTCTCCAGTTCATGTGGCATCACATTCATAACAGCCTACCTCATAAACACAGCTTTGTTGTTCCAAATGGGAAATCTCGTCTTTTAATACGAACGGGTGTGAGTGCACAGTGTTCTCCACTTTAAAGAAGTTGTATTTCTAAAGGCGACATCTTATTTCTTCTGATCTCACCTTCTGTAGCAAACTTGAATATTAACCTACAGGCCTAAAATCTGATTCATACTCTTGAAAAGTTTTTACCTAACAAGACTGAAATGTTTAGGAATCATGCAAAACATTTATTTTGTCATTTGTTCTAATATACTACACCACCATTGCACAAGTAAAATGAAGATTATTCAATGAATCATTATAATTCGCTGCCCAGTTTTTTCCAAACAGTTTAATCCATCGTTGGTCAGGATGTGTTCTAATTTATTTTTATGTTTATCAATGATCAGCTTTACTGACGGATCTATTATACGTCATGTGGGAGCCATAGACAATCTCGCGGTCACAGTCTGAGACTTCTCAGCAGGGCACAATTTTGACTGGTTGTCGGATAGAACTCAGTACCACTAGGATTCGCTATGCACAAGTTACCACTCAACGCTGGATTGGAATCTATCGGTTCATGTTTTGTAATTCCTGTCGACTGGAGATGTAGCACGACCATCAACAACTATATTGACAGATGACTATTTTCAGACCCAACTCAATTGGTCCTACAGGCCACGGTTTCCCATCAAATCGACAAGAAAATCATTTTGAAGGCAGTCACTTGTGGGCAGTTGGTTGTTATTTAGCCTTGAGGTTTGAGGGGAATCACTAGTTCTCAAAGTACTCATTTTTCGTCAACACAAAAATGGTATTATTTTCTTCACTACTCCATAGCGAGTGATTATGTAGCTAAATGAAGCAGCGTTACAAGAGATTTAATATAGTTAAGTTAGCCAACCGGTCAAATTCAGGGTCTTTTCTGATAAACTTTACCGATCTGCAAACTATCTGTCGTGTTGTACAGCAAATGCTCAAAATAAAAGCTTATGGTCAGTAACGTCTTGCATATTCTTTTTCCTTTCCTTATGTAATGTCTAGCTTTCATGTTTCTTTAAGTAAATCTTGAAGGATAACCATTCTTGATGTATACTATTCGGAGTGCTTCCAGCTCCTCATTTAGCATATAATCTGTATAAATTCTTTTAATTCGTTTGCAAAGTGAATGAATGAGAGGTCCGATAGAACCAATCAAGCAAAATAATCTAACCTATCAAATTCCATATAATGACTGTGCAGTCAAGTACATAGATCAAACTAGCCGATTGGGGTCAGTTAGAATAGCCGAACATAGGAATTTAGCTAAATACAAAATGAAAGATCTCATTAAGATCAATAACCTAGATAAAATCTTGGCTAACATACAACCACAAAATAGGGTGGATAAAATCACTGTACTTAAGTCCAATATAATTAGATGCAGAAAGAGATTGATTACTGAATCTTTGTTCATCGAATCTACACACAATACATGTAATTGGAATAATGCAACACTTAGACCTGAGATGTGGGAAATTTTACTACCAATAAAAGCAAATCATATGAGGTGACATGAATATAAAAATCAGATGCCGTAAGTAGTGTGATTGATATGATTATGAGCAGTGATAATTTATGCTCGAAACGTCATCAAGTATATAATACAATATCACTGTTATAAATCAAATAAACAAATCTAGTATGGAATTAAATTCTGCCATAGGGTCCAAGTATTACACCTATATTAAAGAGATTTATTTACTTGACCGGTTGAACCCAGCTTTGAAAATGAGCATATAGTCCAGTACAGGTTTATTTCATGCAAATCAATCTCCTTAAGGAACCACTGTGTCTTCGTTTCAAGAGGACGTTCAGGAAGTGGTATTCTGAGTTATTTTCGGTTTTCATGGTAAATTTAATTAACTTGCGACATTTATTGAAGATTTGTAGTATGTCATCAAGGTTACTGTTGTCCATTGTTTGCTGATGATTATCTATTTTGTTGTAGTTATGATTACGATTGTATAGCTTTTGAAAATAAATCCTCGAACGAAACTTTTCTTCGCTGAATTGTCTTATGAAATACTTTTCTGTTTATTGCTGATGTTATCCAATATAGATAAATAATCTCAAAATTCTAAAATGCTGTTCTAAGTGAGTCTGTAATTCATGCATATACTTTCATAAGGTAAACTGCTGACTGTACAGAGGATTGGTACTCCTTTCATGCTAAGTTGCATAATCAAATCAGAGGCACACAATCAAGCAGCATATCAATACAAATATCGACTAACAATTCAGAAATCACGTGCCAACTCTCATTGTATTATTGGTCCTTCGTCATGGTTTCAAAATATTTTTCATAATTCCAGTCTGAGATAACCATGATTTCGACTTCAGATACAGAGACTCAAAGAAATCCGTAGACATTGTATACTGGTGAGTGGGACGAGAAGGTTGAACCACTGCTGTGATGACCGTTAGAAACCTTTTTTGGCTTGTTCAAAAAATTACCGTACTCCAGAAAAGAATGACTTACACACTGATATGCAACAATAACACCGTAAACCCCTATTTAACAAGTCTCGAACTATTGTACTATGATTTCTTACAAATGGCTCCGAAAGCCACTGTAACAACTTCTGAGACGGTATAAAAAAATTCCCTTTCTAGCTGAACTGAAAAAAATTACTCCTTATTCTAGAGGTTGCTGCGGTAACCTTTGAAGTCACTCATCTACCACACATATCAGTTACTTACTGAGGAGTACACGAGGCAGGATATTAACAACCGTTTTCTATATTATTAATTTTCTGCTGTACACCATCTTCACAAATATGTGGGGATAAGCCATTGCGATTCACCTGTAATATACGACTGACTGATAATTTTTAGAAGAAACGTCAAACTCTTTTATTTTCTTCAGTAGTATAATTTGGTTTACCAAAATTGTTTTCTTGACGATGATACTTTCAAGTGCAATGAACTCACAAGCAAATCTTATTACTAGTTTTTATTAAAAGTTCAAAGTTAATTTACTGTACTTTTAATTGATTCCTAGATAATGCAACGCATACGTAAAGATTTTATGACAAATCCTGAATTCGATCCAATCAAAGTAGCTCGTGCAAGTTCAGCAGCTGAAGGATTATGTAAGTGGATATTAGCCATGGAACAATATGATCGTGTTGCTAAGATTGTAGCGCCGAAACGAGCAAAACTAGCTGAAGCGGAAGCTGAACTTGCTGAAAATATGGCATGTTTAAAAAAAACACAAGCTGCATTGGCTGAAGTTGAAGAGAAATTAGAAAATTTACAAAATCAACTTGAAAATACACAAAATGAGAAAAAGCGTTTAGAAGATGAAGTGTTAAACTGTGCAACTAAATTGGAGAGAGCAACAAAGTTGATTGGAGGTTTAGGCGGTGAAAAAGATCGTTGGGCTCAAGCAGCAGATTATCTTGAAAAGTTGTATCATAATCTCACTGGTGATGTGCTTATATCAGCTGGTATAATTGCCTATCTAGGACCATTTACATCAGTTTATAGAGAAGAATGTGTATGTGATTGGATTGTTCAGTGCAAAGCACAGAATATTGCTTGTTCTGAACCGTTTGCACTAACTCAGTGTCTTGGTGACCCTGTGAAGATTCAACAGTGGAATATTAATGGTTTACCTCGCGATGCTTTCTCCATAGACAACAGTGTTATTGTTGCAAATGCTAGACGATGGTACGTTGATTAGTTTTGATTTTTACTGAGTATTATGATACCATAACAACCATTCAGACTGATATGCAGATTTCAACTATCACACCAAATTGATGCAAAAGATGGACAATAGTTTCTCTACACTTGAGTTGACATCATCATCAGTGGGGAGAGATTAATCCTACTCACACAGCTAAAATGTGCCAACCAGGAGGATGTGACTATATGATTTACACGAAGCATTATGCCACAAAATAGATAAAAGATTTGTGAATAACTTCCAAAACGTTTGCTTATTCTTGTACCTTTCTTCAGATGAAACGTCAGATTTAATGCATGTTACACTTTAGTTGAAACTATCTGTTTCGGCAGACTCGTCCCGAAAGTAAAACTGTAGTGACTGAGGTCGTAATGTAAGTATATTTATATATAAATTTCAGACATAAATTGTTGAGGTAACTGGACTAGTGATTAGTCGCTTTATGACAATTATGGTATATGTTGATTGTGAGTGGAATCCAGGATGCACACTCCGTCAACTGGGCATAATTGGTGTTCTCTTTCAGCGTCATCCTCTAGTTCTATGAACTACCACAGCCACTCCTTGTAGGACCAGTAGATTATAATGAAATACAAGCTAAGAAATCAATCAAACATAGTTTTGTTCATTTTAATCCTTTTCACTTCTTTTTTTCTGGTGGAATAGATGATTGCAGATATTTGGATCAAAAATTGACTTACTGGATGAAAAAGAATTCGGTGATCGATTTCTCATTATAGACACGTTAGTTTTGTGAACTATTATGCTATAGGGTTGAGTATTTGGACCGTGACCGGATTTCAGCCAGCGACCACTGAGTTTTTGGTCAGATACTTTGCCAACTGAACCTCGTAGCTCAGTTGGTAGGTCATCAGGCCGAATACCTGGTCACCGCTGGTTCAAATCCAGTCGCGGTCTAAATTTTCATTTCACCTTCAATCACCACCCAGTATCAATATTAGTCTGCTAAATCACACCTATCTCAGATATTGAAAATGATACCAAATATTTATTTATTAAACTGGCACCAAATAAATACATTTGGTTGGATTCCGCACTTGACGCATACATAGAGAGAATTTAACTGTAACTGGACCAAAGGCATAAAAGAAAACTGTAAAAATAAAAAAACGAGATGGTATACTTTTCTGTTTGTTTTAGCAATTTGGATGAGAACATTATTTGTTTTTTCAATGATTAAAGGTGCTTCATTGTATCTAATATTCATCAAGTGTATTTACTTGAATCTTGAGTAAAAGTGACTGTACCAAAACTAGAACTTAATACGTATTGCTTGGAAGATCATAACGTTATTCATTGCCTAATGTTCAGAGTTGTATATCGTCCAACAGTTATTACTGGCTGTTAAGTCGATTATGTAATTCCCTTTTAAGATGAAGCCAAGTGAGTGGCCATAACTGACAAATAGGCACAGGCAAATCGCTGTAGTAACGAATGAGTCTGTTCCCGGAGGAAAGTCAATCACTTAGGCCCAGCAAAGTGTCAAAAGCAAAACTATAAAATTCCGATAAGCGCGTTAGATTCTTTTTTTTTTTTAATTATCTAATATATGACACTGTTTCATCGTGTAACAACATGTTTAATCAACAAGCTATCATGGGATCTACCGTACCACAGTTTTCAAATCCTATACTCAGTTTGACGAGTTAATCTCATCTGGTAGTATTCATCTACTTCTCATTGGCTTTCAACGAAACCATCAATCTTACCTAACAATTTTCATCAACTTTGGTAATCTTCAGACTCTTAGGTCTGGATGGCGACGGAAGTAGTTTGCTTTTTTTTCCGGGTTTTCGGTACTTGTCTCTGAGAATAATTCTAGCATCATCAACCAAAAAAAGTGGTTATGGAAACATTTTTCTTAGAAAAATAATTAGTTTATTAAACCACACCTTAGCAAGAAAATGTGGTGTAGCCTGTTTGTTATAAGTGGTCAAAAGCTGTTGATGCCAAGAAACAATGAGTGTGAGGCTGATTGCAGTCACTTTTATGCTATAAGTTCTTCTTTCCCTGTTTTCTGCCAAAATTCTGCGTGAAATTAAATTATTCACACCACTGAAAATCTAAGCAAGTACATTAGTGGAATGGTAAAATAGAAATAATGCATATGTGCAGTAACCACGATTCGAGATAAGAATAACATAATGAAGTGAAAACCGTTTATTAATCCTTGCAATTCCCCATTACTCGACATCTGTTGGTAGATGGACTCCTATATGGATGCCTTGATACTGCCTGGATATTTATTATATTGTAGTCTATTTGGTGGCTAGCAGTGAGATTTAGAACTTGCGTTTCGTCCTGTTCAGAGCTTATCAGCTGGATTAGCCTGCACTCCAGTGAGGCGTGTTGTTTCCATAAACACTCAAAACTGGTACCCATTGTTCCATGTCCCGAAGGCCACTGGAGCACGAGAGTCACCGTTCGTGCAACCGATATCAGCTGTTATTTATTGATTCTTGTAATTTACTATTATTATCCTGAATCGAATTGATCGACTTCATTTGGCTTGCAGGCTCCCATGCAGATGCCTCTATATTGCATCAAATAACCAGGCTACTTTCTGAAAGGGAAGAGATCAACACAAATGAAACCAATAAAAAATGATGAGGGAAATTTAATTACCAAAGAAGAGAAACAAAGGAAACGATAGGCCGACCACTTCAGGAAGCTCTTGAATCGACCACCACTACCACCACCACCACCACCTGCACTTCATCCAGAAATACCACCTGCAACCCAGACACAGAACTACAAGTGAACATAAATCCCCCAACAAAAGTCGAAGTCCTGAGAGCCATAAAGCTGCTGAAATCCGTGAAAGCAGCAGAATCAGATAGAATCCCACCAGAAGCACTAAGAACAGACGCAGAGACAACAGCGGACATGCTCACACCACACCATTATTGTAGAAGGTGTGGAAGGAAGGAAAGGTATCTGCCTGTTGATTGGAAGAAGGGTTACCTTGTCAAACTGCTGAAGGTTGAGTGACCTAAGTCTTTGCAAGCACTATTGCGGAATCACGCTCCTGTCCACCCAAAGCAAGCAAAATATTATTCCGCATCATCTTGGAGAGACGAAAGGATGCGTTGAATTCAAAACTACGACCGGAACAGGCAGGCTGGCTGGCTTCAGGAATAACAAAGCATGTGGTGATCAAATTGTAACGCTTCACATCATCATATAACAGAGTATAGAATGGAAGTCAACTCTCTACCTCAACTTCATCGACTTTGAAAAGGCATTCAACAGCGTCGACCGAGAAGTAATTTTGCGGCGGTTGCTTCAACACTACGGAATACCGCAAACCTTTATAAATCCCCTTCAACAACTATATGAAGATGCCACATGCCAAGTAATTCACAATGGGAATCTCAATCATACTTTTAAATTGAAGACGGGAAGGAGTGAAACAAGGCTGTTTACTATCAACGATGATCTTCCTGATTGTGGTGGACTGGATCATGCAACAAACAGTGAGGAGCGATGAGGGGGGATACGCTGAACCGCGGAGAAGAACCTAGAAGATTTGGATTTCTCAGATGACTTGTGTCTGATGTCTTGTGGCACAAACTTGAAGATCTACGGGCGAAAACTAGCAAGTTGGCAGAAGAGGCAGGGCAGCGTAGACGGGACTTCAAGTAAACGTAGAAAAGACGGAGGTGATGAAGATACCCAACCAACACCACCACCAACAACGACAAACTCCAATCACCATCAACGGGAGATACTTATAGGAAGTAGCCTCTTTCACCCACCCTCCTAGGCAGCACTGTTTCAACTACAGGTGGCACGGACGAGGACGTCAAAGCCAGCTAGAATCGGAAAAACAGCAAGACAGGCGTTGATTAACCTGAGACCAGTGTGGAGATCTGCACTCAGCAGAAAGCGTGAACAAGATCCGGATTTTCAACAAAGATGTCAAGTCAGTGCTTCTATATGGTTGAGAAACTTGGCGCGTTACGAAAGGGACTTCGAACAAACTACAGGTATTCATCAGCAACCGCCTATGCTCGTTACTGAAGCTCATATGGCCAGAAAGAATAAGCAACCAGGAACTCTGGCTTGGCGAATAAACAACGAAGCGAGAACCTATCGCTGAGCAAATATGCAGAAGGAAGTGGAGATAGATTGGACATACACTGAGAAGGCCGACTGGGGACATCAAGCGCCAGGCCAGGTACTCGAGTGGAACCCAGATTGATGCCATGAGTTTGGCGTCCGAGTCAAGGGTGACATTGAGGAGATCGTGCCAGGAAGAAATGACGGCTTCTTGGTAGTCGTGGAGTGAGGTTCAAATGGTTTCAGAGAAGAGAGTGGAATGGAGACGTGCTACTGAATCCCTTTGTCCCACTAGAAACGCAAGGGACAAATAATAAATATAAATAATAATTTATAATGGCTACTGGGTTCGAGTCTCAGTGGGAACGCCATTACTCACTGCAGTGGAGGTAAATTCAGCCGGAGTCCCAAACAGGGTAAAACAAGTATCCTGAATTCCACTGCTAATCACTTAATTGACTGCAATAGAATCGAAAACTAATTATGAAATAACGCTATGCTTCTCTATGAAATGAGAATGTTTTAAATAATATTGCATATTCTGCTTGATGCAACTGATAATAAAATAGAGTGGAAGTTTAAAACTGTAGTAGAGCATAATTTCATTACAGTTTTAGATTATATGACTCACACAGTGAAACAGAATCACGCAGTGATAGCATAACAAGCAGAATTTATTGCTTGTAGTCTTTAAGTATGGCTCTCAGTTTCAGTGTCAGTTTGGGAGAAATTATGAAAGTTTGACCCACTTGTTCAAGGAAAACGTAATCACATGGAATGTCGTTACGATTGGTCACTTAAAACCAGTACCATCAAGAAGGAAGGCAGCCAATCAAAAACAGACAGAAAGACAAAACTAACTTAGCACCTCACACATAAGTGCATCAATTCAGATTAATACACTTCACATAAGCATGCACAGAAAAATGAAGAGAAAGAGATTGATATCAAAGTAGACAACGGTGGATGGGAGGAGAAGGACTTTCAACGGAAAGGTTGATGAAGTTATGCAAACTTTAGATGACATCAAAGAGTGAACACATGAAACACTGGTTCATACGGTCTTGTGGACCTCAGACAGTTTAATCCTCCCTATACAACTCAGACAAACGGTCAGAGACTTCATTGACTGGTGCCACATCTTCATCTGACCATTCTGAGCCTTTTTCCAACCTAATTCAACTTCTCCTAACATTGCATGTCGAGGTAGGTCGTGGCTCAGCATACGCAATATATGTCAACTATCGTCAGAAGCTGTACAATAAAATGTATGGGCAATAAACAATGTTTAGAGGACAGCCGTTGTCAAATATGTATAACTCCCCTCTTTTTACTTTTAGTAACAATACCTAACAGCTTTATACTAGGTTTAGGACATCAAATTTAGTGTTCGTAAACTCATAGTAATCAGAGTTTGCAGATCATAGTTGATGTGGCCCATAATCAGCCTGTGTCTGTGATACATTCAGTCTTTCTTCCTTCTAAAGGCTGTAAACAGAATAAAGTCACCTTTTTTGTATATTGGAATCCTACTTTATGTTGAATAAGTTTGATGTTAGCGACTATAAATATTCAAAAAATGAGGTTGTTTTATGAGTTTGTGACGAAATTATTCTATGCTATGATGACGTGTCAATGCTGAATTTAGATGATTTCAGTATTTTATGAAGTGTAATTAGCCTTTATTGTGTTTGTTTTCCTAAATGAAGGCCATTGATGATTGATCCGCAAGGACAGGCAAACAAATGGATAAAGAATATGGAAAAAGAAGCCGGGATTATCGTTGTCAAATTAACAGACAACGATTTTATTCGGAATCTAGAAAATAGTATTCAGTTTGGTACTCCATTATTATTGGAAAATGTTGGTGAAGATTTGGACCCAAGTTTGGAACCGTTATTGCTTAAACAAACATTTAAACAAGGTGCGTGATTAACATTTAATGCTGAAGTTCAAATAGTTTGCTGGTACTAGAAAAAGACGCAATTTGAAGATAATTCTTGCGACTAATTCAGATGATTTTAGGGACCACAGAAGAGAATTGAATTCTAGATCGATATTTCTTCGTATACTTCAGTTACTTACTAATACATACCTAGGGTCAGTTTTGGGTTAGGACTCGGGGCTATATATGTTGGTTTGATACGAAGTGGGTAATATTCTCTAAGACTCGAATTCTTTTAATGTAATAAACTTTTTATTTAAGTGAACTTATAGAGCAGATTAACTTATAATACTTGAACCTAAAGCTAAATTCAAACGTAGATTAGGTAGGGCGAATCTAAATAGTGAATTAAGTATCTTACACCTGCCAAACAACACTTAACACTTGTTTCTGATCAGTTTAGGTATCTTTAACAATGCTTACCCATTTTCATGTATGAGATTTAGTCAAGGATACTTTGATTTTGCAGTCAGCAAGTTACCATTCAATAGCTGAGTTAAAATCCAGTGGATAACATTGGCATGCTTAGTTCTCATTATGCGTGACTTTAGCAAGGTGTCATATGCTGGCATCCATCCTTAATCCTGCAATAGTTGACCCGTTAGGTGAGAGCTTGTCATTACCTGCCTAACAAAAATCGGTGAGTCATTTTACAGATCATGAGCCGATGGTGCATAATGGCGTAGACTTCCTAACCAGAGTGAAACAGATAGTTAATGCTCATAGGGTCCTGGAAGTGACACTTTACCAAAGTCATTACCTAATGAGGGAGTCATCTTCGAATTATTTTTCTCTTTTCAAACTAGTTATTTGAAAATGACAGTGATTTAAGTATGTGTTAAATCCATCTGTGAGTATTTGTCTGCAGTTCCACAATAATTTCCTGTTTCTGTATTCTATTTTAAAGGCGGTGTAGATATGATTCGTTTGGGCGAAAATGTTATTGAATATTCAAAAGATTTTCGTTTGTACATCACAACTAAACTAAGAAACCCCCATTATCTACCTGAAATCGCAGTGAAAGTTTCTTTGCTGAACTTTATGATCACATTGGAGGGTTTAGAAGACCAGTTGTTAGGTATTGTTGTCGCGAAAGAAAAGTAAGTTGTTTGTAACTATGTCATATCTTTGACTTAATGGTTGGCTGTTGTTACTCGTCTTAACCTCGGTTCAGGTTTCCTATTACGTTCTGTGATTAGCGGATTACAAGTAATGTCAAACACTTTTCCTCACCGTTTTTATTCCCCGAGTTTATTGTACTAGTTGAATCTACAGCCATTAACATCATACCAGCTGAATCAAAGAGAAGATGAATGTGAGCAGATAGCTCACACAATGCACAACTATGTTGTATTCAGCAAAATATTTGGAAAGTGTACAAGATGTTGAAAGTGTAGGCATCTCATTCAGAATACCAACCTACGAGGACAAAAGGTAGACGCGTTAATTACATTCGTGACCGATTGGTTGTTTCTCTTACTCTTACTGAGTATGAATACGGCAGAATGGAGTGTTCTTTAATTCATTTGCTTGATCAGAAACTGACATAAGTAGTATTACGTCTAGTATTTGTCTCGGGACTTGATTTCTGGTGCACATAAATTACATCAATCTTGATATCACTTCTGTTAAGCTTCGATTGTGGAGGTAAGTGTTACCGTAACCATTTGTGAAGCATGGAAATCCAGGGCATGAAACTTTTCGAGAACGTCATTTGTAGTTCTTTACCTGGGTATGCACAGGAAAAAAGTGTTTCTGAGTGACGTTGACTGTTTGGCGGCTATTCGAGACTTCTCATCTGGATGTACCTGCATCCCAGTAAAACATGTTATTCCTAACGAAACTCGAACCCTGTACCTATCGCTTTACATGCCAAAGCGTAATCTGCTAGGTCAGGAATGAACGACACTACAAATAGTCTAATACCAGTCCCCCAGGGTTAAGTAAAACACGAAAGCACGTAGTCAATTTCAATAGGCTAAGTTAAATAGTTAGCTTTATTTATCAGCTTATAGCCTTTTGGGATTAATATTGGGTTACCAGTCAGCATTAACGTTGAACCTAGGATGACTACCTAACGGTTCAAGTTATCACACCTCATGCCAACACATCAGGGCAAAATGAAGCATGACAAAAGGCAAATAAATGTTTAAAAATGGGTCAAATGTAGTAGCAGGTAAAACCAACAACAAAGTGATATATGATGATTGGAAGTTGTGTGTGACTAAAATAGAATTGGCACTAGTTGTTTAGTTAATGTGGAAGATTACTATCAGTTAACAACCTAATCGTCATTTTAACCGGATTAAGTTGACGGTCTTTAAAAGAGATTGAAGTTAAGTTATTAGAGAGATGAAGGTGAACAGTTACACTGTTTAGAAAGTCTACTTAACACTCACTGATGTGTTCGAAGATGCTAGCTAAGTTACATTCATAAATCTCCAAAGATGTTCACAAAACGAATAATATATTATACGAACAATAGTGTTTGCGCGTTTTTGTGAAGTGAAATCACTTGTTCTTTAATAGAAAGTGTTTGTCAAATATAACTCATTTCAAAGTTTCATGCAGGAATTCACCCTAATGATTTGAAAAGAGCCAGAACATCAATGAGAGCAGTATAAAAGGGATCCATTTTATTTCTCTAGACTGTTTCTGTCCATCTTAACAACTGACTGATATTCTGTTCTCTTCCAGCGAATTAAAATATGTTAAATTTTCAGTAAAGCTATATATTTTTATATTATAGATTGTAAGCAGTTGATATGACACCGCTGAGGTAAGTTCTCTCTATCCTTCTCCGATAGTTGTTCTTTCTCACTGAGAAATATTTGGTTGACTAAGGCTTTTCTAAAGTTCTATCAGCATTTGAGTTAACACAGTTTCATCGAGAATTCAAAAAATTATGTAAACTTTGCGTCTAACTGCATTAATCTACATTAGCTGAGAAGTGACAAAACTGTAGTTTTATTCAGCGTTTGTGAGACGTGTTATGGGGCCTAAATTTTACTCCTCAGATTTTGATGAAAACTGTAGAGTGCTTGGAATCTTCCACTGGAAATCAAGATGCCTTGATATTCTCAGATCATCCATCTATCCATCCATCCAAATCAACATAGCACAAAGCATTACTGCCTAACGGTCCAAGTTGCCACAGCTAATATCAGTACATCAAGTAAACAAAGCAGCAGAGTGGAGTGTGAAGAAAAGAAAATTCAGTCAAAAGAAATATAAGGTACAAGAAAAAAAAAAGAGGAATGACAAAATGGTGAGATTTGGTATAGCGTTGTTAAGATGAGGATAATGTGTGTATACATCTGAGCCACTGACATCGGTTCTGAACCATGTGATTACCTAGAGTCAGTCTTCAACCACTGGTTCCACTTGTCTCCCGGACGCCAACCACCTAGTTTGCATCGTCCTACATGGCTCAAAACAACAGTCAGAGACTTCATACATTGGTGCCATGTTTTGTTCTGGCCACCTCGGGCCCTTTTTCAGCCTGAACCTACTTCGGCAAACATTGTGTGATGAGGCAATTGGCGACGAGGCATACGTAACACGTGTCCCAACCATCTCAGTCGATGAAGGTTCACAACCTCGTCAACTGACTTACCTCTTCTCCCTAAAACTCTACTTTTGACTTCTGCGTTACTCACGTGGTGACACCACGGAATACGGTGGCGTATACTACGAAGGCAACGGTGGTCAAACACCTGAAGCCTTTTTGTATCCTCCACTTTCAGTGGCCATGTTTCACAGCCATACAGTAGAACAGAGGGGACTGCTGTGTAGTACACGTGACCCTTAATAGACAATCGGATATCATGGAGGTGCCACAGGTGGCGTAAATTGGCAAAAGCCAATCGAGCCTTTTGTATTCGTGCAGAGATTTCACTGGTCACTAAGCCGCCAGTGGTGATCCCGCTTTCCAGATGAGTGAAGTGGTCAACACAGTCAACCACTATACTCCGTATTGTTAGCCGCAGTGGGGCACCGCTGAATACCAATCCTGAGGCAACAATCTGCATTTGAGCTGGTGAGAAATGCACCTCAAACATTTTCAAATTCCCACTCAAAGTGTTCAGAAGATTCTGCATCCTGTCAGCATCTTCACCTAACAGGACCATATCATCTGCGTATTCTAGGTCTAACGAAAATTCTCCTGCGATTAGGTCAACCTTTAATGTAGTCAGAGGACTAAAGGAAGACCTCCATAAGAATGTCTATAATAAAATTGAATAAGGATAGAGACAGTGGGCACCCCTTGACGGACACCACTAGATGAGCACAGCTCCTTGGACATCTCACCATGGCTCTAACACGCCCACAAGTCTTCGAGTAGAGATCCTTCAATAAGGTGATGTACTTACTCGGCAGGCTTTTCAGTGAGAGACATTGCCGTAAGACGTCTCGATCGACGGAGTCGAGAAATACAGTTATTGTCGGACGTCGGTAAGCGTATCTGTGTTCCAAAACCTGGCGCAGTGTGAATATTTGGTCGATACATCCACGGCCAGGTCTAAAGCCTGCTTGGTTTTCTCGGGCTTGCTGTTCCCGAGCTCTAATCAGGCATCGAAAAATTATAGAACCTAGAATCTTGAACACTATGTTCATCAGACTGATTCCTCTGTGGTTATCACAAGAGGACCTCTCGCCTTTCCTGAAGACTGGGATAATCAGTGGTTTAGATCAGTCAAAGGGGATCGTATTTGATTCTCATATACTGGTTAACACTTCCGTTAACTTGACTAAGAACACCTTACCGCCATCGTTGTATACCTCTGGAGTCAGTCTCTCTGGTCCCGCTGGCTTTCTTTGTTTCAAGTTACCTACAGCTTTCTCGACCTCTGCAAGTGTTGGGGGGCATATCTCAATGTTCCATTCAGGATCTGACTGAATAGCGGGCAACGCAATGGTGGCTGGAGGCCAGTTAAACTATTGCTCGAAGTGTTCTACTCATCGTTTCAGTCATCTCCCCTGCGAGTGAATAGCAGGCCCGTCCTTCTCCGCTATAGTCTCACTAGCCATTGTTGACCCTCCCCCCCCAGTTTCCTTAGTAAGTCTAAATAACTGCCTACTGTTACCAATCGCCGCCGCCTTTTCCATATCTTTAGCCATCGCTGCCCACTACTATTCACGGTCGTAGCGTAGACATTTTCTCAATCTACACTAGAGTTGCGCTTGCTCTTCATTGTACTCAGAGCCTGCAGGGGTGCGTTCACGTGCATCCATTAGTTCGGAAGAGGCTGTTGATATCCACTAGCTCCTTTTAGCCACTATTTTGGAGTCGGCTACGATCTTCAGCGCTGCTTTTGCAGTAGACTGGAGATGGAACCAAGCTTCTTCTGGATGAATGATGGTCTTCGGTTCCAATAACTGCCTAGCCAACTTCCGACTGAATGCGGTTTTGGTGTTTTCATTGTCGAGCTGCACTCATAATCGTTTTTCGCCAAATTTTTCTACGTTCATTGAGATACAGGCATATACGCTCTCGGACCAACGCGTGGTCGCTATCCAAACACGTACTCCAGAAGGAGCGGCAGTCTTCCACCGATCCTCTTCAGCAATGACTGAGTTGAGCCCGGTTAATGCCACATCAGACAGTGTCTTTTTTTGTGTCTGGAGCGTTTGCTAACTAAATATAAGCGGTTATCTGAGCACAGTCGTAGTAGGCGATTGCCGTTATCTTTTGGTTCAGCCGGGACTCTGAAAGTGTCGCCTAAGTGCCTTTCCGTCTCATTCAGTTTACCTATCTGTGCATTGCAATAACCTGCCACAACAACCACATATGAGCGTTTGGCTTTTGAGAGGAGGCTAGACAGTTTACGGTAGAAGTCGTCCTTCACTTCATCTGAACTACAGTCAATGGGTGCATAAGCAAAAATTGCAAAGAGACAGAGGCGAATTTCACTATTCTTTTTAGTTTTAACTGTGCCGTTCAGCCAGACAGCGCAGAAGTGACTATCAACAAGCGTCCCACCAGCATAGCTCGTTAGGTCATTGTGATATGCTAACCCGACCACCACGTCAAAGTAGCAGCTATCGGTCGGGACAATTTCAGATCAACAAAGGTGCGTGTATGTGTAGAATTCTAGTCTAGTTAGATATTCCATCAAGTCTAATCCCTTCTGAATTCCTTTGCAATAAACTACCAACAGCATAGTTTCAAAATTATTGAAATCTATCCAGAACATATTATAGTTCAAACGTCATTAGACGCAAACACATACACACAATTTAGGTTGAAAAGGTGACGTAGACTAGGATAAACGCTCTCAGTACTCTTATAACCATACAGTAGTTTTAGATTTAAGCAGCAAGGCATAAAGGGGACTAAAGAGTTATCACATTTACAAATAATAGACGGTAGTTTTTGTCTATTTGTCACCTAGGAATTTATAATGCAGCATGAATAAAAAATTGAAAGTGTTTTTATGTTTGGTGCTGTAAAATGAAAATATGTGTCTCAATGATGGAGAGTTGTAGCATTATAAAAGTTATTTGTTCATTTTAGACCAGAACTGGAGGAAGCTCGTCAAGAACTAATCATAACTACAGCCAATAACAGACGTATGCTGAAGGAGACAGAAGATCGAATATTGGCCACATTATCAGAATCTGAAGGAAACATCTTAGAAAATGAAGCTGCCATTGAAATACTTGACTCATCGAAAGTGATTTCGGATGATATTTTAAGAAAACAGAAGGTTAGTAGCAAAAAAGTGTTCCTTCACTAACATCGCATTATCGTAGTAGATTCTGAGGCTGAATATGTATCCCAGTTATGTGTATTCAAACGAGATTGTGTGCCATTTTTGGTGATCAATAGTTCAAATTATTTGACGCCAAATTTCACTACATTTTGTGTTGGGCACGCGTTAGATCTGATCATCTGATTATGGTAAAAGGAGATGTGACTAGAAATGATGGTTTTCCAGTGCATCCGCCATGCGCAAGATGCGAAGCCCTACCCGTTTGGATTCGTTTCCTTTGACTTTGTAGATCAAGTCAAAATTAGCTTATGGTGGATGGAGTTGACTAATTTATGGAGAATTGGATAATTCATTGAACTACATTCTCCGCGCGACAGCTTTGCAGCGTGGTGCTTGGATATGCGTTTGGAAAGTGGACTCTTTCTGTGATCTACATAACCGGTTTCGTAGGAAGAATCAATGTAGATCACTTAACATTCGGAGAATTACTTCATCAGGTTATATTGTTTGGCTAACCTGAGTTTTGATCTGTAAATATTTCGGTAACAAAAAGATGAACCAAAACTTTATTTTGCATCTATAAAATGGGTTAATGCTGCGTCTGAAAAATGTAGCAATCAACTCTTACTCTATCTATGTTAATATTCACCAAAAGATCCATGTCAAAGTTATGCCTAATTATACTACTGTGGAAAGACTATTGAAACCTACTGACGGTTTCTTTGATACTTATTTCTTCGTCATTTGATAAGAGCTCTTTCCGTTACCGCGAAACACGTACTAGACAAAGACAGGTAAATAAGTACAGTTTTAGAAAAATAGAGCAGATTTCCTATCCTTAATAAATTTTTGAAAATGATTCTCGTTCCCAAAGTTCTTATTTATTCGTCAGCACGATGAGTATGCGCTTAATCTATGATTAGTTTTTGAAATCAAATAATATCCTTTAAGTAGGAGTTTGGCGAACACTGTTATTTCTGAAACTAATTACTCAGTCCTTTTTTAAAATCTTCTGACACTAAATATCTGTTAAAAAATTTCATGTTATTTAACATCTATACAGACTTCTGAAAAATATTTTCAGGTTCATTTTTAAGAGTGCGGTTTAGTCGCCTTTAAAAACAATATTTTCATGAGACCCATTTTATGGGAAATAGGATTAAATAACATTCAAATTTTGTGGTAAGTGTGTATGAAGAAGATTAAGAGCACATCAGATGAATTGAATTCACTTTATACAGCAATGTCTGACGTTGTTGTTTTGCAAGAATTCACTTTGATAACTTATTTAAAAACATTTATTTGGCATAACACTCCTAGACTAAACAAGCTGTAAAACCGGAGTAAAGAATTGCATGCACATATATTCATTTCAGATACCATAACTAGAGGAAGGTCACAAAACTTAAGAAACAGGTTCATGGGTAAATTGTATTTACATGCATCCCTAATTCACTGTGCTTTAAACTCTTATAACTTTGTAATAAATTCTTTCTTTTCCGTGAATTAAAACAGGTTGCTGAGGAAACACAAAAGAAAATTGACAGTGCAAGAATGGATTATTCACCGATAGCTAAACATTCAGCTGTATTGTTCTTCTCTTTGACAGATTTGCCAAATATTGATCCAATGTATCAATACTCTCTGGCATGGTTTGTAAATCTCTATGTAAATTCTATTCACGACAGGTAAGTATTAGAATACTCTGTAAGAATTAAGAAGCCCCTGGAAATCTCTTTGATTCTGAATAAATAAGACTCAGTATTGCTTAACTTCAGCGCTATTCACGATTAGGTCTATTACTCTCAGGTCTTCAGATGGGCTTTACTAAGTGCTTCGATGGTAGTAAACAAGATAAGGGGTTTTTAAGTCTTGAGTTTAATCCCAAGAAAGGCTGAGAGTATTTAAGGACAAGTAGTCTTTAGCATGGGAAAACTGAGCCCCGAGTGTCATGTCAACTATAAAGCAAATGCAGGTTTCATTGCTTTTAATGTCAAATGTATTAAGCTTACTAGAATGACTATTTTGGTTTTCCGGGCCTTCCCCAGTTTTCCAGCTTGACCAAACATTGCCGATCATAAGACCAGCTTCCAATTAAGCGCATACGCATGATTACGGTTTGTACAACAGGCAGTGCATTCCTACTACTCTTACCACCGTAGCAGGGACGGCAGTAAATGCCCGGGATGGGTTGTCCTGCTAATACCAGCTGTACCTCATGCTCATTACTCTGCTCATACGAAACCTCTTCCCACCTCAGTCAGACAGCAGTGGTCAGTTGTTTTAACCCTTATTGCCTATTCGGTTAGCAGAAAACGCACCAGGTCCAAGAGTCAGTCGGTGACTGCTTCCAAGGACCATTCCCCAGCTAGGAGACATGATGCAAGCTTCATCGATTTTAGTGTTAGATAAACCCCCCTGGTACAGTCACTAGGGTGCTAAAATAGTCAATATGAGCTATTCGTATACAATTTTGTCCTCAGGATACCAAAAATGTCGCATTAGGACGTCCTTTTAGTATCAGCAATTTACTGACGAATCAAATGAAACAAAGACTTAAAGTATTTTGGGATTAATCATATCCTTTTTTCACAGATTTCGTTTGTGGAATAGTCACTACAGCTCCATTGCCATTTAACTTAGGGCAATCATTATACTTTTAAATATTTACTAATTTTCATGACATAATAAGGTCAAGAATTACGAAGCAGTGTTGACTGAAAAGCATGAGCTTACTTAATCTTGGAACATCATTTTGCCCAGCATAGATGGTAAAAAGATGCATTTGTCATATAGAAAATGTACACATTATCACCCCAGTAGCACAGATATATTGAGAAACACATTAAACGTATACTTCATGGTTTGTATCTTCTTATTATGCAACTGGATTTCTGCTTAAAATCGCGTGACAGGTTTCTAAATGTTTTGCAAACTTTGATGAACTTAGTTTAACAAAAAACCTCATCCTAAGTATGACTTTGCAAAGAAATTAATTTTGTATTAGCTTCATTAGTGTTTATGTTGATAATTGTGATTAAATTGAACAGTAGAAGTGTTTGGTTCATTGCATTATTACTGAATATGTTGATGTAAATTTGTTTTACATGAATTTAGATTATTGGATTGATTTTACATAACTTCATTTCCATCTTTGAAGTTGAGATATTCTTGTCAAAGTCTGTTTTATTCAGTTCTCGTTAATTGAGCATAGGAATCACATCCCATATGTTGACATTTGCCATCTGGAAGCATGTTAGATAGATTTTTCTGATGCTTTCTGCAGAACGAATTCTCAGTAGCTTAACTTTAGGAACTGCTTCTCTTGAATAAGATTCTCTTATCAGGCTACCTGAAAGGGATCTATAACTTGTCCGCTGTAATCTTGTCTTTCTAAAGTGATCCTGTAACGTGTCTAATACTTATAGGAATACGCATACGTGGTGTATTATCGACGAGAGTATTAATAAAAGTTATCAGTCAACTGACTGAAGAAAGAAATAAGGAAAGTTGTGAGGAAATAAAACAGACAATTGGAAAAGCAAAGCAGAACTCACCTTAGCAGGAAGAAGTGAAAATGCTTCTCATGTATAGGATTGATAGTTTATCATTACTGAATTCTCGAGGCTTATTTGATCATTTTTAAACATAGTATAACGTTTTCAGATGCTCCTTCTTATTCTTTGAGGTAGCGTGCTCCTATTATTATTATTATTATTATTATTAGTCCCTTGGGTTCCTAGTGGAACATAGGGCTTCAGTAGCACGCCTCCAGTGACCTCTGTTCTCTGAGATCTTTTGAACCTGGTTCCACGACAGCCCAGAAGCTCTCATTTCCTCCTCGCATGACCTCCTCCATGTCACCCTCGGACGTCCAACTCGTCGCTTCCCATGGGGATTCCACTCGAGGGCCTGACGCGTGATGTCCTCAGTCGGCCTTCTCAGTGCATGGCCAATCCATCTCCACTTCTTCCTGCATATTTGTTGCGTGATAGGTTCTTGGTTGGTTCGTTCCCAGAGTTCCTTGTTGCTTATTTTTTCTGGCCATCTGATCTTCAGCAGCGAGCGTAAGCAGTTGTTGATAAATGTCTGTAGTTTATTGGAAATCCCTTTCGTGACGCGCCAAGTCTCTGAGCCATACAAGAGCACTGACTTGACGTTGGTGTTGAAAATCCGTATCTTGTTCCAGATGCTGAGTGCAGAAGATCTCCACACTGGTTTCAGGCTAATGAACGTCTGTCTTGCTTTTCCGATTCTGACTTTGACGTCCTCGTCCGTCCCGCCTGTAGTTGAAACAGTGCTTCCTAGATAAGTGAAGGAGGTTACTTCCTTCAAGTTTCTCCCGTTGACGGTGATTGGAGTTTGTTGTTGTTGTTGTTGATGGTGGTGGTGCGGTATCTTCATCACTTCTGTCTTCTCTATATTCACCTGAAGTCCCGTCTTAGCTGCCTCCTCTATCAACTTGTTAGTTTTTGCCTGCAGATCTTCAAGTTTATGTGACATTAGGCATAAGTCATCAGCGAAATCCAAGTCTTCTAGGTTCTTTTCCGTCGTCCAGCCAGCGTATCCCCCTCTTCTCGCTGCCTACTGTTTGCTGCATGATCCAGTCCACCACAATTAGGAATATCATGGGGGATAGTAGGCAACCTTGTTTCACTCCTGTCTTCACTTCTCTTCAAAGGCATCACTGAGCTTCCCATTGTGGATTACTTGGCATATGGCATCTTCATATAGTTGTTGAATGAGGCGGAAAAGGTTTGCGGTACTCCGTAGTAGTGAAGCAGTTTCCAAATTACTTCTCGGTCGACGCTGTCAAAGGCCTTCTCAAAGTCGATGAAGTTGAGGTATAGAGCTGATTGCCATTCTACGCTCTGTTCTATGATGATACGAAGCGTTGCAATTTGGTCTGCACATGATTTGAACTTCCTGAAGCCTGCCTGTTCCGGTCGCAGTTTTGAATCCAGTGCGTCTTTAAGCCTCTCCAGGATGATGCGGCTTAATATTTTACTTGGGGTGGACAGGAGAGTGATTCCGCGCCAGTTCTTGCAAGCACTGAGGTCTCCCTTCTTCGGCAGTTTGACAAGGTAACCCTTCTTCCAATCGTCAGGTACCTTCTCTTCCTTCCACACCTTCTGCAATAGTGGTGTAGTGTGAGCATGTCCGCTGTTGTCTCTGCATCTGTTCTCAGTGCTTCTGGCGGTATTCCATCTGGTCCTGCTGCTTTCCCGCATTTCAGTAGCTTTATGGCGTTCACGACTTCCATTTTCGTTGGGGGATTTATGTTCACTTGTAATTCAGTGGCTGCAGGTGGTATTTGTGGACGAAGTGCAGGTGGTGGTCGATTCAAGAGCTTCTTGAAGTGGTCGGCCCATCGTTTCCTCTGTTTCTCTTCTTTTGTAATTAAATTTCCTTCTTCATCTTTTATTGGTTTCATCTGTGTTGGTCTCTTCCCTGATAGCAACCTGGTTATTTGATACAATGTCGTCAGGTCTCTGTCTCTCTTACCTGCAGCCTGTTCTGCTTCACTTGCCAGTGTTTCGTAGAAGTGTCTTTTGTCTTTGCGTGCACTCTTCTTCACTTCTTTGTTCAGTGTTTTATACATTCTACTCAGTTCTCCTTGTCGTTGAGCATCCTTGCACTGGTTTATCTTCTGCTTCACCATCCTCCTCTCCTCTATCAGCTTCCAGGTATCCATTGAGATCCATTCCTTGTCTTCTTTCTTCTTCCTTCCTAATACTGTTGTGCAGGTTTCTTTCCACATAGCTTTATAAAGACTTCCAGTGTTCTTCCACACAGGTTTCTTCAGGGATGTTCCTCGACGTCTCCCATTTTGTCTTGATGGCTGCCTTGAAGATCTCCTTTGTAGTTTCATCCTTCAGTTTCCGAGTGTTGTACTTGAATTGAGGTCTATCACCAGCTTCCTTGAAGGCTTTCAACTTGATTTGGATAGTTCCTTGCACTAGATAGTGGTCTGAACCTACATCTGCTCCTCTTCTTGACCTTGTGTCAAGTAGACTGCGTCTCCATTTTCTTGAGATTGAGATAAAGTCGATTTGATTTTTAGTGTGTCCATCTGATAAAATCCATGTCGCTTTGTGGATATCCTTGTGCTTGAACACACTGCCTCCAATCACCAAATCGTTGAATGTACAGAATTCTGCAAACAATTCTCCATTCTCATTCATTTCGCCTAGCGCCTCTCGACCCATGGTTAGTTCTCTTCCCGTGTTGTCACCTCCCAGTTTGGCATTCATGTCGCCCATTAGAATTTTGATATCGCCAACTGACGTCTTGTCCAGTGTTGACTGAAGTTGTCTGTAAAATTCCTCCTTTTTCTCTTGCTCTGCATTATTTGTAGGTGCATAGCGTAGCATTGTATGATTGTGACCTTTCTTCCTTTTGAGTTGAATCTTGCTGTCATGATCCTGGAGGAGATTGGTTCCCACTGCATGAGAGCCTTCGATGCTCTTGAGGACATCATGATAGCCACTCCCTCAGTGTGCTCGTGGTTGGCGTCTGGGTGACCGGAGTAGATTATTGATTCTCCAGTTGACAGTTTGGAGACTCCACTCCCATTCCATCTGCTTTCGCAAATCCCAAGCACTTCGATGTTATACCTTCTCATCTCCTTTGCAATCTGGGCTGCCTTACTGGGTTCAAACATCGTACGGACATTCCATGTCCCCACGTTTACTTTCGCTTTCATCGAGAGAAGACACATCGGCCAATTGGCTTCCCGAAGGCTTTCATCAACTGGCGTCATTTCGCCTCTCCGATTCCAGCGGGGAATAAGTTTGTTTTCATTTTTTATATTTTGTTTGTGCTTTGAAGTTTCTTTAGCGGTTAGATTTGTTTTACGGGGTAGGGTTGCTAGCCCTATGCCCAACCTTCCCTCTTTACCCGGGCTTAGGACCGGCTAGTAACTAGTAAACTAGTTAACCAGGCGAGGTTGGGGTGCTCCTAGATGTAACTATATATCTATGCATATATCATGTGATGAAATTAATTATGTTTACGTTTAGTTTCATTGTTGATTTCATTCATTTTTTATTTATCGTTACTGTCGTTATTATCATTGTTTACTCTTTTTTTCTTTGATTATTTATCGCAAAACGAACCTCGTGTTGTCTTATCATTTTCCTTCCCTTTGACAAATTAATGGATGGCAACACAAAACTAATCAGTAATAAGTCGAAAATCTTGGAAAGACGTTTACGCTACTTAAAGGATCATTTTGAATATAACCTCTATACGAATGTATGTCGTTCACTGTTTGAAAAGCATAAAGTATTATTTGCCTTCAGTATGAGTATAAACATTGTGAAGTAAGTTGTTGAATTAATGAGAGCTTATATCTTGTATACTTACGACTTGCCTTTTCGTTCATCTAAAATATTATCATTTCGTATCCCACATTCATCTGTAGTAAGCATCAAAGGCACTTGATGTAATCCATATAACTTTTCGCTTAGATTGACTCCAGTTGGTAGTCCGCGTACAAAGCATATTCTTAATATTACCAAACCCTCTTGGTCACGTTTAGGCAGTTTAATCCCTGTAAATTTACAATTACTTACTAAACAGTTGTTGTAACATCTGCATTTTCCGATAATATAGTGAATATCAAAATTAGTTTTTCTCAAAGATCACCTCTAGGATTTTACACTCATCCAGATCAGCAATAATCAAATTTAATTATTTTATTCTCTGCTTTATATTTTTCTGTGTTCACTGCTCCTAGTAATCGATTGAAAATCATTGAAAAAGGGATCCTATATCTAATTGATCATTTCACGTATAGCCTATATTTGAATGTCTCGATCATTGTTTCAGATATACAAATTGTTATTTTCCTTACTACTGTGTAGTAAATTGTTATTGTAAGCTTAGCAAGTTAATTTTAGATAATGTTCATGTTTTGTGTGTGTGTACATGTGTGTTTAAGGTTGACGAAAGTTGCTTTCGAAATTTCACCTTGGTGAATTTGCTGAGTTGTCAAAGTTGAACATTATTTGCCGGTCGTATTGAGTTTGATAATTCTCACATTTAGCAAACCAGTGGCCTACAGATTGTACACGTCACACTTGTTTTCTCTCGCTTTTTAGAGTGACTTTAGAGGCAAACCTAAAAACTAGTAAAATAATCATTTAGACTTCTCGATTCTATGAAAATATGACTTTTAAGCCGAAATAAAGAAATCTAATTGGCTGCCTAGGCCTGTTGCTAGTGTGAACATTGAAGTCGTTCCGCGTTTTTTATTCCAACTCTCCTTTGTGTATAAAAGGTAGGGTAGGCAGGTAGCATCATTTAAATGAGAAAAATCGATGTGAACCATAACTTGAAAAGAAGAAACTTGACCCTGGTTTCTGTTTCTCAGAAAAATATAGAATGCTGGATGTTTTTCAAGAAAATTTATCAGGAGTATCGTTGAGGAATACATTTACAAACTTTTGAAATGGCGGTTAGTAGCAGCTTTATTCGCCTCTATAAAGAGCACTGATAACAAAAGAGATTGAAGCGAGTGTATTCGTTAGTATATTTTAAGAGCAAATTTGAGCAACATTACTGAGACGACTATTTAACAGCTAAGCAGTAGAAAATAAAACATTGTAGTTTGTGCATGTAGCTTTAAATAAGTGTATGCATATGTTTTCTCTGTATTTCTTCACAATCAAGGACAGTCAGTTCTGGCGAAGGATTGAAATCAGTGTTCACCAAATTCTTTGCAAGTTGTAAAAAGTTATGATGATTTAGCAATCTGATTAAAAAACACACACTTGTATACAAAATAAACGAAAAGAATCACAAATGTAAGCAATACACTTAAGCTGGAAAGATGAAAAAGGAAATTTAACAGTTCAAAAGTACAGAAATCCCTTAAAATAATCTGTAAGTGGTTTGATACCTAGGGTTTGGTTAAGTAGACCAGAAAGATCGTTTGATTATGTTAAATAGCAATTATCCATTGACTGGGCTGACACATATTTTAAACATTCCCAACCATCGACCACCTAGAACCGTTTGGCATACAAAGTTCAGTAGACAAATGATAGAAGGAACCTCCAGATTCTCAGCCACGATTATGATGTATATTCATTTAACCTCAAGCATATAGTCATTACCAGCAACGCGTATCAACATAGAACCCGACCGATAGCTGCTACCTTGACGTGGTGGTCGGGCTTGCATATCACAATGACCCAACGAGCTATGCTGGTGGAACGCTTGTTCCCTCGAGGTCCTACCATACCAGAAAGGTCTGTTGGGTAGTGGTTAGACGAAAAGCAGTTACCGTTATAGTGTAAATTGCTACACTATGATGGGGGTCTGAGGGCGAAGTCGTACTGCTGCTAGCTGGATGGGGTGTGACAGCAGTAAGGTGTTTCCCTTGGATGACCAGCAGTGCCATGCTGATGCTGCCTTCTCAGTGGAAGGGGGGGTTAGAAAAGGTCGGCCCCAAAAATAACACACTCCACCACGCCCCACGGTCTGCCGGGCCGGCGGTGTTGGTTCACTTGTCGTTTCCTTTCGACCATCCGGCCCCAAAAATACAAAAATTCAAAATAATCATACTCAAAAGGCTGGGTGTGACAGGCCTCAAGCAGATGTCCGATGGGCTCTGCGGTCACACAAATCTCTTTCAGGTACCTTAAGAAGAAATAGCCTTCCACGGTGTGGGCAGCCGGGAAGTGTCAACCGCCCTCACAACTCTGTCAGCACCCAAGTTTCTTCTGACTGCTATCCTCCTCCTCCATCATTACCTTCTAATCTTCCTTCACGTCTCTTAATTAATGATGCTGCATCATCTTCAATTTCTCCTACCTCTGCAGCCTTCGACAACGATCTGAGTCCACAGAACAGCATCCCTGGTCTCCTTAAACCACGCTCCAAATTACATATTGGAGCCTTCAATGTCCGCACCCTCCGTCAAATTGGCCAACAGGCTTCGTTGGCAAAGACTCTAGCAACTCGGGCATGGATGTGTGCTGTGTTTGTGAGACACGCATACAGGACCCAAGTGTGGTTATTCACCTGACCTCTCCTGACCAATCTGGTGAATCTGCAAAATTCACCCTTCGAGTTTCTGGAGATTCGATAGCTAGCTCTCGTGGTCTTGCAGGTGTAGGTATAGCATTAAGCACCAGGGCAGAAAACTCACTACTAGACTGGATCCCAGTTGATAGTCGCCTCTGCGCTATGAGGCTGAACGGCACAGTGAGAACTAAAAGGAATAGTGAGACTCGCCGTTGTCTCTTTGTAATCTCTGCTTACGCACCCACTGACTGCAGTTCGGATGAAGTAAAGGACGAAAGCCAAACGTTCGGACGTGGTGGTTGTTGCAGGTGACCTCAACGCACAGGTGGGTAGACTGAGTGAGGCAGAAAGGCACTTAGGTGGCACTTTCGGAATCCCAGCTGAACGTACAGATAACGGTGATCGCCTATTACAACTATGCTCAGATAACCGCCTATTTTTAGCCAGCACAAATTTCAGACATAAAGAAAGGCACTGTCTGACCTGGCGTCCACCGAGCTCGACTCAGCGATGGACACAGATAGACCACATTGCTATTAGTCATCGCTGGAGAGGATCGGTGGAAGACTGCCGCTCCTTCTGGAGTACGTGTTTGGACAGCGATCATGCGTTGGTCCGAGCACGTATATGCCTGCGTCTCAATGGACGTAGAAAAAATTTGGCAACAAAACCACTACGAGTTCTGCTGGACAACGAAAACACCAAAGCCGTGTTCAGTGAGAAGTTGGCTAGGCAGTTATCGGAACAAAAGACTGTCACTCATCCAGAAGAAGCTTGGTGCCATCTTCAGTCTACTGTAAAAGCAGCACTGGAGACTGTAGCCGACTCCAAGATAATGGCTAAAAAGAGCCAGTGGATATCAGCAGCTTCTTCCAAACTAATGGATGCACGTGAATGCATCCCTGCAGGCTCTGAGTACAATGAAGAGCGAGCGCAACTTAAAAATAAACTGACGAAAAGTCTGCGCAACGATCGTGAACAGTGGTGGGCAGCAAAGGCTAAAGAGATGGAAAAGGCAGCGGCGATCGGTAACAGTAGACAGTTATTTAGACTTATTAAGGAGACTGGGGGGAAATGGTCAACAACAGTTAGTGAGGTTATAGCGGAGAAGGACGGATTTGCGATTCACTCGCAGGGAAGGCGACTGGGACGATGGGCAGAACACTTCGAGGAACAGTTTAACTGGCCTCCAGCCACCATTGCGCTGCCCGCTATCCAGTCGGACCCTGAATGGGACATAGAGACAGGTCCCCCAACACTAGAAGAAGTTGAGAAAGCGGTAGGTAGCCTGAAACGAGGAAGGGCAGCAGGACCAGACGGACTACCTGCTGAGGTATACAAGAATGGTGGTAGAGTTCTCTTAGTCAGGCTAACGGAAGTGTTAGCCAGTATATGGGAATCAAATACGATCCCCTCCGACTGGTCTAAGTCACTCATCATCCCAGTCTTCAAGAAAGGCGAGAAGTCCTCTTGTGATAACCACAGAGGAATCAGCCTGACAAACATAGTGTCTAAGATCCTAAGTTCTATAATTCTCCGACGCCTGAGTGGAGCTCGGGAACAGCAAGCCCGAGAAAACCAGGCAGGCTTTAGACCTGGCCGTGGATGTATCGACCAAATATTCACACTGCGCCAGGTCCTGGAACATAGGCATGCTTACAGACGCCCGACAATAGCTGTATTTCTCGACCTGAAGGCGGCATTTGACTCCGTTGATCGAGAAGTCTTATGGCAGTGTCTGTCACTGAAAGGCGTGCCTAGTAAGTACATCACCTTATTGAAAGCTCTCTACTCGAACACTTGTGGGCATGTTAGAGCCTATGGTGAGTTGTCCAGGGAGCTATACTCATCAAGTGGTGTCCGTCAAGGATGCCCACTATCCCCATTCTTATTTAATTTTATCATAGATATTCTTATGGAGGTTTCCCTCTCGTCACCTAATTACAAAGACGTTGACCCGATCACAGGTGAATTTTCCTTAGATCTAGAATATGCAGATGACATAGTCCTGTTAGGTGAAGACGCTGACAAGATGCAGAGTCTTCTGAACACTTTGAGTGGGAATTTGAGAATGTTTGGGATGCGATTTTCACCACCCAAATGCAAATTTTTGCTCCAGGACTGGTCTTCAGCGGTACCGCGGTTAACAATAGAGAGTGAAGTGGTTGAGTGTGTTGACCACTTCACTTACCTGGGAAGTAGGATCAACCCTGGTGGGTTAGTTGCCGATGAGATTTCTGCACGGATACAAAAGGCTCGATTGGCTTTTGCCAATTTGCGCCACCTATGGCGCCGCCGTGATATTCGTTTGTCTATTAAGGGTCGCGTGTACTGCACAGCAGTCCGCTCTGTTCTACTGTATGGCTGTGAAACATGGCCATTGAAAGTGGAGGATACAAAAAGGCTTCAGGTGTTTGACCACCGTTGCCTTCGTAGTATAGGACGTATTCCGTGGTGTCACCATGTGAGTAATGCAGAAGTTAGGTGTAGAGTTTTAGGGAGAAGAGGTAAGTCAGTTGACGAGGTTGTGAACCTTCATCGACTGAGATGGTTGGGACACGTACTACGTATGCCTAGTCACCGATTGCCTCGTCACACAATGTTGGCTGAGGTGGGTTCAGGCTGGAAAAAGGCCCGAGGTGGCCAGACTAAAACATGGCACCAATGTATGAAGTCTCTGACTGTTGGTTTAAGCCATGTAGGACGATGCAGACTAGGTGGTTGGGGTCCACGGGACAAGAGGAACCAGTGGTTGGAGACCCTAGGTGATATGGCTCAGAACCGAAGTCAGTGGCGCAGATGTATACACACATTATCCTCATCTTAACAACGCTATACCGAATCTCACCATTTTGTCACTCCTGTTTTATTTCTTCTCGTACTTTATATTTCTTTTGACTGCATTCACTTATCTTCATCCTTCACCTCACTACCTTTCTACTTGATGAACTGACGTGAGGTATGACAACTCGGACCGTTACGCAGTAATGCCTGGTCCTAGGTAGATAATGATGATGATCAACATAGAACTACAGTGTGCATGTTAAATTGTATGTACTGCTACTTGAAGTAGTTGAATATGTTTACTGACAAACTTTCCAAAATAAGTGTGTAACAACCTCTGTATTTCCTCCCCCTCCCCTTTGAGATACCCCAATCTGTGATAACAGCCATTTTTAATTTATGCCAATTATCTCCAAATTGATTTCTTCTCGCTTTGCAAAACAACTGTAAACATCACAATTTATAGGTGAATAATCCTCCAACTGATTCATAAAATCCAGACAAAACAAAAGTAGCAAATAATTGGAGGGAGGGGGTTGATATATTGGATATGATTTTGTACCCTTAGAAGATATCAGTTGAACAAAAGCAAACAGGAGAAAGTAAACTCTAGATAGTCATGACATCTTAATGACACCGTTGCAGTAACAGAACGTTAGTGAATACTGAATTTCGTGTTCGAGAAAATTTGTCTATGGTGGACATTAATCACTCACATTTAGACTCAAAGTTTGTTGTATCACGTGTGTTTCTTGGGAACCAAGTTTCACTTACAATCTCATCCTGCCTCAGCTCACCTAGGTGAACTTCCATTCTAAGTATCCAATTATTATTCCATTGCTAACCAAGTTCCTTTTTCCAAGAATTTTCTACTATAAAATCTATAAGATGACGATGTTTCGACATAATTTCGTAACTTGTTTAGATTTGTGATTGTGATCTTTCAGTGGGTTATATTGACTTTAACTTATGTTGAAACTTATTTCCAGTTAACTAGTGTTTAAATTTCCAATATAATCTCCATATTTCAATATTCTAGGTTGTAAATACCTGAAAAATTATCAATGAATTGATATATTTGTTCCTAATAACTTAACGAAGCAAAATATTTATGTGAAGCAAACAAACATTTCTTGAGAGGAATGCCTGACAACGCTGGCTTAAAGTTTCAGTGTGAGCGATTAATGTCCACCATAGACAAATTTTCTCGAACACAAAATTCAGTATTCACTAACGTTCTGTTACTGCAACGGTGTCATTAAGATGTCATGACTATCTAGAGTTTACTTTCTCCTGTTTGCTTTTGTTCAACTGATATCTTCTAAGGGTACAAAATCATATCCAATATATCAACCCCCTCCCTCCAATTATTTGCTACTTTTGTTTTGTCTGGATTTTATGAATCAGTTGGAGGATTATTCACCTATAAATTGTGATGTTTACAGTTGTTTTGCAAAGCGAGAAGAAATCAATTTGGAGATAATTGGCATAAATTAAAAATGGCTGTTATCACAGATTGGGGTATCTCAAAGGGGAGGGGGAGGAAATACAGAGGTTGTTACACACTTATTTTGGAAAGTTTGTCAGTAAACATATTCAACTACTTCAAGTAGCAGTACATACAATTTAACATGCACACTGTAGTTCTATGTTGATACGCGTTGCTGGTAATGACTGTATGCTTGAGGTTAAATGAATATACATCATAATCGTGGCTGAGAATCTGGAGGTTCCTTCTATCATTTGTCTACTGAACTTTGTATGCCAAACGGTTCTAGGTGGTCGATGGTTGGGAATGTTTAAAATATGTGTCAGCCCAGTCAATGGATAATAACTATTCAACATTATCCATTGATCATCCATCTGTACTTAGTACGCTTAGTATTTTAATAGTTCTTTGCATAGTCCTATCTGATATCAGCATGTCTTTGAAGGCAATTGTATTGGAATCACGAATAACCTACTTCTGTTGGTAGGACGTCCGTATGAAATTTCAGTGAATTTAGAAGTAAATGGTAATGGCTATCTACAGTTATTAATAGTTTGATGAAATTTGCCAGATCATTGTCAAATCTTTCATAGGAATAGCTAAACTTTTTAAAGAACCTCAGTGAATTGAAATAATTGAAATGTTCTCTGTAAATATTCTTTGCTAACCACTTGATTTTCTTTTTTATTTCTATCTGGAAAATTAAGAGCACGTGGTGAACTGGAAATGGATGAATTTATGTTCTTCTTAACTGGTGGAGTTGGATTGGAAAATAAATTAGCTAATCCAGCTAGTGGTTGGCTTGCAGACAAATGTTGGGATGAAATATGTCGTATGTCATTACTGAAAACATTTGAATCATTTTGTGAACACTTTACAACTCATTTATCTGAATGGAAACAATATTATGACAGTAAAGAACCACAGGAAGCTAAGCTACCCGAACCTTGGGATAAATTAGACATCTTCAAAACTCTGATTATTCTGAGGTGTATACGCCCGGATAAGGTTTGTTTTTAAATTCACCAAATTTAGTCTATTCATCTGCTTGTATGACTTGTATTTCATTGTCAGGTATCATTACAGATTAAAAGATCAGATGGTTAAGATATTATGAAGTTTCGATTATAATGCTGAAGATTAAGATATTCAGCCTATCCTAAATAAAACTCGCCACAAATAAATAAAACACCTGTGCGAAGCGTATACCACTAATGATTTCTCGACGTATCTCGGTAATAAGTGCCATTGTGGTTCAAATGTATGTTACGCTCAGATGGTACACATCTTGTTATAGGTTGCGTCTAGGTTGTTTGCATTCAAAGCTCGAAATCACAATTTATCTGTTAGACTTAAAAGGAAAATAGGATTGGCTGAAACACGTAATGACAGAAATGTGCAGATTATTTATTTTCAGCCTAATTTAAAAATGAAACGCCGGAAATGACTGTACTTTAAGCTCTTCGTTAAATAGTCAAACATTCAGGTGTGAACGAATTCACCCTTTGATATCGTCCAAAGCTTGAACTAGTCTGGACTAGTCTGTATCTTCAGATTGTTTATTCCACCACTCAACTTTTTCCACTTTAATATCAGTCTTTTTCTGTCAACCTGTTCTTTGTGTACTACTGTGAAGCGTGATACAACTTGAGCCAACGCACCTGTATGTGAGATTCTACGTTGATTTCGTCAGTCAGATTATATCCAATTACGTAGGTCACTGACCATTAATTTGGTCACTGAGCTTTTTGTTCTAAGCTAAGAAACTAGGGAAATTCGTAGATAATTGAAAACACCACTGAATTACTCCCCTGGAATCACAGGCTTCGTTTCTCAAATCTATGGTAATACAAATACTAAGTACTAAAAGTGAGGCTATGAAGTGTGTGAGTTTCTTTCTTTTTTCCGCCCATGTTCTCTTTGAAATGCTCTTCAGTCTGAAATTTAAGCTGGTGGACATTTTACATGTGAACTACTTTTCAAAAATCCACAGTAGTATATCATAATTCACTGCAGTAATAAAAAATAATTACAAGCAAAATATACTACTGAGCTACATGAGTATTTAGAAACTACAAAGCTGACCTACTGACACCATTGTTGTAGAGTTGAAAAACTCAGTTTTAAGAAGTGTAAAATTGGATAGTGCGGTTTATAAGTAATTTGGAGATTGGTTATTCAGTTTAAATTGTAACAAGGTTTCTCAGCACTCCAGAATTAGTCAAGCGAAACTATCCATTTAATAGACAGATGCATCCAGATGACTACTAAGGCTTAAAAGTGAAGAAGTCATATAAAATAAATGGTCACTGTTTTTCATGCTCATAAAAGTTAATGATCGGTGTTATGCTGAAACGTTTGATAAAGATAATTTTAGCCGGGAGGAAAATGTCATTCAGACCGTGGTACCATTATCTTTTGCAAAGAAGTCAGAATATTGTTTATTTTCTTTTTCCATAAATACCTAGATGAAATACGGATATCAACGTTGAAGTCAGTTATTCTACTGTTTGTTTGACTCGACTGTATATATGAGTAAGAAAATACCATCTTTCTGTTTTGATTAATTTAGGTAGTTCCTGGTGTAATGAATTATGTTAGAGAAAAGTTGGGCCGAAAATTTGTTGAACCACCTCCGTTTGATTTAGCTCGATCATATCAAGATTCAAGTTGTACTACACCACTTATTTTTATTCTTTCCCCGGGTGCTGATCCAACTATGGCGTTGCTAAAATTTGCTACGGACAAGGGTTTTGGAGGGGTGCGCTTTCAGTCTATAAGTTTAGGTCAAGGTCAAGGGCCTATAGCCGCTAAAATGATTTCCCAGGGTAAACAAGATGGATCTTGGGTTTTACTTCAAAATTGTCATTTAGCTGTGAGTTGGATGACAGCACTTGAAAAGATATGTGAAGAAATGACTGTAGAAAATACCAACGCAACATTCCGTTTATGGCTTACAAGCTATCCATCACCAAAGGTATATTGATGGTTATTGTTATTTATTTTCACTGTTCGCTTTATCTGTTGGTTCAAGGTATATACAGGTATCCAGAAATACATCAAGATACAATGAACTGTTACCCAACTAGTATAATTTGATTGCGAAGATCGCACCTGTAGTCTGTCTGCCAAATGAAACAATTATTTCCTTCAGTATCCACTGTCAAGAAAGGTAACAGAGAATGTCTATGAAGCACTGAGAATAAAACACACTTGCATAAGCATACTGGATGGTATGCAAACAGAGGAATGTATATCTCATATCCACGCTTAATCGTTGAAAATAATCTATTAGTGATGGAATGAATCAGTAAAATATCTTGAAAAAATTAGGATATAGCAAAGTTACCTCAATATATAATAATAACTTGCAAAAAACAAATAATTTGGTCACATTTTCCCAGATTAGACTTACTGATAATACTGTTCAACGTCATATTTGAAGGACTTCTTAAATACAGAAAGTAACGTCGAAGTAGTTTCTGGTTACAGTTTGACTCGTACGTCACTTTCTCTTTTGAGGTTTATGATTACTCAGTTCATAGTGAAAAAATGTGGCAGATACGCATACAAAAATGATGCGAAATTAAAATGACTTTGAACCTCGTTAAAAATATACACACAGGGGAGGTTAAACTTAGTATCTTAGGTAGGACGAGAAGAACAATATCACAATTCTTATGCATTGATTCCGTAGATTATATGTGTCAACTGTTCCATCTATAAAGCACAATATTTTTGCTAGGAAAAGCGTACGACATCCTTATGTAAATTTGTTCAGGATGTGTTAATTTGGATGGGAGATCACTTAAAAATAGCTGAACAAAAATAGAGGAACTGGGCAAAGCTTTTAAGTCTACACAAGGGATAAATATTTTCAGAATATCCTAGATAACATAGCGAGAATCGCAAATTACCGTAATTACTACAACGCTTTACCATTATTCTTATGTATGTAAGACATCATGCCATATTAAGTATGCACATATATGTGAACCACTCAGTAAAAGAAGTGAAGGCGACCAGGTCAAGAGTTTTAAACATCAGGCTGGTAATGAAATCTACACTATTTTACTCTTCGGATTGGAGATTTCAGAGCTTTACAGATTATTCCTCCTAAAATTCAGTTACCTTCACTATTGTCTGCAGACACAAAAGTTAAAAGTTAGGTGAATTTCCTTCAATCAATTCATGTTTTGTTAATGACAAAATTGACTAAGTGTACGTGGTTGATTCAGGCCTTGAGTGATCCATAAACGAAGATATATATATCATTGAATTACGATGACAAAGGTAGATAATATCAACATAGGAACTGGTTTTATCGCTCAGCGATTCAAGGTGCTACCTCTTGTATCAGCGAATCATGTGCAAATCCATCAAAATGGAAGCTAAGAAAAGAAAAAGTAGTTAAAGTAGTAGAAAATCATGAAAAGAAGGCAAGAAAGAATGAGAGAATACTGTAATAGTATGACGATTAAGATGAAGATAATGTGTAAACACTGCTGTGCCACTGCTGCCGTTTCTGAGACGTAACATCGAAACCCTCCAACTATCAGTTGCTGTTGTCATGTGGACACAGACCGACAAGTTTGCATTTCCACACGCGACTTAGACCAACAGTCAAGGGCTTCGTGCAATAATCGAATTGTTTCAATCTGGCAGCTCCTGAATGTTTCCCACTCTAAACCTAATTAAGCTAACATTATGTGGCTAGGTATATGTAAAAATGTCCTAGCCATCATAGTCATTAAAGGTTCACAACCTCATGAACTGGCTTTCTTATTCATTCCAAAACTCGCTTCCCGATCTCCACATTACTAACATGATGACAAAGTCCACAAAATCAAGACTGATATAATGACAGCTGAGAATTTGATTGCTAAATACTCAAAGTCCTTAACCTCAACAGTTTTATAAACATACTTTCAAGCTACGAAATTATTGCTTTTCTACTGAATTGAGAATGCTGTTATTTTTTAGTTCCCAGTGACTGTCCTACAAAATGGCATAAAAATGACAAATGAACCACCTACTGGTTTGAGACAAAATCTTCTCCAGTCTTACTTGAATGATCCTATATCTGACTCAGAATTCTTCGAAGGTTGTCCAGGCAAAGAAGCAGTAAGTTATACTTCATTTCTTTTGCCACATCATTGTTACTTCATTGAAATTACCAAGAAGTGAACACTAAGAATATGAATCTCTGTTGTTACTTTTTATGAAGATGTGGGTTGTAGCAATGGTGTTCAGCTTGGAGAAAACTCAATGTCTACAACATGGATTTGCACAACATTGCTGAATAGATTTCATTCATTTGGTCTTTCCCGCTGAGGTGATCGCGGTTGCAAAACATATTTTACTGACAACTGACTCACCTCTTTATGATAAAGTAAAGTAGACATTTATCTTGGAGACTGAATACTGATGATAAATTTTATTGATTATCCATTTTATACCGGTGTTTCTGTCAGAAATCAGGCCTTTTCATTTACATATCTGCTCGACAATTATTCTTCTGTCAAGTCATAGATGAGAAGATAAACTTTAAAGTTGCCTCCATGTAAAGTATTATTATCATGAATAGTTTTCAAAGAAGACAATAGCTCTCTCACTAACTAGCATCCACTTTATAGAATTATTTCATTATTGAATTAGCTCGAAGAAATATTTTAAACAGGTAAGTTTCAGGATTTTATTGCTAAAAATGCAAATGATTCAGGATATTTGTTTTCATCTCCAAAAATAAATTATTCCTTCAAATCATACAAATTAGAAATGGGTGAGAAAAAAGCGAAGACAGATAAAGAAATGTATACCAGACGAAAAGCATTGATTACCTACAGGTATATATAGTCGCTTCCGTAGAAATGTTTTACTTTTTCTGTCGTTTTTATTCTTTCCATTATTTCAGTCTGCATTTCCGTTGGAAACACTTTATACGGGATTTTGTGTCACAGAATCTTATTCAGTTGTCTTTTCCTTTCCATTATGCTTATGACAGTTTTTTGTATCAGCGTTAATAATTGAAGGATTTTTCCAACTACAACATTATTCACAGCCGTGCATTTGTGACAGTAATCTACTTTAGAAATCCATTTCATTTTCACAGGCGAAGGGATTAGATTTTAGGTGTCTGAGAAGCTTTCCTTGATTCCATTTTTGGAGGCATTCATTTAAGTAGTATTCAATTCTATCTACTAGAATCTCATATTTGTTGGGACATATTTTAGGTTGAGTAGATATGTTTTTCATCTTTTTTACATATCATAGTTTGCACATTATTGTGTGTTCTAGGTTCAGCACAATCTAAACATTTCAAGTTACTGAGGTTAGTTCATCTTTAAGGTGTTTTATTCCTGTCATTTACTGCAGTACTGCAGTTTTCCTGTTATTTTGAAGTAAGACTTTACCGCTTAGATTCTGTTCTTATAAGTTTGTAGTTTGCCCTATGCTTACTTCAAAATATATGGTGATTTTGATTGTGACATGATGAAAGGACTAGAGAACATTTTGTGGACCAGATGGAGTGGATAACACAAATATAGTATATAAAAACAACTGAATGATTCCTAATAAAACTGCATTATGCAATTTAACCACTAGATTGTTCATAAAACTTAAAAACAAAAGTGCTGATGTCGAAAATATATGACACATCGTTTTCAATATTTATAAACACATAGACAGTCGAAGTAGTCGTTGTCTGAACCTAATCTAAAGTCTACCAAATATGAAGGCTATTATCACATACCCAACTGGAGATCAACTAAATATGTGAATAGTCAGACATGAATGCACTAATAGACAGCATAATTTCACATTGACAGAATTTCTATTTTCATTATGACTACATGAAGCTCAAAGTTAAACAGATCACTATGTGATCAACCATTTCCTCCACATGCGTGTAAAGTACAAAGAAATAACTCAATCAATCGTTTAACAGAAACATACTTCACTGCTTCATACAATAAATGCCAATAGGGTACCTAGTAGGATGATGAGACGCCTACGGAGACTGGGAGACTATAACAAGAATTGTTTGATGATACAAAAAATCGATTATCAGATGAAGTACAGCGGAGTATGTCTATTCAGCCCTTCACAGTGTATGAAACGTTACATGGATAGATTAGTTTATCAACTCAACTGCATTACAGCTTTTCTTAGACATTAGGAACAAAACTAAATACTTACATATTTTAACATGCATTAGCCAACAGGAAAAGTCTAACATAAAAGAAACGGTAAAAAGGATTAAAAATTGATCGCAGTCTCTGTAGAGTATTTTCGGGCAGAAGCCTAATTCACACTTGAAAAAAAAAATGAAAACTGTACTAGTGAACAGATAAATCTGTATAAAGCAGACCATGAAACAACAAACATCTTTATCTTCAGCTAACTAACTAACCTTGTTTTACCTTCGAATTAAAGATGGAATTTCACAATATTTCAATTTAATTCTCAGTGTACACAAAGAAATATGAGGTAAATACAATCCTAAATTGTACAGAGTAGCTCTTCAAATATTCGTATATTTGTTTCTCAAAGAACACTTGCATTTGTGGTTTGTTCTGTCCACTTTTCTGTCACACTGGTCTACGTGCTTTCTCATTGAAAACACTTTAATTCTACTATAGCTGGAAGGGCATATCTTAAGTTTGCTTCCGTAGACAGCAATATTATGAAGGGTATTCCGAGATGAGTTAAACCTTCATACAAGTTTCCAATCACAATTTACATCAATTTTTAAGAAGATTGAATGCGTGTTAGAAATTCGTTTGAGAAATTTAATAAAGTCGACTGTTTGTTCCTTGTGCTCATGCGTACAATTTACCAAAACTTTCAAAATGGCTAACCATGATAAAGTAAATAGTTTGTCTATCTACACTAATTTATTAGTTTACCTTTCTAAAAAGTAAGTTTATTGCGGCTGCCTGCAGTACAATATTTCCCAGATTTTGTCAATCTCTAAAAGTTGGTTAACTTGTTTACAGAACAGTGAATAATACACCATTAGTGCTGTTAATAAATTTATTATACAACCCTGTCCTCACTTTATCCCAATAACCTTTTCATACTGTAATTGAAAACAATTGGTGGGTCTATTCGTTTGTATTGCTGACTTACAACAATAGCTCTCGAATAACGTCATAACTTGTTATCAGAGCCTGGGTTATTAGCACGTTTTAACCTGCGTAACATCAGAAACTGTTTGCACTGTATCATGAATACACTAAAGTTGACAGTTTGAATGATACCAACATGTTCATTCGTAGCGTAGAACCTGCAATCAATAAAATCTTTATAATAAATGTGGTGTGGTTATTCATGGATTGCCGGTCCCACAGTGAAAAGAGAATAATTTATCATATGTTTCGAGGGGACTATTTACAAACTAATCAGTTCTTCAGAGGCACTGATACCACCTAAAAAATAAAGACAATAAATAAATTGATTAATAAGAACATTATATGATTCTACAAGGTGACAAACACAACTAAATTTCCATGTCGACAAAAAACTGAAATAGTTAGATGTAATCATGTGATCCTATCAGTGTTGTTTCTGCTCAACTTTTGAGTTTGTAAAGTTCGCAAGGATTGTTTACTCTCTGATGAACGCTCGGTAATTACCACGTTTTTATGTGACTTGTTCACAATATGATAGACTGTTATAAATGTTACCTGATGAATAATCATTTTATCTTAGCAAGGTATATATAAAATTTGTGTCGAATATCAAGGTTACTAGCTATTTATGCAACCCTGAAGGTTAGAAAATCGGTAACTTCTAAACTATACATTATTTACAGCTGCAAAATGTGGTAGTGATTCATGCGTTCAAGTAAATTCTCATTTTATAATCGACTTTTGACTGTGAGACGAGACATTTTTAAGGATTGCTTCTAACTTTCTAAAACTGAGCTAACAAAAGGATGAAATTCATTTCAAGAGGTTGACTTGAATGTTGTTTTGATTAATTTCAATGGAACCCCTGAAGCAGCAATTTTCTTGGTTTATTTATTCATCACATTCTCTAAATAACGAGTTCATTGAGTTTTCACAGTATGAGTTACCTTCAGTCACAAATTTTCATAAATTCTATATAATGGAAAAAAGATAACACGGTAACAATAGTGATATATTTTGTAGTAAGAATTGAGCATAATGGTAGATAGTAATTTAAATTTAGCCTATTTATTGGATGTCATTTAGTGAAACAGTATTACTAACTACATAGTGTTTCGAAAATAATTTTTCGTGTATATCCTCCATATTCACCTGATATGGATGTGGATAATAAATTATGTCCAAAACGTCATACAGCAAATCATACTGGCTCACTGCGAAACACATCTAATAAACAGACTAAAGTAGTGAAATATGTCACCACATACGTATTCAAGTTGAGCAAAACCCTGTGGTATTTATGTAAATCTATGGCTTGTTGGTCTAGAGGCTTGACAGCCAACCAATGGGTGACGAGTTCATCTCCGGCCTTACGGACCCAGGTGTGAGCAGTTAGTTAGTATACAGGCCCTCCCTCCCTAAGCTGGTGTGCTATTTGCTTACTACGTGAACGAGAGCTTAGCTACTACGTTGTGTTTCAATTCAATTTCTCGTTACGGCTTTTAATACTAAATGTTGTGAAAGTAGTTTGATACCCACGATCTTTATGAACCAAAATGATTCCTACAATTGCATATCTAGCATGGCTTATTCGCTTAGATGTGGATTGACTAAGCAATTAATAAACTAATAAGTGATCTGGTATCTACTAATCTCATCCTTTAAGAAATATGCAAGAAAGGTTCAGGGATCTATGTTATACGATACGTTTATTTTGTAAGGTATATACACACTGTTCCCACATTTTGTAGCTGCTTTCTCTGTCCTTTATAACTTACCAGACTTTTTTGTATCTATACGAGCCAAATGAATAAATTGGTTCTGTGAGAAAGTTTATCGTACTGACTGTAAGCTTATCACATTAAGATCTTGTCGACGCCATATTTAAGAACCAGGAAATTTGCAGTACAGGTTTGTGTTGCTTAAACATACTGATAAATGCATATGGTTCCCACTTTCAGATTGCATGTTACCGAAAAACATGAAACTTTCAAAACTTTTGTTCATGGTTAATATTTATTTTGATTTTTTTAGGTGTTTGAGAAATTGTTGTTTGGATTATGTTTTTTCCATGCACTTGTACAAGAACGTATTAAATTTGGTCCTTTGGGATGGAATATACCTTATGGATTTAATGAATCAGATTTACGTATATCAGTTAGACAGTTACAAATGTTTGTAAATGAATATGAGAAAGTTAGTTAGCTAAGATCTTTTTTAATCCTGTTATTTTAACTCATGTAATTATGTACATTGATCGATCACTGGAGGGCGAACTATTTCATGCTGTCTAATCGTGAGTGCTGACCGGATTCTGTTGATCATATTAATTTCAGGTTTGACCAAGATCCAACTGATGAGTTAATTAACTCAACTGAAATCGTTAATTATGGTCGATTTTCTTTATGAATTTACCTATAAGTAGTTTCATAATTCTGTGTAGGATTACACTGTTTGAAATATGTGGTGTTAATGATTTGCATGCTTCAGACAATACTCGTTTTCTCATTGCCACGGGTAAATTTATCAAAATGATTAGTGGTTTGAAATTGAGTGACTTTAAGGTCACCCTAGCAACAACTGAAATCAGCAATGTTGCCTCTATATTTCGCCCGGAAAAGTACTTTTCCATGAAATGAAGGGATGTAATTGGCTGTCTCATCAGTTGCTAGTGTGGTATATAAAGTCAACCTCAAAAGTACTCACTTAACTAGTGACCTTACACGCTACCCTGGCAACAACTGAAATAACCAATCAGACTTTTCTATTTTATGAAAATCTGCCTTCCCAGACGAAATAAGGAAACCTAATTGGTTGTTTTGATCGTTGCTAGGTTGGCCTTTAAAGTCACCTCACTAACTAAATTTAAGCTTTGTGTTGTTGATTTGATGATATACTAGATATAGGTGTTTTAACCGACTGAGATGTACGGTTAAGATACTCCAGAATGCTAGTGACTTTATTTAAAAGTGACACAGTTATGAGTGGCTGCTAACACTTTCATTAATAATACTGACAATAATACAGCGGTAATCTAACAGATGAATATAGTACTATGATCATAAATAAATCCTTTTTAAGTTAACAGGCGTCATGACGGCACACAAGGGAGAATCAAAAATCAGGGGTTAGGAAAACCAGCCAGGATTTTGAGGATGTAAGGGAGTGTATTCTCTATCGATTTAGTTACCATTTTTGGGCTGTCTTCAGGAGTCTCCAGGTGTTGATATCTAACGTCTAGAGGAACATAACCGGCTAACCTCCAGCTTCTTACATGACCCAGATATGAAGTCAGCGATTTCAAGGTTAAGTACTACGTTTTTATCGGATATCCTTAGGTTTTTTCCTTGATTACTGCTTTTCCACCTCACATGGTTGGGAGATGAAGGTTATTGCTTGACATGCGTGACATGTCTCCAAACTACCTTAGTCTGTGTACATTTACAACCTATTTGACTGATTTGTTTTCTTTGTCTGCTGCTCCACCCATGTATTCATCATTGCTCACTGTCTGTTTCCACCATGTGCAAGTAATGCTTAGGAGCCACATGTAATGAGAAACCTAAGACATCTTTATTTCTCCCATATTCAACGACTACTCCCATTATTATACTCAGTAAATTGTATTCAAAATGTTTTTGTGTAAGATACTACTTGATCTTCATTTACCAGATCCAATAGACTGACATAAAATGGAATTATGTTCCGTTACACCATCCAAGTTGTGCACTTCAATAAATAATTTGCGATCTGAATAGTAAATCAGTATACATTACCGAATAGCATACTCATTCTGCAGTAGATGGTCCAACTGGTAGTACGGCTTTGTCTCTAAACTCTTACCGTAGTTTGAGGTATTTACACTATGAAGATAGTTATTATTATTATTACTGCCTAAAAGACGTTTTTGGCTTTGGGAAACCTCACTAAACAAACGTCAAAGACAGTACAGCTCTTTGGGTCAGCAAAGTGGGTAGGCCAACCCACCGTACTTATGAAGTGATTATTATCATCTCTATTAAAGTAACCGTTGCTGGTTAGGATTTTCAGAATGGTATACTCATTATCAACCTAAGTAACTATATATTACTTTCAAGAGAACTAAACATATCTTAGCTTTTGAAAGTCAAACTGAAGCACAATTCCAGCCTGTGGTGCAACTATACAAGTGCCCCAACTACATTATACCATTATCCGTTGAGAATAACTAAATGTAGTCTTAAAGTTCAAAGATTTCTAGATGAAATTGAGTTTAACAAAGTGAAAGATTTTCATGCAGAATAGGTATTAGTAACTGTTGAGATTAAGAGAAAAACGAGAGAAAAGTTAGCATTTTATTTGCAGAAAATCCCGTTTGATGTTTTATTAGTTATGACATTTTCGAACGCATGGTTTTTGCGTTACGGGTTTGGGAGATAATGGGTAGCATGGAACAGGATAACCTCGCCTGGATAACTAGTTCACTAATAACTAGCCGGTCCTAAGCCCGGGTAAAGAGGGAAGGTTGGGCATAGGGCTAGCAACCCTACCCCGTAAAACAAATCTAACCGCTAAAGAAACTTCAAAGCACAAACAAAATATAAAAAATGAAAACAAAGTTATTCCCAGCTGGAATCGGAGAGGCGAAATGACGCCAGTTGGTGAAAGCCTTCGGGAAGCCAATTGGCCGATGTGTCTTCTCTCGATGAAAGCGAAAGTAAACGTGGGGACATGGAATGTCCGTACGATGTTTGAACCGAGTAAGGCAGCCCAGATTGCAAAGGAGATGAGAAGGTATCACATCGAAGTGCTTGGGATTTGCGAAAGCAGATGGAATGGAAGTGGACTCTCCAAACTGTCAACTGGAGAATCAATAATCTACTCCGGTCACCCAGACGACAGCCACGAGCACACTGAGTTATGGAGTGGCTATCATGATGTCCCTTGAAGAGCATCGAAGGCTCTCATGCAGTGGGAACCAATCTCCTCCAGGATCATGACAGCAAGATTCAACTCAAAAGGAAGGAAGGTCACAATCATACAATGCTACGCTATGCACCTACAAATAATGCAGAGCAAGAGAAAAAGGAGGATTTCTACAGACAGCTTCAATCAACACTGGACAAGACTGCAGTTGGCGATATCAAAATTCTAATGGGCGACATGAATGCCAAACTGGGAGGGGACAACACGGGAAGAGAACTAACCATGGGTCGAGAGGCACTAGGTGAAATGAATGAGAATGGAGAATTGTTTGCAGAATTCTGCGCATTCAACGATTTGGTGATTGGAGGCAGTGTGTTCAGGCACAAGGATATCCACAAAGCGACATGGATTTCACCAGATGGACACACTAAAAATCAAATCGACTTTATCTCAATCTCAAGAAAATGGAGACGCAGTCTACTTAACACAAGGTGAAGAAGAGGAGCAGATGTAGGTTCAGACCACTACCTAGTGCAAGGAACCTTCCAAATCAAGTTAAAAGCCTTCAAGGAAGCTGGTGACAGACCTCAATTCAAGTACAACACTCGGAAACTGAAGGATGAAACTACAAAGGAGATCTTCAAGGCAGCCATCAAGACAAAATGGGAGACATCGAGCAACATCCCTGAAGAAACCTGTGTGGAAGAACACTGGAAGTCTTTGAAAGAGATGTGGAAAGAAACCTGCACAACAGTATTAGGAAGGAAGAAGAAACAGACAAGACAAGGAATGGATCTCGACGGATACCTGGAAGCTGATAGAGGAGAGGAGGATGGTGAAGCAGAAGATAAACCAGTGCAAGGATGCTCAACGACAAGATGAACTGAGCACAATGTATAAAACACTGGACAAAGAAGTGAAGAAGAGTGCACGCAAAGACAAAAGACACTTCTACGAAACACTGGCAAGTGAAGCAGAACAGGCTGCAGGTTACAGAGACCTGACGACATTGTATCAAATAACCAGGTTGCTATCAGGGAAGAGATCAACACAGATGAAACCAATAAAAGATGAAGAAAGAAATTTAATTACGAAAGAAGAGAAACAAAGGAAACGATGGGCCGACCACTTCAAGAAGCTCTTGAATCGACCACCACCTGCACTTCGTCCACAAATACCACCTCCAGCCACACAACTACAAGTGAACATAAATCCTCCAACGAAAATGGAAGTCCTGAACGCTATAAAGCTACTGAAATGTGGGAAAGCAGCAGGACCAGATGGAATACCGCCAGAAGCACTGAGAACAGATGCAGAGACAACAGCAGACATGCTCACACCACTGTTGCAGAAGGTGTGGAAGGAAGAGAAGGTACCTTGCTAGTGATTGGAAGAAGGGTTACCTTGTCAAATTTTTTTTTTTTTTTTTTTTTTTTTTTTTTTTTTTTTTTTTTTTTTTTTTTTTTCTGTCCACCCCAAGTAAAATATTAAGCCGCATCATCCTGGAGAGGCTTAAAGATGCACTGGGTTCAAAACTGCGACCGGAACAGGCAGGCTTCAGGAAGTTCAAATCATGTGCTGACCAAATTGCAACGCTTCGCATTATCATAGAACAGAGCGTAGAATGGCAATCAGCTCTCTACCTCAACTTTATCGACTTTGAGAAGGCGTTTGACAGCGTCGACCGAGAAGTAATTTGGAAACTGCTTCAATACTACGGAGTACCGCAAACCGTTATCCGCCTCATCCAACAACTATATGAAGATGCCACATGCCAAGTAATCCACAATGGGAAGCTCAGTGATGCCTTTGAAGTGAAGACAGGAGTGAAACAAGGTTGCCTACTATCCCCCATGATATTCCTAATTGTGGTGGACTGGATCATGCAGCAAACAGTAGGCAGCGAGAAGAGGGGGATACGCTGGACGACGGAAAAGAACCTAGAAGACTTGGATTTCGCTGATGACTTATGCCTAATGTCACATAAACTTGAAGATCTGCAGGCAAAAACTGACAAGTTGGCAGAAGAGGCAGCGAAGACGGGACTTCAAGTGAATATAGAGAAGACAGAGGTGATGAAGATACCGCACCACCACCACCACCACCACCATCAACAACAACAACAAACTCCAGTCACCATGAACGGGAGAAACTTAAAGGAAGTAACCTCCTTCACTTATCTAGGAAGCACTGTTTCAACTACAGGCGGCACAGACGAGGACGTCAAAGTCAGAATCGGAAAAGCAAGACAGGCGTTCATTAGCCTGAGACCAGTGTGGAGATCTTCTGCACTCAGCATGCAGAACAAGATACGGATTTTCAACAACAACGTCAAGTCAGTGCTCCTGTATGGTTCAGAGACTTGGCGCGTCACGAAAGGCATTTCCAATAAACTACAGACATTCATCAACAACTGCTTACGCTGGCTCGCTACTGAAGATCAGATGACCAGAAAGAATAAGCAACAAGGAACTTTTCTGGGAACGAACCAACCAAGAACCTATCACCCAACAAATATGCAGGAAGAAGTGGAGATGGATTGGCCATGCACTGAGAAGGCCGACTGGGGACATCACGCGTCAGGCCAGGTACTCGAGTGGAATCGCTATGGGAAGCAACGAGTTGGACGTCCTTTTGAGGGTGACATGGAGGAGGTCGTGCGAAGAGGAAATGAGAGGTTGTGGGCTGTCGTGGGACCAGGTTCAAAAGATCTCAGAGAACAGGATGGAATGGAGACGTGCTACTGAAGCCCTATGTTCCATTAGGAACCCAAGGGACTAATAATAATAATAATAATAATGGAACAGGATTCATTTTCTGTACTTCATAGGTATTCCAGAACTTACTGACCAACTTAGTTAAACATTTTTTAAATGAGGCTAAGTTTTTTCCCCTCATTATTGATTCACAGGTCCCTTATGATGCCATCCAGTATATGACAGGTGAATGTAACTATGGTGGTCGTGTTACAGATGAACGAGACAGACGTTGTTTAATGACAATATTGAGTGACTTCTTGTGTCAAAACGTTGTCAGTGATCCACGATATAAGTTTTCTCCAAGCGGATTGTATTTCGCACCACCTAAGATGGAATACAATGAATATTTGGAATTTATTAAGGTAAGCCATGAGAAATGTATCTTATGAAAGGTTAACGAGAATATAATGGTTGATTGAAGACAACTTTATTTTCCCTTTATGACCCATTACGTTTAACTGTTAACGTGTCCTGGACTTCACTACTGTGGTAGTACTTATTCTCCAGTGCAACCGTTTTGACTATTGATGGCAGATTTAACTTGTTCAATGCCTCTACATTTTCCTGTTTCTGATTAATTTGATGACACCTCTTACGATGAAACAATATCTAAAGGACAATCATTGAAAATGAAGTAACATTTAGCAGTCCATTCACAGTATTGGACTCCTGAGAAGGGTGTATATATTTAAAAAAACATGTGACTGAGCTGTAACTTGTTTTCCATGAGGTTGTCGGTCTTGGGCTCAATCCTGTTTTGGTTTGTGGCTGTATAATCTTTAAGTTTCTGGAATGAAATAAAACAACCATTCAACTTGCTCTGGTTTTCGATGGTTCTAATTCCAGCAAGAACAGCTGGAGAAACTGAAACGGTTCTCCACAAACGTTCCAACTAACTAGTTCTAAGAATATTTTTGGATATAAAAAATGATCTCATGTTTTTTTCAAGTTGATACGAGACAAGGTTATTGTTGCTGTTTCACATCATTAGCAGAAACATCAGAAGTATATTACATAATAAACGAGTGAAAATCCTGTGGTCAAGCTGTTCAACTCAGCAGACGAAAACTACTGGCGATCTTAGTTTTGGCGCAAAACATGTGTATTCAGAGTGCTCGTAAGCTATCGATCGAACGAGTCGATACATCGTTGATTTCGATACATCTAGACGAGCATAAATGCAACTACAGTTGGGACGACGTGGTAACGCTTGTACATACGACCTCCAAAATGGCTAGAGGATTACTAGAAGCCAGCTGAGGCAGTGAATTAGCCATCAACAAGTATGAGAATATAGACTAAGCAGAGAAATTAGCAACAGGGGATCAATAAGGTGAAATTCGGTCAAGTAGGTTAACAATTGGACATAAGGTCGGTGAGGTCAGTTCAATGACCATTTTGGTAATATTCCACTCCCTTACTTTAGCATTACCTAGCAAAAGTAGTCATAAAAAATCTGCCCTACTCCCACTTCCCTTATTCTCTGTGCAGGCTAATATCCTACTTAGGGATTCATTGAAATTAAAAATACTTTACGTTTTAGGAAGAACGTGCTGATAAGATCACTTAAGCTTGTGATGAATCAATGAAGAATAAAAATTGAAGCTCGAGGAACACCTAGTAGTTATCATTCTTGGAATCGGAAGACGCACAGTTGAGAATACGGCTTTTATTTAGATCCCCTAAGGGTTTACTTGAATTTATGTCCTATTAGTTTCATGAAAGATATTAAACCAATCATGCTGCATTTTGAAATCTGTGATAACAAGATAGTGAAATATGCTACCAGTAAAATTCAAAATTACCTGTGGTAACAACTGCCTTGAAATCAACTAATCAGTACAGACCAGCGGCTGAATAATATTAATGAAACTAACAACTTTATCAGTAATTTGCTCGGTTGTGACTACCAGAGGAATCCAGGGACGCACGTTTCGTCCTATCTGGGACTCGTCATATGGGTGTGCCAGCATCCCACTGAGTGATGTTGTTCCCACAATGATTCGAACCTCGTACTCATTGCTTGAAACGACAGGGCGTTATCCAGCAGGCCACGGTGGCACAATAGCCACCACTTGTGCAACGGGTATTAGTCAATATTATTTACTAATATGCTTGTAATTCTCCGTTGTTTTACTGGATCAAATTGTTCGATCTTTATTGGTATATGTGCTCCAATGTAGATGCGAAGGTCGAACAATTTGATCCAGTAAAACAACGGAGAATTACAAGCATATTAGTAAATAATATTGACTAATACCCGTTGCACAAGTGGTGGCTATTGTGCCACCGTGGCCTGCTGGATAACGCCCTGTCGTTTCAAGCAATGAGTACGAGGTTCGAATCATTGTGGGAACAACATCACTCAGTGGGATGCTGGCACACCCATATGACGAGTCCCAGATAGGACGAAACATGCGTCATAGATTCCTCTGCTATCCCCAGCCAAGCAAAATGACACAATTAATATTCCGGCAATATCGAGGCATCCGCATAGGAGCCCATATGTCAATAGAGGTCGAACAATTTGATCCAGTAAAACAACAGAGAATTACAAGCATATCAATAAATAGTAATTTTGCCAGTGGTAACAGCCATAGTGGAAACACTATCGTAGTGCAGACATTTCAACAATCTGTGTAAGTCAAAGCTTACAAAAATGAACGCTGTATAACACTAAAGAGTGAAATAAATCGATAATCTGGGTAAAACGAAAATTATTGGAGATGTATCTTTCGTTCCCTGTCATAAATTAGACCGAACTGATCTACTACCATTGGCAAACTGACCCCTGTGTGGATGCCTCGGCAATGTCGCTTGAAATGGTAGGTCTGTTTGAATCTTTCATACCCAAAGTTTTATTTCCAGTGCGTCAAGAAAAATGTTTAGTTTATTGGGGTCTGTTATTCCATATTTAGCTAAATTCCTATGTTCAGCTATTCTAACTGACCTTGACCGGCTAGTTTGATCTATGTACTTGACGTCACAGTCAAGATAAGATTATTTTGTTCAACTGGATCCTTTGTATCCTTTAGCCAACATAGCTTATCTCTGAGTGAGTTTTTAGGTTTAAGTGTCACCCTAATACCAGCCTTATTGGAAATTCAACATAACGTTTCTGATGTTCCTTCATTATATGGTAACACCAGTTAGTGTAGGGACATTTAAACAAAACTAAAGTGAAATTGCAACCTACCACAGTACCCAAGTTTTACACATATGAATCAAACGTGATGCTCCGTAACGTTGTTTTAGTAAAATTTGCAACAAAAGTTTGAACAATTGTTGATGACATTACAAATACCAGTAGCACGTTCACACACTAGTCAATGAGCGATACCTTTTGTTTTGGGACTAACGACGCTACCTCACTCCTCAAACTTCATTCGGAAGAACAGGGTTCGGAACCGTTACCTGTTGGTTTGAAATCCAATGCCTAGATCAGTGAACCAAGGCTTCACTTGTTAGCGAAAAAAGGGAGAATAAAATTTCATATGCAGTAAACCTTTGTGTAGTATCTTGTTATTATTATTATTATCCTACATAAACTTGATGTACTTTTTCAGAGTTTGCCAGCAACTCAAAATCCTGAAGTATTTGGAATGCATGAAAATGTTGACATCACAAGAGAGTTGAGTGAAACACGTACACTATGTGATTCGGTTCTTTTGACTGTTGGTCAGATAGCTTCTGAAGGTGGTGGATTTTCCGATTCACGAATCGATGATATAGCCTGTGATATATTGGGCAAACTACCAGAAGCCTTTGACATAACTCAGGCATATAAAAAGTATCCTGTCAAGTATGAGGAAAGTATGAATACTGTACTTGTGCAAGAAATGGAACGTTTTAACAAGTAAGCGATAACAAAGCATGGGATGCAAAATATGGTTTGTGTTGAATATTCTTCTTATAAGTCTACCATTTGAATTCCCCCAAAAGAGTATTTACTTCAAGAGTTAACTGTAGTGTGTCTCATGAAATCAGTATTATACAAGATGAGATGGTAAATTCTCTAGTAGGAATTATAACGATGAATTCGATTACATGAATATACAGCTTCCATAACGTGACTGTAACCTCGTCTAGGTAACAAGTCCACTAGTAACTAGCCAGTCCTAAGCACGGGTAGAGAGGGAAGGTAGGGCATAGGGCTAGTAACCCTACTCCATAAAACTAATCCAATCGCTCAAGAAAGTTCAAAGCGCAAAGAAAATATAAAACATAAAATTAAACTTATTCCTCGCTGGAGTCGGGGAGACGAAGTGCCTCCAGCTGATCAAAGGCTTCGAGAAGCCAGTTGGCCGATGTGTCTTCTCTCTCTCCCGATGGCAGCGAAACTAAGAATAAAGACATGAAATGTCCCCACGATGCTCAAAGCTGGCTGGCAAGGCTCCCCAGATTGCAAAAAAGATGAGAAGGTATGGTATGGAAGTGCTTGGAATCTGCGAGAAATCAGCAGATATAATGGAAGCGGACTCTCCAAACTCTCAATTGGAGAGTCTATAATCTACCCCGATATTGTCACCCAGACAACCATCACGACCATATTGAGTGTTGGAGTGGCTATCATGATATACCCGACAGCATCTAAGGCTCTCATACAGTGGGAACCAATCTCCTCCAGGTTCATGACAGCAAGATGGATTCAACTCAAAAGGAAGGAAGGTCACAATCATAAAATGCTACGCTGTGCACCTAGAAATAATTAGGCAGATCAGGAGAGGAAGGAGGAATTCTACAGACAATGCAATCAACACTGGACAAGACCCCACCCCAGTTGGTGATATTAAAATTGTAATGGGCGACATGAATGCCAAACTGGGAAGAGACAAAACAGGAAGAGAACTAACCATGGGTTGAGAAGCACTTGGTGAAATGAACGAGAATGGAGAATTGTTTGCAGAATTCTGAGCATTCAACGATTTGATGATTGGAGGCACTGTGTTCAAGCACTAGGATATCCACAAAGTGACATGGATTTCACCAGACACCAGGACACACTACACTAAAAATCAGATCGACTTCATCTCAATCTCAAGAAAGTGTAGACTCAGCCTACTTGACACAAGATCAAGAAGAGGAGCAGATATGGGTTAACACCACTCACTATCTAGTACAAGGAACCCTCCAAATCCAGTTGAAAGCCTTCAAAGATGTTGGTGAGATAGATCGCAGTTCAAGTTCAAAACCCACCCAGATACTGAACTGAAGGACGAAATTACAAGTGAGATCTTCACGTCAGACATCAGAACAAAGTGGGAGACATTGAGCAGCATCCACGAAAGGGTCTGCGACGAAAAACACTTGAACACTTTAAAAGCTGTGTAGAAGGAAACCTGCATAACCGTATTTGGAAGGAAGAGGAAACAAGACAAAGAATGGATCTTGACGGACACATGGAAGCAAATAGAGATAGTGAAGCAGAAGATGAACCAGTGCAGTGCAGTAAAGTACAGTGCGGGGATGAACAACGAAACGAGGAACTGAACACAACCTATAAAACACTACACTGGACAAAGAAGTGAAGAAGAGTGCGCGCAAAGACAAAAGACACATCTGCCACACACTGGCAAGTGAAGCAGAACAGGCTGCCGGCTGCAAGAGAGGCCTAAGAACACTATATCAAATAACCAAAACACTATCTGGGAAGAGATAAACATAAATGAGACCAGTGAAAGATAGTGAAGGAAGCGTAGTTAGCAAAGAGGAGAAACAATGGTCTGACCATTTAGAAACATTCTCCAATCGACCATCACCACCACCTGCAACTCGTCCAGAAATTACACCAGCATCTCAGCCACAGAATTACCAGTAAACACAGGCCCTCCAACAAAAGTCGAAGTCCTGAATGCCATAAAACTGCTGAAATCCAGGAAAGCAGCAGGACCAGATGGAATCCCGTCAGGAGCAATGAAAACAGGTGCAGGGACCACGCCGGACATGCTCAGGCCACTACTGCAGAAGGTTTACAAGGAAGGAAAGGTACCTGACGGTTGATTGGAAGAAGGGCTACCTTGTCAGACTTCCAAAGAAGGGAGACTCAAGTCTTTTCATGAACTGGCATAGAATCATGCTGCTGTCCACTCCAAGCAAAATTTTAAGCCGCATCATCCTGGACAGACTAAAAGGTGTGCTGTATTCAAAATTACGACCTGAACAGGCTGACATTAGGAAGAACAAATCATGTGAGAATCAAATTGCAACGCTACGCTACTCATAATCGTAGGACAGAGCATAGAATGGCAGTCAACTCTCTACCTCAACTTCATCGATTTTGAAAAGGCCTTCGAGAGCGTCGATCGAGAAGTAATTTGGCTGGCAGCTGTTTCAACACTACCCTTTTAGTGCCACAAACTTTTATCAACCTCATCCAACAGCTTTATGACGACACCAAATACCGAGTGATTCAAAATGGAAAGCTCAGTGACACCTTTGAAGTGAAGACAGGAAGGAGTAAGACAAGACTGCCTACTATCACCCATGATCTTCCTGATAGTGGTCGACTAGATCATGCAGCAAACCGTGAGGCGCGAGAAGAAGGGCATACGTTGGCAGGACCGATGAAAAGTCCCCAGAAGAAGATCTGGATTTCACCAAGGGTGATGATTTATGTCTAATATCTTGTGGCACCAAGTCGAAGATCTGCAGGCGAAAACCAACAAGGTGACAGAAGAGGCAGCGTAGGAAGTCGGGACTTCCTTCAGGTGAAGGTAGAGAAGGCAGAGGTGATGAAGATTGTTAACCAACGCCACCACCGCCACCAACAACAACCTCCAATCACCATCAACGGGAGAAACCTATAAGAAGTAGTCTCTTCCACCTATCTTGGCAAGGCAACATCCTCTCAACTACAGGTGGCGGCACAGACGAGGATGTCAAAACCAGGATCGGAAAAGCAAGACAGGCCTTCACTAGTCTGAAATCAGTGTGGAGATCTTCTGCACTCAGCATAAAGCGTGAACAAGATCCGGATTTTCAACACCAACGTGAGTGAAGTCAGTGCTTCTGTATGGTTGAGAGACTTGGCGCGTCACGAAAAGCACTTCCAATAAATTGCAGACATTCATCAACAGCTGCCGCCTACGCTCACTCGATACCGAGGATCAATCAGATGGCCAGAATAATAAGAATAAGCATGGAAGAACTCTAGCTGGCTGGCTGGCTGGCAACGAACCAACCAAGAACCCATCGCCCAACAAATATGCAAAAGAAAGTGGGGATGGATTCTACATACACTGAGAAGAAAGTGTGGAGACATTACGCGCCAGGCCAGATACTCGAGTGGAACCCAAATGGGAAACGATGAGTTGGGCGTCCGAGAAGAGAAAAAATTTCAAGTCAGATAACTATGCAAAGTGAATTAAACAGAATACTATTAACTTAACCATGCTATTTTAATCGTTTTCGTTAACTTGGAAAACGGTGATTGAGGTACTTGATGAGGTCCGCAGATTATTTTAAATTCGCCTGCATAAATATGTTGATACAGCCAGTGTGCATTAGTTATCTGATCACATACATGCTTTGTTCTAAGACAAGTTAGACTTTAATTAGCTTATGCTTAGAGAGAAATCAAACTACTCAAATATTTGGATCACATCAGACTAACAGTTTGTCAGGAAATGAGGGAATTACATTGTTCGCATATGCATTTCCCACTGGTCAAAGCTTTCTTTTATCACGTAAATAGAATATTAACAAGACCGTAACGACAGGAAACTAGTTGAATGCGATCACACAAATACCACGGATGAATAGGATTTACCACTACTAAGCTTTACTACTTGTTAATACTTTCCAAATTTGAAAACGGTAATAGCAAAATTTGAGAAAAACAGCATAGTACTATTTAATACCAATGCTAGATGGTAGCAAACGGTAGGGGTCATTACGCATGTGTCATCTTATTTGGGACTTATTATTTTCATATGATGTCGTCCCTGTTGATTATTATCATTATTATTATTAGTCCCTTGGGTTCCTAATGGAACATAGGGCTTCAGTAGCACGTCTCCAGTGAACTCTCTTCTCTGAAATCTTTTCAACCTGGCTCCACGACAGCCAACAACTTCTCATTTCCTCCTCACACGATCTCCTCCATGTCACCCTCGCCTCGGACGCCCAACTCGTCGCTTCCTATGGGGGTTCCACTCGAGGGCCCGACGCATGATGTCAGCAGTCGGCCTTCTGAGTGTATGCCCAATCCATCTCCACTTCCTTCTGCATATTTGTTGGGTGACATGTTCTTGGTTGGTTCATTCCCAGAGCTCCTGGCCATCTGATCTTCAGTAGCGAGCGTAAGCAGTTGTTGATGAAGTCCCTGTTGATACTTGAATCTAACACCCATCGCTTCGAACGCCAGTGTATTATACACTAGGCTACTAAACTGTAAAAACAACTGTTAGTATGACAGTACAGTTTTTAGTTTATAGTTGTTGTTTGAAGATAACTGACTGGCAATTATTGGTTTATGGACTATTGTATGGGTGCTGCGATACTGTCGACATAATTTTACTTCGCTGGCTTTCTATCAGTCATCTACAGCTAAAATACGAAATGTAAAGTGAGTAACAGGAATGTAACGCACCTATATTTCACCAAGAATATATTCTATCAGTAGTTAAAAGATGCCAATAGATTTCAACACACTGTAGAAAGATAGAGAAAACCAACGTAGAACCTCGCACACAAGTGTATTGGCTACGCTTTGAAGTTACAGGCAAAGAACAACTGGAAGTAAAAAGACTGACATCAAAGTAGACAGAGGTGTGCGAGCGGAGAAGAAATTAAAGAATGTAGGTTGGTGACAGTATTCAAGCTATAGAACACATCTAAGAGTGAATAAATCTGCGTCATTATGACTCATTTTAAACCACTTCACGAAGAGTCGTCGACAACTGGCTCTTAAGGTCTCGGAGCCTTATCCAGGCAGTTTAAACAACCCTTCATGAAGCTGTAATATAAAGGGGTCTTCGGATACTAGAAATCAGTTTTAAATGGCTTTGATTGTCAGTAGTAGCGCAAAGTGAGAGGTTGAGAAAGTTTTAAGAGGTGTAATGTTGGTATTAGGAGTTAAATACATGAGAAGCTGAGTTGAAGAGGATAAATTATGTTTGGTTGGGTCTTGTTTATTATAAGAAAGCGTGGGGCGGTTGACATTTACCGTTTGCCATACGTGTTGTTTCTGCAGGCTACCTGAAGGAAAAAAAGATTTGTGTAACCTTACAGCTCATGAGATATCTGTTTGAATTCTGTCACGTACAGTCATTTGAGGGTTGTTGGTTTGAGATCTGGTTGTTCTTACTCCGTGGAAAGGAGATTTACACCGCTGGCAACGGAAGACCGCGGTGCAAGGAGGAATATGGTATCTTTAGGACTGGCTTTTGTAATACACCACACCAGGAAGGCAGGATCAGCAAGATGTTGCTGGTCACCCAACTGAAACATCTTCCTGCTGTCAGACTATCCAGTCAGTAGTACAACTTCACCCTGAAGCCCCATCAAAGCTTAGCAATTTAATCTACAACGGTAACTGTTTTTGTTTTGCCACTATCCAATAGACCTTTTTGGTAACAGGGATTCCAGCTAGTTCAGCTTGTTTGGGTCATTGTGAAATGGAAGCTGTAGCACCATGTCAAGGTAGCAGCTATTGGTTAGAACAGAAACCCCAATGACAAAATTCAAAGAAGCTTGAGAAAACTTGTGAAAATATCATGACTGCATACAATACGCCATTGGAGATTGTTGGAAATTGAACAGGGGGACACAAAAAATGTCTTGAAATAGAGTTTGTATGTTCAGAATAAGACATGAAAGTAAAGTGCTTTTTCCCATGAAATCTCTACAGATGGTACTGCAACATACGAAAACTCACCTATATATAGAACAGTTATTTAATCATGTCAACTGTTGGTGACGTGGTGAAATATGCAATTAGCAACTCTTAAGAGATTAGTAATAATAATAACAGGGTTACTGATGATGCCAATATTTATCCTGGTGATGATGCGAATACTGAAACTCAGCATGGTAGTGCAGATATTTCAACAACTATTGCCAATCAAAACTTGGAAAAGTCAAGGCATGCATGATTACGTAAGTCAACGTTTGCACAGTTACCAAATGAGATGTGCGGGATTGATTTAATCATCAAATGATATCGTGTTATTCTGTTCAAATACATGTCTTGACGTTTGTTTTATGAAAGTGAAATGTGAATATTGAAACCTGAGTTACTCATTCAGTCTTCCATCTACAGGTTTGCTGAAGTCAGCTAATTAAATTTCAACAGTTGAGGATAGATCAGATTTGATAATTATCAGATTTTAGCTTAAACTATAGAAATGACAGTTTGGAGAGTCCACTCCCATTCCATCTGCTTTCGCAAATCCCAAGCACTTCGATGTTATACCTTCTCATCTCCTTTGCAATCTGGGCTGCCTTACTGGGTTCAAACATGGTACGGACATTCCATGTCCCCACGTTTACTTTCGCTTTCATCGAGAGAAGACACATCGGCCAATTGGCTTCCCGAAGGCTTTCACCAACTGGCGTCATTTCGCCTCTCCGATTCCAGCTGGGAATAAGTTTGTTTTCATTTTTTATATTTTGTTTGTGCTTTGAAGTTTCATTCAACAACTATATGAAGATGCCACATGCCAAGTAATCCACAATGGGAAGCTCAGTGATGCCTTTGAAGTGAAGACAGGAGTGAAACAAGGTTGCCTACTATCCCCCATGATATTCCTAATTGTGGTGGACTGGATCATGCAGCAAACAGTAGGCAGCGAGAAGAGGGGGATACGCTGGCTGGACGACGGAAAAGAACCTAGAAGACTTGGATTTCGCTGATGACTTATGCCTAATGTCACATAAACTTGAAGATCTGCAGGCAAAAACTGACAAGTTGGCAGAAGAGGCAGCGAAGACGGGACTTCAAGTGAATATAGAGAAGACAGAGGTGATGAAGATACCGCACCACCACCACCACCACCACCATCAACAACAACAACAAACTCCAGTCACCATGAACGGGAGAAACTTAAAGGAAGTAACCTCCTTCACTTATCTAGGAAGCACTGTTTCAACTACAGGCGGCGGCACAGACGAGGACGTCAAAGTCAGAATCGGAAAAGCAAGACAGGCGTTCATTAGCCTGAGACCAGTGTGGAGATCTTCTGCACTCAGCATGCAGAACAAGATACGGATTTTCAACAACAACGTCAAGTCAGTGCTCCTGTATGGTTCAGAGACTTGGCGCGTCACGAAAGGCATTTCCAATAAACTACAGACATTCATCAACAACTGCTTACGCTGGCTCGCTACTGAAGATCAGATGACCAGAAAGAATAAGCAACAAGGAACTCTGGGAACGAACCAACCAAGAACCTATCACCCAACAAATATGCAGGAAGAAGTGGAGATGGATTGGGCATACACTGAGAAGGCCGACGGAGGACATCACGCGTCAGGCCCTCGAGTGGAATCCCCATGGGAAGCAACGAGTTGGACGTCCGAGGGTGACATGGAGGAGGTCATGCGAGGAGGAAATGAGAGCTTCTGGGCTGTCGTGGAACCAGGTTCAAAAGATCTCAGAGAACAGAGGTCACTGGAGGCGTGCTACTGAAGCCCTATGTTCCACTAGGAACCCAAGGGACTAATAATAATAATAATAAATTGAAATGACAATCTGATGCAAAAACAATTGTGCCAATTTTTTAATTTGAGAAAATCAACTGATTTATGCATATTGACTATTTGGTTGTATGGTGCGAATGCAAAATGAATTTATTCTCCTTTCTGTTATGTGGATACTAGAGTTATTCATGTCCTCACTACCTGTACTTGCGAACCTAGTATGTTTATCTGAGGTATCCTTATTTAATATAAGTTATTATGCTACTGATGAGTCTCATTTTAAGGCTTAAGAGCTGTCTAGTGTCCCCAGGTCCTCAATAGCTCTCCAACTGGTAGTGGTCAGAAATGAATACCAACCTGAGATGTTTTTATACAACGAATGGTCACTGAAAAGTCACTAATGCCATGTTGTTTAGTCCTAAGCCCTAATAAAATTCTATCGACCATTTTGTAATGTGATCAATAAGCTAGAGTACCTAGTATTATGATGTACTTTGGTTGGTTACCATTACTTTTGATAAAAATTCCTAATTGAAATGTTATTAAGTTTATTGTAGTATAATTGAATCAAAATGAATTATAAATTTAGTCAGAAAAACTCTAATTAGTGATTATTTTAAATTTTGAAGCTTAACAAATATTATCAAGTCAACATTGAGTGATTTACGCAAAGCAATTAAAGGTCTTGCAATAATGTCTGAAAGTTTGGAATCGTTAACTGCAGCTCTGTCGATTGGCAAATTACCCACCTTATGGGCACGTCGATCATATCCAAGTTTAAAACCTCTGGGTTCTTATATCAATGATCTTTTAGAAAGATTGAAATTCTTTCACGTAAGCTTACTTAGGCACTGTGGTTTAATGCAGAAAGAATACATTTCGTGTAAAAACTAATTTGTCGATACTTTTTTAGCCAGTTAGAATGTTTTAATGCCGTTACTCATATTATACCATTGTTGGTTGGACCGAATTGATCGGTCTCTATTCACATATAGGCTCCTGCGTGGACACTTCAGTATTGATTGTGTTGCAATGAGCCACCTTGTCACGATGATGCTCTAGCGTTTGAAGCTATCAGTCCAGGGTCCCAGTCTTATTGGGAACGACGTCACTCACTGGAAGCCTGGTACATCCAGCTGACAAGTCCTAAGTAGGAAAAAACGTCCATTCTAGATATTACTGCTAGCCATTATCCATCATTAAATAAGGTTAGAATGTTTTTATTTTCGAAAGTTCCACATAATTTCTTTCAAGTTTGTTGTAAATATTATGAAAATGGGTAGAGTAATTGAAGGTCAAAGGTTGTCTAAAAGGCGTGATATATTCGCGTAACGCATACTGAACAATCTGATAATGTATTTACTCATCAAAGTATTTTTATGAAAAAAGAAAAAAGATTGAGAATGTATGCAAAGCAAGTACACTTTATTTCTCAGATAAACATTTCATTGAGATTTTAGCGCTTAAAAAATGAAGCCTACCATCTTTTAGCCTATGGTTACTAAATGTCAGCTGGTTCCAGGCAATCGGTAGGAAGCCCTTTTCAACCTTAGTCCGACTAGTCCTCTGTGGGTCCTCTGTATCGATCAATTTGGATATATTCATGAACCAATTAGGAAACTGTGTGATTGATTGAATAACAACTAATTTATCCCAAGAAATTTTAAAACTAACAGAGAACGGACAGTTTCGACTACAAACTTACTATCATACATCAGGTATTCGGCGTTTTCATTTGGTAATATTGAAAGAAAGATAATTTTGTGTTCATTTGTTGCTTTTATCAATTATTTTCTAACAACTGAAATGAAGATAGATTTTATGGAAGAAAAAGTCATATTTTTATGCATTTTAGTTGAAGTGTGAAGTCACTTTTTTCGTAATGCTGACTAGTATTTGAAAATACTTTCTGTCTGACAAACTTTGAAGTAAAACCAACTACTGGAAAAGAGATTTTATCCAGTTGGTCTGCATGATCAATTTAGTGTAATAACATGACGATTATCTGAAACTTGCAATTTAATGTTGCTATACATTTTGAATAATATAATCACATTACTTATATAATAATTGGAAAAGGATAATTGATTCAGTAAAAATATGAATCAAGAAATGATCATATGGGTCGAAAAATAAACGAAATAAACTTAATTAAAGCACCTTTAGTATGAAAATCGACATCAATGCTACTAAGGTGGGTTCAAAGTGAGTACATATCGTTTTTCGACTCATAAATGTAAATTACCGAACGACTAGGACTCAAAAAAAATTTAAACACTCATTCCTACAATACATCAAAACCTGTTTTATGTCAACACAATGAATAGTTTCTGGTATCTTTGGCAGAAAGTGAAAATGATATTTATTACCTACATATTTATTAAGTTATTTATGCAGCCACTTAAGTGTGTCACAATTTAAACATAATCCACCGTAATACTTTTATCCGATCGTCCACACCTAACTTGATTATGATCAGACAAATTCACACGAAGCATCAGACCAGCTAACGCTATTGATATACATAAAAATACACTAGCAGACAAATACAAAATCCATTACTAAATGTGCATTGTGATAGATAATAAGCTGATCCGCCTCCAGACGTGGTTGCAGGATTTCTCGTACAAGCAAAATGCACTTAATATGTCAATATTCAAAGCAATACGTAGTTTAGGTATATAGGACTGGCAGAGTTAAACAATACTGTCGAAAAGAGCATTTTTCACCATAAATATCAAACCACATGACTAGGTCAAATGTACTAAACATAAATAAGAATCTAGCCTCATATATTTATTGAGGTCTAGTTACAAAATTAATACTAATGGCTGTTTTTAAATTGTCTCATGTAGCTTCAATCCAAAGCTGTTTAAGGTGGCAGAATTTAGTGGAAGGAATAAGTGGATGTGACCTTTTCTTCTGAACAATGGACTACTTGGCCTATTATAATGACTACTTACTAATGGTGACAAATGATTAACGTCTTTAAAAGTCACGCAGACAACTAACAAAGTAACTGAATAGAGTTCTGGATTTTACAAAGTCACCTTTTCAGGCGAATCTTAATAGATTATTTCAGTCATTGCTAAAATGACCTTTAAAGACACTCCGAATAATTGATTATCACTGTAAATCATGTTAGTTGTTACGTTGCTGCAGAGAAACTATGGGACGATACCATCTTGCAACACTTGTCTTCTTAGTGCCTTTTTTTTATTTATAGACGAAGCACACTGTTTTTGAAATGGAAGGAAGAAAACTATGTTTCCCTGTCCTGGCCATGAAAAGACAATTATTGTTTATGCCTATAGTTGTTTTAAATATTACCAGCACTTTTGTTCATTAATATTGTTCACGCAGACATGTAATTCGATGAATACTGTGGGATATGATACGATGGTTTGAATCTAGTATTGAAGCAATTACTGTATTTTCTCTACAGTTATGATATCTGCTGAATACTATAGCTTACTGACTACTGATATAAGCCGCTGTTCCTTATTAGAGAGAGGTATTTGAATCAACTCTAACTGGTAATTAGATGTTCACAAGTGCCAATGCTACACAACTTTGACACCTTTAGATAAATTTAAGGCGTTACCCATTTTGTATCAGTTACTACCTACAGTTCGGGTTTCTTATTGTGATCTGTGGAGATGCAACCTGTTCTTTAAATTAGCACTTAAATAAACTGCGATTTTATTTCAGTGAGTAGCAGCTGTGTCAACTAAGACATTGTCTAATCTAACTCAATTTCTTGCGGATTGTTCTTCTGTCCAGTATACCCTCCCGTCGATTAAACTTTTGGCAGTTAGCTGTTAATTCCCTCTGCAAAAGTTAATCTTCTGTGTTTTAGAGCCTTATTCATGTTTACCAGTATACCCATCGCATCATTGAGCTTATAGCATACAACAGTTTTATGGCTAATGTATTTCTTGTGGTGTAAAGCAATCCAAACAAAATGGTTAAGCACATTTTCGACGTATAACGTGTACCACTCTGGTAATACAAGTACATAAAAGCTACCTATGGCAACATTTTCACTTTGTTGCAAGTATTCATTCTTGACTGTTAATTTAACTTTGTAAATGCTTAATGCTAATGAAATCTTAAGAAAAGTGAGTGCGATAGAAAAGGAAAGATCATTTGAAGATACGCAGTCACAAATGATGTTAAATACCTTTATTACTCACATATGAGTGAAATTTAATTTTGTTTGTGTCCGGATATCCCAGGCAATTTAATGAAGGGTTTAATCAATAAGTGTTTCATTTTTGACGAATTCATTTTTATTTAAAACTAACTTTTCGAAAGCCACGGGAAAATGGTAAAATGATGTCCTGCAAATATATTGGCAAACGGTCTATTAGGTACACTAGAAACCGACACGCTCCTTTGCACTAAGTTAATGATGTAGCATAATTCGTTCCCTAAGTCCTTGTCGAGAAACCAGAGTTCATAATCTTAACTTATTCTTTTCTTTGTAAGAAATAATGAATCACATATGTTTGAGGTTCAATTTACAAAATTCATGGTTCATTACAGTATATTTTACTGTTACCACATTCAGCGGATTTCAATCTCACTGTACTACCGTACAACTTAATTTACCTAGAATAAATACTAAGATGAGATGGCCAAATTTCTTTATTTCTCTGCCTATGGTAGTCTTAAGATCTAACATGTCTTCATCTAACAGCCAGAAAGGATTTGACTACACATCAATCAAAGTAAAGGAGACTTCCGGAAGTTCTAATGTGACGTCTCGACCGTTGAGGCAAACTAAGTGAGAAATGTGGATAAATGCTCAACAGTGGCATTGGATGAAGGTTACACTGTGTCAAGAATTGATAGAAGTTGGAAAATGAATTCCAACACAGTTGCTTAATGGCAACATACTCGTCGTGGGTCCTGAAGGTTTTGGGCTTGATCCCTGGCAATGTCGTAGTTGCATAGCGCTGAGAAGTCTCATATTAGTGAGAAACAGCTGTTCAATGATTCTAGGTTCGTAATGATTTTTCACCTGATTTCAGTCTATGATAAGCGCTAAGTTAGAATTTAAAGAATGTCGAGAATTTCAACCTTTGATAAAAAAAAGATTAATTTGAGCTATTTTCTTGTTTCACTTCCTGACTTGTAGCTACTCGCTTTTTCTTCTGTCTGCTTATACATTTTAGAACTGGTTTGTTGATGATAAGCCTGCTACTTACTGGGTTTCTGGATTCTTTTTCACTCAAGCCTTTTTGACAGGAGTTCTGCAGAACTACGCACGTCGTACAAAAATACCAATTGATTTATTAGTCTTCGATTTCGAGGTAAGTTAGGTGGTGGTTAAAAGGCAGATAATTTTGTTGTAAACATGATTACTAGATAAAAAGTTCAAATCAACTCATCTCTACGTTTTCTAATTCTACTTGCATTACAGTTTAGGTAAAATGTAACAGAATGAAAATTTGAAAACTGTGAACTATCTTTCAGTTTCATGTTCTTCATCTCACAAGTGATGGGGTAAAGGTAGTAGTTATATAAGTCCTATATTCTCACGATATCGCGTAATAATAGTGATAATTTCATTCTTCTATAGTTTGGATGAAAGCTCGCTGTCAAACGGCATGTTATGCTGTTGATAGATGTGTCTCGTCTGTCAGACAACTGGTTCACGGTATAAAGTAATAACCAGACTTTTGGTTTACGCATCGCGTCGTATTCTATGAAAAAGCTGTCTAACTTTCTTCAGTGTTACCCAGACCGTTGCACATCACGCTTTATATGATTTTATTTGTTGAATGCGCTACATAATGTTACTGAAACTAATTTAATTGAGGACGGGTAAGAGTGAGCTTGAAGAATGACCTTCAGCTCCACTTTTAATGTTCTTTTGTCCCCTAAAAACCGAAGAAACCGTGAAAAGGCTGAAAATATATTGCACTATTTACCTTATTACTCCGAAAATTTAGATTGGTTGTGAAGGTTTTCTGAGATTTAGGTTTTATTGAAACTACCTGGATAGTAATGATTTCCATTCCCAACAGAAACAATACCACCAACATTTGTGGAAAAACAATTCCTGGAAGTTGTTTTATGTTTCACTTAAAACTCTTAGACGCTTGATTTACAATTTGAGTCACAAACAGTACAGAAGATCGATGAAAAGACTCTAGAAGATTTACATTTTGCCGGTGATGATTTATGTCTAATATCTTGTAGCACGAACTGGAAGATCTATAGGCGGAAACTAACAAGTTGGCAGAAGTGGCAGCAAAGGAAGACAGGACTTCCTTCAGGTGAACGTAGAGAAGATAGATGTAACGCAGATACCTAACCAACAACAACAAGAGCCAATTACTATCAACAGGGGAAATCTACAGTAAGTAGCCTCTTTCACCTACGTTGGTAGCATCATTTCAACTACATGTGGTGGCACAGATGAGGATGTCAAAGTAACCAGGATCGGAAAGGCATGACAGGCATTCATTAACCTGAAATTAGTGCGAAGATCTACCACACTGCACTGCACTCAGCATAAAGCGTGAACAACATCTGGATTTTCAACACTAATTCAGTCACGTCAGTGCTTCTATGTAGTGTTTGAAAGACTTGGGGCGTCACGAAAGACATTTCCAACAAACCAAAGACATTCATCATTAGCTACTTATGGTCAATAATGAAGATCACATAGCCAGAAAGAATAAACAACAAGGAACTCTGAGGACGAACCAACGAAGAACCTATCACCCAATAAATATGCAGAAGAAAGTGAAGATAGGTTCTACATACTTGGAGAAGACGGTGTGGGGACATCACGCACCAGGCCAGATACTCGAGTGGAACCCTCATGGGAATCGACGAGTTGGGCGTCCGAGTCCAGGGTGATACTGAGGAGGTGTTTTGAGGAAGAAATGAAAGGTTGCGGGAAGCCATGGAGCCAAGTTGAAAAGACTGCAGATAAAGGAGTGAAATGGAGATGTGCTACTGAAGCCCTATGTTCGGACAAATAATAATAATTGAAACAGTTGTTTTGAATAGCCCTGAAGTGATACACTGCTTTGAGATAAGTTAATGCTCTACTGTTTTGTAAATAATAACTTTTTAAAGGCTTCCGTTGTAGTGTCTTCGTTTGTTTTTGTTTTTTCTTATTCCTAGGTACTTGCTACGCACAAAGAAACCAAACCTCCTTCTGATGGTGCTTATATTCACGGCTTATTCTTGGATGGAAGTCGTTGGGACTACGAAAGGTAGTTTTAATATTATTAATCAGTTCATGAAATACTTCATTTTAATTAACCTTCATATATCCTACACACATAACTGAGAAGTGATTGAAAGTTTCACTCCGGATGCATGTCAGTATTTTGATGATATTTTATATTGAGATCACTGAATCTTTGTACATGGTGTTTATATATGTATTGAAATAAGATGCCTATTACCCTATATGATTATACAATATACTTACCCTAAAGATGTTTCAATAAATGAGTTCCACAACTACTTTCAGGAAGGAATGTTCTGTCTGATAAGCAGTGACACAACTCCATCTTCTGCACTAACGCAGAAAAGTGAACATATTACCTGGAATTTTGGTACTGTATGACATAATTCCTAATCCAGTAGGACGACAGGGGTTAAAGCATAGCCTTTTAGATTCAATTTGTTGATCTTTTAGGTTAGTCTTCATTTTTTGAACTCTAATTGGTGATTTCTGATGAATATAATGGTTGTTAAAGATCTTATTTTTCACCTCAAAAACACCTAACTCTTCAAAGAAAATGTCACATTGTTTTAAGTATAAGAAAGAATTTCTATATTTTATCTCATCAAACATCATCAGGTAAAATTTCTTCCCTGGTTGGCCATTTTGAAGTCACTGTACAAGTGCTTCGTGGCTTAGCATGATTTTTTGATTCCGCCATCATTTCTAGTGTCCAGATGATTACTCGAAGTCACTGAATCAATAAAAATTATTTTTGTAAACAAATAGTGTGGCCTTTCAGAGAATGCAGCAGAACTAACACTTGTGTTATGCAACTTCTGTGAAGGAAGCTAAAATAGTTAATTGAAACTGCAGTTAATTTAGTGAATATAATTCGCAAAACAATTCATAGGTTTGCAAAATTATTTATTTTTTAAATCCATAGTCATGCAATCCAAAATAATGTTCCTGTTTCCTATTTTGGAAATGATTCCTATTATGCAAACTAGAATTTGGGAGTAAAACACTTTTCTCAGGTTTATTCCTCTTAAAATCCAAGTGGACTTTTTAAAAACATGTAAACTGGTACTGTATTAACTTGAGCTCGGTAAAACTTGAAACTTAATGAAATGGGTGAAGCATAGACTGATAGCCATTAATTCATATATTACTGACAATTCAAGTAGAAGAGAAAAAAATACAATAACCGAAAACGCATTCAAAGTTTCGAAAATGGTATACATGAGAATAAAACTACATCAGCCTGAACTTGTTTGCAAAATAGCTGCTTCGTTTCATGTTCAGACATTCGCTAATATTCTTTATATAGGCATATAGAGGCATCTGCTAAAATTCATGTTTAAAATGAATATAGAATTCACCGTAGTATGCTCATTTTGATAGGGGGCTATCAATGGAATCCAGAATGTATGTTTTACCTGAGTTAAGACTGACCAGCTGGATGTATCTACCTCTGAGTGAGTGATGTTTTCCCCACATTATCTCATACATGGTCTCCACCATTATCTTTCAAATTTTTTAACCAAACTATTTTAGCCGAAAAAAAATATATATATAATAGCTCGCTGTTGGTAAGTAATAATAGTGATAATCAATTTATTCCAAACAATGTTTGGTTCATTTTGTGATGAGGGGGAATATGTTTAGCTCAAGTGAATAATTTTGATAGTGCTGTGTTCGCTTACCTGGATGGTTCAGTTGTGAAATTTCCACTGTCATTCTCGACAACATCATCAGCACGCACTTTGACGCTGATAACGTTATCTAGAATGACAATCGAAGCTCTACAACTGAACCTTCTAGCTCAGAGAACGCAACACCATCAAAATGTTTGGTACAATTTAGAATTTTCTCGGCGTGGTGTAAATTCTAGTCTGATCTGCAAGTAGGTTGTTGCTGGGTTGCGAGCAGATGAGGGAGTAAATTTGATGGTGACCATGAGAATGTAGAAGAAAAAGAAAGAGAAAGGTATGACTTAATGACTCAGCGAGCGCATGAGATGCACGTTTAATGACAAAATATAATGGACAAAGTGTAGTAATTCAGAGAAAAAAGCTGAGGCAGTAGGGAAATCAAAACTGGAGGGTGACTTATTAAGGGTTCAAAAGAGATTTATACATATTAGTATGGGAAATAGAAACCCAGCGTACATTACTGTTTAGCAGATGACAAGGTACCCAGCTGTTGAAACGCTGATGTAAACCGTACAATTACTAATTATGCTGATGTGTCCTGGTAAGACGTTAAAAGGAAAAAGGCCGACTGAGAGAAAAAAGCATTTCTTTTCAATTAAATTCTCATTTCTGCGCAATATGATGTCATTACACTACTTCCTAGCTTTAGTATTACGATAAACGTAGCACATGACTACGTATTATATGATGAAACCTTCGAAAAAAAACCTATAAATATACGATGCGACTGATCAAGTATTCCAAGATAGAAGAATGACGACATCCTCTCTGTCCTGAACATGTGATTTAAGGTTAATATGATTCGTCATAGTGCTTCCATCAATTTTGTTATGAATGGGTTGACATTTCTAGAGAAAAATAGATGTAATTTTAAAAATGGTAACAGGAAATCCTGAGTTTGTATTTGATTGAAGAAGTTTTACCCTAGCATTTGCTTCGACAACGGTTACGAAATTAGCTCCTTTGTTCTTAATTGAGTTATTCTGTTGACTTTTATGCGTACCGTTTACAAGGTGCTGTTATTCAGCAGTTTGATGCCGAAAAAGGCTTACACAACAATGTAGTACGTCATACAAACTGTATGTATCCATGTCATCACAGCATATAACAAGTTAGAAGAGGAAATGAAATGAAAAGTCGATAAAAAATCCAGTGGTTGGGAACACCATAAATAGCTAGTCTGCATCATCGTGGAACCTAGTATTACTGCACAGCTGTTCAACTAGTCATACCTCATGGCAGCTCATCAAGTGACAGTGCACCAATATGGAGTAAAAAGAAACGAAAAAGGGGCAGTTAAAAGTAATGGAAAGTCGTGGAAAAAGAACAAGAAGAGATAGTCAAATATGAAAATTTAGTATGAAGATAGAGATTAAGATAATGTATGGATACATCTATGCTTTTGTGATCCATTCAAAGGCATATATCCTTGAGGTCGCAATCATTGGATTCTGTTGTCATGCGCAACCAAACAAGGAAGTCAACATACCGTCACATGGCTCAGGTCGACAGTCAAAGACAATGAACTGGTGCCTTATTTTGGTTTTACCGTCTCTGACGTTCTTCTAGTCTGATTCAACATCACCTAACATTATAGAGAGAGATAGAAGGTGACTTTTCATGCGAAATACTTCGGTCGGTATGTTGACCAGACATCTGAAACCACCTCATATCCTATACCTTTAGTGGCCATGTTTAACAGCCATATGGTAGAAGAAAGAGAACTACATTGGAGGACAGTCAACTCTAATAGGCAATTGGATTATGGTGCCAGCGGCGTTAGGTGGCACATGTCATAGGGCACTTCTTATCTGTCTGGAGATTTCGTCAGTCAATGACCAAACAGGGTCGGTCAAGCCTTCAAAGGAAATGAAGTGGTCAGTACGCTCCTTCTGCATTTCTTGACAAATAGGTGAATCGATAATCAGCTTGATAGCCGGCATTTAAAAAAGAATAATTTCTGAACATATATTCATGATTATAATCAGCTTTTTTCCCTAAGGTTTTGAGTTCTTGATTCTGAAAATAATAAGGTCCTAGGCCACAAAGTAGACAATTTGCCACCAGAGGAAGAGAATCAGTTATTAACTTTATGGGTGTGCATGTGTTATGGTTTATCAGTTTCTAACTTTCATTCAATCTAGATGTATTTCAGAAAACCTCATATGAGGAAAGGGACAGTAAGTAACTCACTAAGCACATAAAACTGTCTCATTCATTCAAGACTTACAACCAAATGGACTTTTATGTTTTCTTTCTGAAAATTTACAATTAAACTCAACGCTACTAACTTACATGTTCTCTAAAACGCTGGAAATTTTCCAAAGATATTCATTATTCAATATCGGTAACCTTTGTAAGGATTTGACCTTTAACGATAATATTTCACAGTTGTGGCATAGAAGACTTTAGATCACTGTGTCACGGATACACATCTACTTAATCAATATATGCTGTTACCCGAAAACGTTCCAAACCTGGTTGTTTGTTTTATTAATTTACTTTGTTATCTTTTTCTTTAAGGATTTGTGAAAAACCTTGCAATATAAACCGAAGCGTCATTTGTAATATTGTTGTGATTTTTTAGTAGGGTGTACTACTCTTCCCAATCATACCTTTATTTCAGGTGAAAAATTTGTAAAATAATCAGTCCATCAAATTAATTTTGTGAATCAACCTTTATATTCTGATAGAACTTCTGACTCCAACTCGGAGATTCGCGAGTACTGTTTGTTTTCAAGGTAGCATTCATCCCAAACTGGCATCAGTAGAAACATTGAAGAACCTGTAAGCGCTAGGCAGCTGTTTCATCCTTGTGTGAACTTCTTCAGGAGTATGCACTCACGATCCCGCCAGTTTCATACAAGAAAGAAACAGCTGTTCAGTTCTCCCAGGTTTTCATTAGTCCTCCAGTTGATGTTAGTCAGTCATGAATGCTAGTAAGAAATGTTTACTTAAGCATAAAAGTCAACTGTTTTCTGTAAAAACATATTAATCTGATAAGTGTTTTCATTAGGGTTGGATCAAGTTTTACGTTTAAATATTGTATTGTACATGGGTATGAAGACTGAGGTTTATCTGTAAAATGGTAAAATAAACTGATGTTATAATTACAAATTGTATGGTAAAGTATTTTATATGATGTGGGATAATTAGTCGATGTAATGATTACCAGTTATAGCCAACTGTCAGTTACAGTTAATAACAACAGGAAGTGATTATTTGGAGACTAGAAAAAAAGGAGAAAAGTGAAATGCATAACTGGAAGAAATTAAAAATATTTGAAAAATCAAAGAGAGACGTTAAAACACCACTAAGAGTAATTATGTGCAGCTTAGTTTGTGAAGTCAGTTATACGGTCACCTGTGGTGTGAGTGAGACATCTAACTATCTATCAAAAGACGAGTAAACTGCGTTATACGGCTGTTATACGGCTGTGGGACATGACCATTAGAAGTGGAAGAAATGAAGCAATTACAGGGCTTTGATCACAGATGTCTTCATAGAATTTCTTGTGTTTTGTGGATTTACCACCTCAGCAATGTTAAAGTCAGGCGAAGGGTACCAAGCAAGACAAGAAAGTCGATTGATGAAGTTGTGAACCTTAGTCAAATGAAGACACGCATTGTGCATGACGAGTCACCAGCTACCTCGATGTGTTATGCTGGGGGAAATTGGATGAGATTGGAAGAAGGTATAGAGTGGCCAGACCAGTCACGGAAGTCTCTGACAGTTGGTATTAATCGTATAGAGAGATGTAAGCCGTCTATTTGGTGTCTCAGAGACGAAAGGAATCAGTGGTTGAGGAGTGTTGGTCATGTGGTGGAAAATCAGTCACGATGCCGCAGTTGTATTCACTGCTTGATATCTTCTAAAGCTTGAATATTTGTACTAACCTTCATCTTCAGCTTGTTTATTCTCATACAACTTTGTCTACTTTGATATCACTCTTATGTATCCATCTATTCTTTATGTACTAGTGTATAGTGCGGCAACTGGAGCTAATGCACCTGAATGAGAGGTTCTGCTTTGACTTTCTTAGAGTCGGCAGTCACTTCGTGATGTGAACTATGTGCCGCATTCATGGAAAAGACTGGCATGATTTTTGGTTACGTTTCACTTCCAAGATACCCAGCATCGAATCAAAGCTTGATTTGTAGTCTGGTAACTAAAAACGCCAAGCCATCTGGCACATATAATGTGGATTCTTATTTGGCAAATAAATGTAGTTATCTCATTCAACATTATAAAACCAGAACTTGGTTTGCAGAAATATCATGAGATTTTTCTCCTATTTCCGTGACTGCTGGACTTTAAGTAACTCATCTATTGAGTGGTCAGAATAAATTCCACATAATCGCACTCATTCATCAAAAAAGATTCTTATTAGTTCATTTCTTCGACACTTAAATAATCCACGGAGTACATTTCATGCACATCAGAGTGCTTTCTTGCGGGAAATTTCCACCTTTCAGCTGAATCTATATATTATAAGTTCATTTGGGGGGTAACAAATAAAGTGCCAACCAGTCAAGACCGACTCCAGAACTAACACTCCTGCGAAACTCTCATGGTGGCTATACCTTACATCAGTATTTCAAGATGAAAGATAAAAACTGAATGACAAATGAATGGAAATAATGATCATGATAATAGCAAAACGTGGTTGCATCTTCATCACCGAAACCGATTCTAAACCGTATCTCTCAGTATCACAAAATGTTGGTTTCGTTTGTCACGCATACTGCAGTCAAGAAGTGTATTTTTTCATAAGTGGCTCAGATAGGCAATCAAACTTAATGGACTTATATCATCTTAAATCTGAGATAGTATGAGATGCTGGGAGGTAATAGAAGAGTTAAACTTGGGCACTATAGTAGATTAGTAATTTATTTTGCTTCCTTTATCAAGTGAATTCCATCGTCAAACAGTCGATATTATCTATATTCATATGAAAGTGACTTCGTAACCTTGAAACATCACTTTTATGGTTCTTCTTCTCCTTTTTTTTCTTGAAGTTAGGAGGTAGTCGACAAGAAGCCCTGTTAGACATACGTTTCGGGCTGTTTCGTGTTTATTGGTAATGCGTATCTGTATTCTTGATTAAAGTCTATCGGTCTCTCAATGGATCAACACAAAGTTTTTGACAGCTACATATCTTACCATATAATCAACAGTTTGTGCGAAGTGAATCTAGGTGGTAAATGATATCTGTCTCGTCAAAGACTCTATTTTCTTTGAACAGTGTTGGTCATTTTTTTCTCAACTTAATATTTCTCACTATATTTGCTTAATTCTGCACGTAATTCGATATCGTTTACTCGTAATAGCTACTTGACAGAATTCAATTGAACTAATCGCTTGACTTACCACGTATCTCATAATTTCAGACTGGTATTTATCATGACTGATATCAGTTGGAGAAACATTGGAAACGAGGGACGACTGACAGAAGTGAGAAATATAGACCATGGGATACCGATTCACTGGCTTAATGGTAACGTACTAGTCACGGGACCTGAAGGTCTTAGCTTCCATACATGGCAGGGTCACGGGTGCGCACTGATGAGTAGTTTCATGCTAGGACGAAATAGCTGTCCAATGCTCTCAGGCTTTCAATGTTTCACAAAATGATGTCAGTCCATGAAGAATATCAACCAGAAATCAATAAAATCCTCACAGTCCTCCAAATTGAAGTAACTTATACTTTGTCAACTTGTTATCGCCTCAATCTCTGTTTGTTGGGATTATGGATGTGTTTATGCTTTGATTTTACACAGAGATAATGTAATGAACTTTGAATTATTTATTAGGCGGCAATAAAAAAAATTTGTTAATCCTGCTTTTTGTATTCATTGTCAAAAGAATTGTATGGTTTTTCTGGGAAAACTAATTATTAGTTTACGAAATAAGGTTCCTGTTACACGGAAATATGCTTTTATTTCAAAGTATTAAAAGATAGACTGATAAGAATATGGTTTTATGCTAGACCGTATCTTTTATTCATGTTGCATATAAAAGCTCAGTCTGATTTTGGTTAGCCAACAGAATGGATGTACATATATGAGTTCCTAGTCAATCATTGGAGCCGATCTTAATCGTAATGACTATGTTCAGTAGAATTTGTCAAGTTCAATAGTCAATACCTACGACATACTTGTAACAACAAAAATATTTTGGTGGTAGTGGATCAAGGGTTTTGGTAGAGTGACTTTCTATTTCCCACTTTATGATATTCTTGCCCTTTACTTTCAATCTTAAATGAATCTCAAACCAAAATGTTTATCTCTTCCTGACGTTGGTCAACTTCGAGAAAAGACTTTAAGTGTGACAACGTTCCAATTACTCGCTCGGTGATATACCAAATATATCAGTTTAGGCAAAAGGATAAGAACTAACTCCTTCCAACTACATTAATCATTGATCAAATATTATCATAATATACAAAAATGAATACGTAAGATTCCAAGGGATGTTAGTAAGGCTAACTAACGAATAGTCACTCATTTTTAAATTTAGTTAGGTTCTCATTATATTGGGAAAGCCTGACTAGTAAGTGTGATGAAATACAGATTGTTACTTTTATGCCAGTTAAATAGTACTTGGATGATGAATTGAATGTTTCTGATATTTGAATAGAGATTGGATCTTATACCTCAGTTGGTAAGTTGCTTTGTAGGTAGTTCGGAGGCCTCTCACTAATATCCTACCACAATCGAAGATTCTTTTCCAAATTCAGTCATCAAGAGGTGTTCTTCCTTGATTGAGATGTATGTGGATTTTTATACGTTTTAATAATTGTATCGTTGAAAAATCTTTCTACCAAGTTCATCAACTGTGCGCTGTTATCGTTATATGTTTATCATTTAACTACCTGAGAGCCGTAGTTTGCCCAAGTATTTATACCGGGGGATGATTGAAGGTGAGATGAAAATTTGAATCTATCTGTAAAAGGATACGTACTTTCTCTAGCCTTTTAGGCAGATGTATTGATCTTTCTATGCAATTTAATGCCATTTAAGTTACGCAGAATAATATCTTACTTTGCGTAAATTTTTTTACACTTTCAGTATGGAACTCGGTGAGCAATATCCAAAGATATTAAATGATCCAATGCCAGTTATATGGTTGAAACCTATTCTTCGCAAGGAACTTGAAGAGTTATCAACTAAACTGATTCGATATAGTTGTCCAGTATATAAGACCAGTGAACGTCGTGGCACGCTTTCAACAACTGGACACTCAACTAATTTTGTTTTGCCTATATTGTTACCAACAAGTGTGAATCCAAGTCACTGGGTGAAACGTGGAGCTGCTCTTCTATGTCAGTTAGATGACTAATTGTATGCATTGATAGAATTCAGTTAAACAGGCGACAGATAGCTTGAAGAAATTCAAATTTCAGCGAACAAGTATCAACTTCTTTTATTCTTAATAGAAAATTAACTAAACAATTGACTTTTCGATTGGGATTCGGTACTTACCTAATTGTCATACAGAAATTATTATTATTATTATTATTAGTCCCTTGGGTTCCTAATGGAACATAGGGCTTCAGTAGCACGCCTCCAGTGACCTCTGTTCTCTGAGATCTTTTGAACCTGGTTCCACGACAGCCCAGAAGCTCTCATTTCCTGCTCGCACGACTTCCTCCATGTCACCCTTGGACGTCCAACTCGTCGCTTCCCATAGGGATTCCACTCGAGGGCCTGACGCGTGATGTCCTCCGTCGGCCTTCTCAGTGCATGGCCAATCCATCTCCACTTCTTCCTGCATATTTGTTGCGTGATAGGTTCTTGGTTGGTTCGTTCCCAGAGTTCCTTGTTGCTTATTTTTTCTGGCCATCTGATCTTCAGCAGCGAGCGTAAACAGTTGTTGATGAATGTCTGTAGTTTATTGGAAATACCTTTCGTGACGCGCCAAGTCTCTGAGCCATACAAGAGCACTGACTTGACGTTGGTGTTGAAAATCCGTATCTTGTTCCGCATGCTGAGTGCAGAAGATCTCCACACTGGTTTCAGGCTAATGAATGCCTGTCTTGCTTTTCCGATTCTGACTTTGACGTCCTCGTCCGTCCCGCCTGTAGTTGAAACAGTGCTTCCTAGATAAGTGAAGGAGGTTACTTCCTTCAAGTTTCTCCCGTTGACGGTGATTGGAGTTTGTTGTTGTTGTTGATGGTGGTGGTGCGGTATCTTCATCACTTCTGTCTTCTCTATATTCACCTGAAGTCCCGTCTTCGCTGCCTCTTCTATCAACTTGTTAGTTTTTGCCTGCAGATCTTCAAGTTTATGTGACATTAGGCACAAGTCATCGGCGAAATCCAAGTCTTCTAGGTTCTTTTCCGTCGTCCAGTGTATCCCCCTCTTCTCGCTGCCTACTGTTTGCTGCATGATCCAGTCCACCACAATAAGGAATATCATGGGGGATAGTAGGCAACCTTGTTTCACTCCTGTCTTCACTTCAAAGGCATCACTGAGCTTCCCATTGTGGATTACTTGGCATGTGGCATCTTCATATAGTTGTTGAATGAGGCGGATAACGGTTTGCGGTACTCCGTAGTATTGAAGCAGTTTCCAAATTACTTCTCGGTCGACGCTGTCAAAGGCCTTCTCAAAGTCGATGAAGTTGAGGTGGAGAGCTGATTGCCATTCTATGCTCTGTTCTATGATGATACGAAGCGTTGCAATTTGGTCTGCACATGATTTGTACTTCCTGAAGCCTGCCTGTTCCGGTCGCAGTTTTGAATCCAGTGAGTCTTTAAGCCTCTCCAGGATGATGCGGCTTAATATTTTACTTGGGGTGGACAGGAGAGTGATTCCGCGCCAGTTCTTGCAAGCACTGAGGTCTCCCTTCTTCGGCAGTTTGACAAGGTAACCCTTCTTCCAATCGTCAGGTACCTTCTCTTCCTTCCACACCTTCTGCAATAGTGGTGTGAGCATGTCCTCTGTTGTCTCTGCATCTGTTCTCAGTGCTTCTGGCGGTATTCCATCTGGTCCTGCTGCTTTTCCGCATTTCAGTAGCTTTATGGCGTTCAGGACTTCCATTTTCGTTGGGGGATTTATGTTCACTTGTAGTTCAGCGGCTGCAGGTGGTATTTCTGGACGAAGTGCAGGTGGTGGTCGATTCAAGAGCTTCTTGAAGTGGTCGGCCCATCGTTTCCTCTGTTTCTCTTCTTTTGTAATTAAATTTCCGACTTCATCTTTTATTGGTTTCATCTGTGTTGGTCTATTCCCTGATAGCAACCTGGTTATTTGATACAATGTCGTCAGGTCTCTGTTACCTGCAGCCTGTTCTGCTTCACTTGCCAGTGTTTCGTAGAAGTGTCTTTTGTCTTTGCGTGCACTCTTCTTCACTTCTTTGTCCAGTGTTTTATACATTGTGCTCAGTTCATCTTGTCGTTGAGCATCCTTGCACTGGTTTATCTTCTGCTTCACCATCCTCCTCTCCCTGCTCTATCAGCTTCCAGGTATCCGTCGAGATCCATTCCTTGTCTTCTTTCTTCTTCCTTCCTAATACTGTTGTGCAGGTTTCTTTCCACATCTCTTTCAAAGACTTCCAGTGTTCTTCCACACAGGTTTCTTCAGGGATGTTGCTCGATGTCTCCCATTTTGTCTTGATGGCTGCCTTGAAGATCTCCTTTGTAGTTTCATCCTTCAGTTTCCGAGTGTTGTACTTGAATTGAGGTCTATCACCAGCTTCCTTGAAGGCTTTTAACTTGATTTCGAAGGTTCCTTGCACTAGGTAGTGGTCTGAACCTACATCTGCTCCTCTTCTTGACCTTGTGTTAAGTAGACTGCGTCTCCATTTTCTTGAGATTGAGATAAAGTCGATTTGATTTTTAGTGTGTCCATCTGGTGAAATCCATGTCGCTTTGTGGATATCCTTGTGCCTGAACACACTGCCTCCAATCACCAAATCGTTGAATGCGCAGAATTCTGCAAACAATTCTCCATTCTCATTCATTTCACCTAGTGCCTCTCGACCCATGGTTAGTTCTCTTCCCGTGTTGTCCCCTCCCAGTTTGGCATTCATGTCGCCCATTAGAATTTTGATATCGCCAACTGTGGTCTTGTCCAGTGTTGATTGAAGTTGTCTGTAGAAATCCTCCTTTTTCTCTTGCTCTGCATTATTTGTAGGTGCATAACATTGTATGATTGTGACCTTCCTTCCTTTTGAGTTGAATCTTGCTGTCATGATCCTGGAGGAGATTGGTTCCCACTGCATGAGAGCCTTCGATGCTCTTGGGGACATCATGATAGCCACTCCATAACTCAGTGTGCTCGTGGCTGTCGTCTGGGTGACCGGAGTAGATTATTGATTCTCCAGTTGACAGTTTGGAGAGTCCACTTCCATTCCATCTGCTTTCGCAAATCCCAAGCACTTCGATGTTATACCTTCTCATCTCCCTTGCAATCTGGGCTGCCTTACTGGGTTCAAACATCGTGCGGACATTCCATGTCCCCACGTTTACTTTCGCTTTCATCGAGAGAAGACACATCGGCCAATTGGCTTCCCGAAGGCTTTCACCAACTGGCGTCATTTCGCCTCTCCGATTCCAGCGGGGAATAAGTTTGTTTTCATTTTTTATATTTTGTTTGTGCTTTGAAGTTTGTTTAGCGGTTAGATTTGTTTTACGGGGTAGGGTTGCTAGCCCTATGCCCAACCTTCCCTCTTTACCCGGGCTTAGGACCGGCTAGTAACTAGTAAACTAGTTAACCAGGCGAGGTTGTCATACAGAAAACCTATAAGAAATTGTTAACTAGGTAATTAAAGGCTGGTTCATTGGTCAAAATAAGTTTGACATTATTATATTTCAAGTACTATGGCAACTAATAACTAAAACGTATGCCTTTAATAAATCTTTTCAATTGTCAGCACCTATCAGGGACACATATCTCCATAATTTATCGAAGGTTGAAGTACAAAACTGTACGTCATTTGGATGTGTCTGTTTGACCTAAAACCAGGAATATCATTGCTTGACAGGTTAGCAATCGATTTCACTCAACCGTAAACAGTTTGAAGTAGAAATAAGCTGGAAACCAATTCAGAATATTTTTCGCTCTAAGGTGTAATCATACTGCATAATAATTGAGGTCCACTGGTTTGAATCATGCTCCAATATACATTTCCCCTTCACTTTCAGTTATCGCCTGGTATCAAAGGAACAGTTATTTGATATCAAGAAAATAAACAAGTGATAAGGAAATGAGAGGTAGTTACATGGCGGAGTAACTGTCTCAAATGGTCACTCTTTTACCATAACTAAGGCGAGCAAAGAGGTTCTAATCACTTCCGTTAAACGTATTGAAACTTTCGACTCCTGAACTGCTGACGCTTCAGCTAAGCCCAGCTATTCCTTATTCCTGATTGTTTTGGATAGCCTATCCTCTCTGTAAATAAAAATTTGAAGGGTTTATTCCATGCAGTTGAGTGTTTACTATGTGCTTCGTCACAGAGTTGAATGTGTATTTATGTTCTTCTTTTGTCAGTCAAGCTAGATAAAGTTATTTGTCAGAGATTTAAAGGTTTCGTGTGAGTTTTCACCTCATAAAACAGAATATCGATGGTCCTTATATAATGATCTACCATCTGGATCTGGTATGTACATAGATAACAATTGAAGATAAAAAAAAACAGTGGAATAATGATGACAAAAAGATAATAGGGGAGAAGGATACAAAATCGGAATAATAATAAATGAAGACTTCACATTAAAGTCACTGCTAATGATGCTGTCCAGTAAGACAATGACATCTTTGAGAATAAAATGTCCCACCCTGAGAACGCAACACAACCAAGATCATCCACCTGAGCTACAGATATTCTCCATCATTTCAATACCAAGGTCGAATAACGAACGCACTACAGATTAGCTACTGAACAAAGTGTGCTAGCTTGCTTAGTGCTATTTGATGCATCTTTTACTTTAATTTTATTGGATAGAGGAGGATTGATCTATTTTGGCTTCATTTAGTTTGAAATTAAATTGCAAATATTATTCTTATTTTCATGGATCTTATCTGAACAAGCAATATTTTAATATCTGTATGCATGTGTCGATCAGAGAACTGTGAAAATTGGTTTCTCTGAAAATGAGTCTTGTACACGCGAGTTTTTGTTTGCTTATCAGTTGATAACTTAACATGATGTTGTGTTTCCATTTGACCCACTTTCCTCAATTATTTAAGAATAAAAGTCTTACACAAGTGAAACAATTACAGACACAATCAGATCGAAGAATGGGCTAGTTTTGTTTTCATCATTTTGACATTTTTGCATTTTATTAAACTTCATTGCATGATAAGAACCCTTAATTTGGCTTCTTCTGAACTCAAATA